ACACTCCATGGTCAGCGAATGGGGGGGGGGGGGGAAGGGCAGGGGGAGGGGCGCACGCATAGTCTCGAACGGCCACGTCGCCCACCAGGGCACGAGCGCGACCCAGTGCTCGTTCCGGAGCACGACGCGCCCCTCGGCCTCGGGCACGCCGAGCTCGTAGTGCGCGTACTCGCTGAGCAGGCACGGGCGGCCCCGCGGCCCGCGGGGCGCGCCCGACGTCGCGGGCGTCGTTTGCGCGTACGCGCGCATGTGCGCGAGCTCGGTCGCGGGGAGCGTCGGGATCGCGGAGAGGGACCAGACTTGGCCGTGCGGGTGCGGGTTCGAGCAGCCCATCATCGCGCCTTTGTTCTGGTGAAGAAGGGTGAGTTGGAGGGAGTGGGCGTAAAGAGTGCGAGGGTCACCTCGAAGATTTGGACGTATTTGACGTGTTCCTCCGCTCCGCGCTTCCTGTACACCCTTATCCACTCTTCGATGACGCGCTCGATCTCTGGCAGCTGCAATCGCGCCAGTGTTAGATCGTGCCGCGGGTGGAAAATCAGGACGTCGCAGCCGCCCTGCACCGGCTCGGTCGTCAAGAGTGGATGCGGGGCTGGGGGTGCGGCAGGCGCGGGTGGGGGGAGTATGGCCGCAAAGTCATTCTCAAAGACATAGGTGCTCTCGTACACCGGGTTCTTCTGCCCGCCCGAGCGGGAGTTACCCGGGCAGAGGTAGCATTGTGGGTCGTATTGAGGTAAATTGGGCGATGACGGCGGTTCTACCTGGCCGAGCCAGGGACGCTTTGTTCGGTGCGGAGAGACAAGAATGTGCTCGCCCGTCAGCGGGTTGTCTGCCAAACAAAAGTACGTTAAATCCCCTCCGACAAATAAAATACAGAAAAACATACAGCGGCGGTGAGGATGGGTGGTAGGATCGAACTCCATCGGCGCCGGAGGCGTATCGGATGGTCGTCGAGCGCAGGACGCGAATTCCAGTCTGCGCACTCGAGACGCGATAAATGCATATGGGTGACTTCATCTCGATCGTCCGAGATCAGTTTGCCCTCGGGCCGGATCTCCGGCGGTCCGCCGTCGGCAATGTCCAGTCTGATCGAGATTTGTTTGTGACCCGAGACGGTCACGGTGTGGCGCTCTTTGCTCTTGCGCTTGCTCTCTGCTTTGTATCGTTTTCTGTTTATGCAATGAAATTCTTTATTGACAACCTACCTGTACGCGCATACCGCAAGAATACCCTCGGAAATTCATGTTCTCACTCTGTGCCTTCAGATAATTTTCCCTTATGACCGCATCTACCCTGGTCTGTGTGTAACTAAACATGACAAGGATTATGCTGAACTTCGCTGTAGAACAGTATGCATACATGTGCGACCTCAAGAGGACACTTGACGCAACTGTATATTCAAACGTTCTTGCTGACAAGCCGGGGATGTCTAATGTGCTTTACAGGGTCATTGCGTACTCGAGATGCCTTCAGGAACAGGAAAGACTGTATCCCTGCTCTCCCTGATTGTATCATACCAGCAAGTACTGATCAAACCAATATGTCTGTCTCCGCTATGCTGAGTTCTGTGGCAGTTCTACCCTGCACGGCGGAAACTCATCTACTGCTCACGTACCGTGCCCGAGATCGAGAAGGCCCTGTCAGAGTTGAAGCGACTTATGGACTACCGAATAGCATGCGCAGAGACGGAAGAGGACAAGAGAAAGGAGAGGAGCTTCACCGGACTGGGCCTTACTAGCCGGAAGAATCTCTGCATTCACCCCGAGGTACGCGTCTACTTCGAGTTGCGAGAAGGCGATATGATTAGTGGGGTGTTGTGCTAGGTCTCGAAAGAGAAGAAGGGGAAAGTCGTGGATGCCCGCTGTAGAGACTTGACCAACTCGGCCGTCTGTGAGAAGGGGAGGGCAAACCCAGGCTCCGTGGAGCTGTGCGATTTCCATGAGGTGAGTACCTGCTTCGATATTGACAGGGACATCACTGTAACATGATTCATGATTATAGAAACTAGGCGAGAAAGAGCCTGGCAACCTCATCCCAACAGGCATCTATACGCTCGCCGACGTACTACAGTACGGTAGGGAGAACGGCACATGTCCTTATTTCACTGTCCGACGAATGGCAAGTGCGGGACGGCTTTCGATACTGTAGATCAGTTTTTGACATATGCCTCGTCGTAGATGCCCTTTGTGGACGTCATTATCTACTCTTTCCACTACCTCCTGGATCCGAAGGTCGCAGAACAGGTATCGAAGGAGATGTCGAAAGACGCGATCGTCGTCTTTGACGAGGCGCACAACATCGGTAAGTGTCTTAAGCGACCACATACGGTCTTCATGGCTTCATATTGACGTCTCCAGATAACGTTTGTATTGAATCTCTGAGCGTGGACCTCACTCGTCCCATGCTCGACTCAGCTGTCCGGAGCGTGACCAAGCTCGGTGAGAAGATCGACGAGTACGCGCGATCCTCCACTCCCTCCGTTGTTTCATTTGCGTCTGCTCACGGCTTCCGCCAGGATCAAACGCACAGACGCCTCAAAACTCCAGGACGAGTACGCCAAGCTCGTGGAAGGTTTGCAAGAAGCCTCCGACGCGCGCGACGAAGACGCCTTCATGGCAAATCCCGGTGCGTTCTCCACTGACTCGGGGCCTTTCAATTATACTCAATCTGAACATACTCTCCCCTCACGGCTCCGCGCACGTTATCCTACCTTGATCTTCCTGCCGATTGTCCGCAGTTCTCCCGGACGATCTCCTGAAAGAAGCAATCCCTGGGAACATCCGAAAGGCTGAGCACTTCGTGGCGTTCTTAAAGCGGTTCGTGGAATATCTGAAGGTGGGCAGTGGGATCGTCAGGCACTTCGTTTGCATTATGCTGACATGGTGACATTGCAATACATCAATATCGAAGACTAGAATGCGGGTGTTGCACGTGGTTGCCGAGACGCCGCTGTCGTTCTTGCAGCACCTGAAAGATATCACGTATATTGAGCGGCGCCCTCTCCGGTGGGACGACTTCGTTTATATCTTGTTCTTGGAATAGATGGTCTGACGGCGCACGTGAACTCTGATAGATTTTGCGCGGAGAGGTTGCAGTCTTTGGTTAGGACTTTGGAAATAACACGAGTGGACGAGTTTTCCGCCCTTCAGAAGGTGGCCTCGTTTGCAACTTTGGTAGCCACATATGAAAAAGGTATGTCTCCTGACTACTCAAATACCCTGATGCGGGCTGAATACGTGTAGGTTTCCTCCTTATTCTCGAACCTTTTGAGACAGAAAACGCGACAGTGCCCAACCCGATCTTCCACTTTGTGTGAGCACTACACCCAAGACTTATCCTTACGCCGGCTTATGAATGGACACAGGTGCCTGGACCCTGCCATCGCTATTAAGCCAGTCTTCGAGCGGTTTAGCAGTGTGGTGATCACGTCGGGGACCATCTCTCCGCTGGACATGTATCCGAAGATGTTGCAGTTCACTCCGGTGGTACAAGAAACTTACCCCATGACACTGACGCGGAATGCATTTCTGCCTTTGGTAAGCATTCCTCATGGCGCCTTCCGGTGCTGGACTCTCATGACGCTCAATCTGCTCCGTTCGTCCCTAGATTATCACCCGTGGCAGTGATCAAGTCGCCATCAGTTCTCGCTTCGAAGTTCGTAATGACCCAGCGGTAGTCCGGAATTTCGGTAGTATACTCGTGGAGTACTCGAAGATTGTACCGGATGGTATCGTCGCTTTCTTCCCAAGTTATTTATACATGGAATCTATCGTGGCTGCTTGGAACGACATGGTGGGTCCTTTCTTCTCCGAACGTATTCCGTCATCAGCAGCGGTGTTGATCACCCCTTTCTTTAGGGAATATTGAACGAAGTGTGGAAACACAAGCTGATATTCGTGGAGACCCCGGACGCCAACGAGACTAGCATCGCGTTGGAGAATTACAGACGGGTGAGTGAACTGGTGCGCTTGATTGACTGTATCTTCTCATGATCATTTAGGCTTGCAATAACGGCCGTGGCGCGGTCCTGCTTTCCGTCGCGCGAGGCAAAGTCGCCGAAGGAATCGATTTTGACCATAATTACGGAAGAGCTGTCATCATGTTTGGCGTTCCGTATCAATATACGGAAAGCCGTATCCTCAAGGCCCGTCTCGAATACCTGCGCGACGCTTACCGGATACGTGAATCCGAGTTCCTGGGATTTGATGCCATTCGTAACGCCGCTCAGTGTGTGGGACGCGTCCTGCGTGGTAAAACCGACTGGGGTCTCATGGTCTTTGCCGATAAGGTGCATCTTGTCTTCCCGCGTGAGCTATCACGAGACGTCCTGACATTATCCCTATAGCGCTTCGCGAGGGCTGACAAGCGGTCAAAATTGCCACGCTGGATTCAACAGTATATCACCGAGACAACATCAAACCTATCAACTGATATGGCATTGACGCTCTCGAAGCTCTTCATGCGGACCATCTCACAGAATCCCAACGAGAATCAGACGGGAGTCTCCCTGTGGACACTGGAGGACATTGAGAAAGCTCAAGCTAAGCAGAAGGAGATGGCTCTCCTGGAGGCAGAACAACAGCGAGACGAACCAATGGACGAAGATGATGAGTACGGAGACGGGGGATTCGATGACCGGATTCTAGGTGAAATCAATCTGGATATCTAATGCGTATAGTTGTACAAGTAGTAATACAGTAGGTCCGCGGCGGATAATAGGTAGTATGTACAGTCGGTAATATGGTACGCTTGTGTGTCGTCGTGAATAGTCGTCAATGGTCATGCATATCATGTCATGCTCCTCTGCATGATGAACATTTATCTGGGGACTGCCCAGACACATGGTTCGTCAGAAGACTGCTTCAAGGAACACATAATCGACTAACCTCCGCTGTTACACGACGTTCGGGCTGCCTGCGCGAGTAGAAGAAAACCTTAGCTCATTTCAAATCTGGACATGGGACAGACGCACTGATAATACCGGCGGCAAGTGCATGGACGGCTCGGTGTTCCACAATTCACCGGATGAGCAGTGCTCAAGGCACAGTCACGCTCACCACAGTCAATGTACTCGTCCCCCGTGAAGGTTAGGTGACCACAGTTGGTAGACTTGACGAAACGGAGGATTCGATGACACATTTCGCGAGAGCTGCCAGCTGATCTATCATTCGCATCCCTCTTGGTTCTCAATGCAGAGGGAATCTCACCACTTCTTTGGCCTCGGCGGTGGACGGACTTTGCTTGACTGATCGAGATGCAGTAGCAGTCCGTACCTGTGGCACTATATGCGGTGCAGCATCGCAGATTAGCTTCCGTCTCTTCTCAAAAGCGTCACATCAACAGATAATGGATACTCACCTTCGACACAATAAGGAGAGAGGAAGGGAACAGGGGCGTCTTTCGTTATCCCCACCTCAATTTAAGACAAGGGGACCAAGATATCCACCGAATCCGATTATTCATTTCATGCGCGTACAAGATCCATCCAGTTGTTCCAATCTGCATGTATGTAAAGGAGCAAATTTTCTTCGCGCCATCTTCCTGTCAAGGAGACTGGCTTCGAATGCTGGCGTGGGTCGGAGTGGCTATAAGCAGGTGGCCTTGTAATCAGCATGGCGCACTGTCTAGAGGGAACCGAAGGAACAGAAGAGTCTATACCTCATTCATTCGTTTGATTTACTATCGATTCACGCATGGCTCAAGTCAGACTCTGCTGGTTCCGCTTTATCTCGATTACTTGGCGCGGTTACAATAGGACCTGGAGCATTCGAGAGCTTGTCGGGACCGATCCGCCCAGTGCCAGCTAAATATTCCGCGAGTACGCGCCATACACAGGCAGGTTGTGGGATGGAGCAATTCTTAGCCGCTGACAAACAGCCACGAACCCGTGCAGCGTATGCCAGGTGATCAACTCAGTGATAACCCTTCCAGAATATATGAGCGCATCCATCGACTTCTTTCATGTGTTCCTTCTGACTCTCATACTGCGGCATTATCGGCCAACAGAAGAATCTTAGGCATATGGGAGTTTCTACTCGCTGCAGTCTCAGAGGGACAGCAGTGGAGGCGAAGATGGGTAGTGGATAAGTCTCAGGTTCGAGGGTCTACGTAAATTGCAGCAACTGACCTAACCTGTACAAAACGAGGCTTTGAGAGCATCCCAGCTGAATTCCAATGGAACGCTCGACCGCGGACTTCATATCACCGTGGGATTCGCATTACTGCCGTCATGTATCTGGTGAATGGTGCTTCATTCTTGAGATCTAGATGACGGATCAACTTGAGATGAGATTTCACTACGATCCCCGAAGCAGGGAGGAGCGTTCTCGAAGACTAAGACCATCCGGCGTCAACGTCGAGGAGACACTCAGACACCGTGCAAGTCCGCCTGGTCTTTCACACGTGCACGTCGCACCTGATGACCTTATGGACAAATGAGAGCCCAGCAAAGCCGTTTTCTCTCCGAAGACTTGAAGAGCTTTCAATAAGGTTCATGAATCTGAGGACGCGATCTAAGCTTAACCGTCACGCTGATCTCGATAGGGTTACATTGCAACCGCGCACCCCGCTTTAATGCCTGGCAAATGAGTATCTCATCTTATCACACGTTCAACGAGGTAGAACGACTCACGTACTGCAATGTATGAAATGCATGCTGGAGCAGGCTGCAGGCAGTCGCTGAGTTCTGAGAACGCGGACGACAGAAAAGGCGTAGATTGGTCGAAGCATTATAGAAGATACCCCATTACTAAAGAAAAGGGATTGGTTACAGGGTGGTAGGCACATTCCACTAAGAGATAGGAGCATATAGCGGCGCTCATGACCCGCAATAACAAGTCAAATGGACAAGGAAGACCGGCAGTCAGGAGACTCGCGATGGCATCGCGGAATGCGGCGTCAAAGGCTAGGTTCCCAGGTCCTACTTGGTCCCATCCAATATAAGTACTACGCCCGTAATTGAAACACAGAAACGTTCGCACACTCTATGGCCGTTCTTGTCGAAATCGAGCAGGCAATTAGCAGTTAGTGTACGACCCACACCGAGGGCGTGAAGGTCGTAGTTTAAGACGCTCGCGGGTACATACGTGACGGCGAACTTGTGATCCCTGTGACCCACCGTCACGTGTGGGGTTTCGGGCTTCTCTTTGTGGCAATTGCCTATCGAGTTCCCACTTGCCTCCAGATAGCTCCCATCATATCTCCGCATACCAGTCCGACGTCCAGCGTATATGGCGTCTTCACTAGAGTCCACAGGGACAGTCGCTAAGAGCAGTCGTAAGCGTCGTCGCAACGACACCAGTCACGACGAAAGTACGATGACCACTGAAGCGCCGGGCGCACCTTCTACTGCTGCTATCCCTTCTTCTGCTGCTACTGCCGATAGCCCAGTGAAGAAGAAGCGGAGGGCCGCTACTGGTACCTCAGCGAAGAAGGATGAAAAGGTGACTGTTGCCATTCCGCCTTGGTCAGACATTCCGGAATGGAAGACGGACAAATGTCCTCTTTTAGAGATGCCTGTAGAGATACTGGACAGGGTACGCATGCCAGTGGATCCTTATTTCATTCAGAGGTGCACCTCTTGAACGTTACTTTGGTACTCGCAGATCTTCTCACCCGAGAGCGGTTTACGAGTATGTACGTCTCTACATCCCTCGTCATTCCGTCCTCATCCCCTTCGTAGCTCCAGGACCATCTGGCCTTGTCGGGCACATGCCGTGCGATAAGGAAAGCGTACACTGAGCAAGTCTGGAAGGTAGGTCTATCTTGGTTCGCTACGTCTACCATACGTCTGAGCTGAGAACCTCGTCTCCAGGCCCTCGCCTCATACAGCACGCATTACGGCGAGCGAGCCATCGTGAACCGTATATTTTCTACGGCTTGGCTCGCGAGAAACGAGCCTCAGCCTGCGACTGATGAAGCTCCTGGCCAAGAGTCATCATCCCGGGACCAGCAGAGCCCCAAGAAGGGCAAATCAAAGGCGGTCATGACGCATAAAGACCTGGTGGTCCAAATGGTTAACTATAGTCAACCGCTGTCCACGGTTAGTCCTACGGAGTTTTGCGCTATACAGAGACTGATCGGTGCCGGGTAGACGGAAGCCAAGGCTAAGTATAAGGTAAGCGGAACGATCGCACCTTCGTCCCATGTCTAACTGAATGCATCCTTTAGCTCACTGATAAGGAGCTTGTGAGTCAAGGTTTCATAGATGAAGCTCCGTTCTCCCTCCTCACTTGTCTGCTCGCCGCTTTAGTTGACACTTCCCTTCGGCACGAAGCGGAATCCGTACAGGCGCAACGGGTAAGTCGCGGCATGGCTCCGGTGATGCCTCGGGCACTCAAGCGTCAGGCACCAGTCCTCCGATCAGGTCATTCAAAGATGCTCGTGTCTATGCGCTCGCGATGCGAGTACACGGCGGCCCCTTTGGCCACGAAGCGCACCTGAAGAAGCTTGCCGAGAGGAGTGCCAAGACCAAGGCTACCAAGACGAAGAACGGCACCCTGCCTGTTAAGAAGCCAAAGCCTGACCTCAGCCTGGCGATGATGTTCAGCGTGTTCATGTCGTCGCTGTACAACGACGAATACGATACCGAGGACTACGTTTACGACGATTACTAGCGTTCAGTGGTTGTGCGCAACCCCGGCCCAACTCGACAGTTGGCTTACTTCTTGATTCAACTCAGCGGTGTATGATAGCTTTCCTTCCGCTTCTCAGAGCCGTCTATCTTATCATGTAGCAATACTGTCGTCCATCTTTGTACCATGTCAAACCTTGCACATTAAGAATGCTGATTTATCTAATGCGACAGACAGACCAATAATAGATGATGTACTAATGCAATACTGCATGGGCGATTTCCGATACAAAATGTTGCTATATTCGCTTGGCAAAGTCGTTCAAAAACAGGATACACCGGTAACATGGTTGGCCGCGGCTGGTTCGCTCACTCAATTTACTCAGGCAGATCGAACCCAGCAGCCGTGAGCAGCGTCGCGAACTGGATGTAGGGATCAGTAGCCCGCCGTATCGCTAGGTGATTACAAATACCTACCTGTACTTTGGCGATCGACTTGAGCTGCTCGAAGTCATACCCCTCGCGCTCGCTCAGGTCACCTGCCATATTAAAGTAGTTGGTCAGGGAAAAAGCTGGAGACGTCTAATAGCGCCCGTCACGTACCGCTGTTGTGGTACATCGGGTCTATGATCTGAGGAATCATGGTGAATCAACGGCGAACTCGCAAGGCACGTCTGGATACGTACCGGCCCGGCCCGCTCAAATACTTGAGTTGAAGGGAAACCCTGCTCATGGAAGGACTAGCAAAAGTTATCGTGATGGTGAGAATACGTCCTGCTCCGATCCCCCATAAATCTTACTTGATGATCACTGCAGCATGCCTGGGATGTTCATCAGAGACAAGCCGCTGGTCCCGTCTGGACCAGACGTACCGGGGTTAAGCCCACTTGCAGTTCTGGGCTGTATATCGCCGACAAATTCGCCACCAGTTGGCTCACCTCAGGGGTGCCAATCCTGACAGTGTCTATAGCATCAGGGTCCAATCTATAGAACAATGTGTAGCCTTACAAATCGGGGAGGCCTAATTGGGCTGGCTCTCCAGGCGCGTGGTATGCCAGCATGTCGGCTTGGACCATCAAAGTCAAGTTTGTGCCCGCTTCCCGCATCTCACCTGCAAATAAAATGCAGTCAAGAATAAGCCATATCCGGTGCAATGGAAGTCTCGAGTCCACTCACGAGCATACGCCTTGGAGCCCAGTAGACCCTGCTCCTCCCCGGAAAACGCAACTAGCTCCACGTTACTCCTGAACGTGATACCTTTCCTTGCGATCGTCCTGGCAATCGCGAGGAGCGCGACCGTGCCGGAGCCATCATCGTCCCCTCCAGGGGCGCGCGTGCTCCCAAAGGACCCACGGCTGTCATAATGAGCGCTCAGGAGGACCGTGGCAGTGGTGTTGACTGTCGAAGGGTAACGGCTGGGTAGGAATTCTAGTCAAGGCCACAGAAAAGAGGTGAAGGGAAGGACATTACCAGACGACGTTAGGAGCAAAGCCCGCGAGGAAGGGTCTCAGTTCACAGGTCGCCCCAGTGTCTTCGAAACGGTCGGACAGCCAGGCAGCGGCCGTGCGGACGCCCGAGGAGAAGGAGTGGCGGGAAATGATGCCCGATTTTCCGTCCTCGCCTACACGATTTCATCAGCTTTTTTCTCGTAGGGTAAGTGGATAGTGAGCCTGACCCGTGAGGAAGCGGATATCATTCTTCATCTGGGGAACGGAGATATTCGACACGATTGCGGCCACCGTTGGGTCAAACTTGACCGAGTCAAGGAGCGCTCGAACCCTCTGGACGGCATCAGAGGGGACGGGTACGTAGGTAATGGGCTCCTTGAGAAGCAAGGTCGATTTCCAGAATGGCGGGATAATAGTGTCGATGACTTTGGCAGCATCGGCGGGGAGAGACAACAGGGCAGATGGACCGCTGCGGTACATCACATCGTAATGCGTGATGGGAGGTCCCAATACTTGTTCGCGCTCCCCCGCGAAGTCATACGCAGAGTACGCGGTGCCCAAAGTTGAGATCTTGGTTAGGAGCTCCTCCAGCTGGAGGTCGAAGCCGCCAGAGGGGGACTTCAAGGAGTCGTCGATAGCTTGCTCCTCAATCCATACCAGTTGCGCCATATCCTTGCTTGCTGGTACTATCGTCCCAGACGGAAGTGAATCGGTTACCAATTCCAAGCAAGAGGGGTCGGGGCGGAAGATGCTACGTCCCGAAAAGCTGCCATAATAGCTTTGAGACAAGCAGGGCTGGCCACTGAGTAGGGAGGGATCGAAGGCAGTAATCAGGAGGGTCGCTAGACCGAGCCCAGCGTTGGCGACCATGACGAGCGGATAAGGCTGGGAATGGCGGGGAGGCGTCGGACTCGTAGACGTGCACCATTCTTGGACGGGCCGGCGACAGCCGAAGGTGTCTTAGATAAGATAAGAAACGACCTTTGCTCGACGTTCGCAGGCTGCCACAGAGGATATTTGAACGCCCAGATGAGGCTGCAAACCAACATCGGACGACACAACCTGAGATCAGCGCATAAGGAAGGAGCAGTACCATATCCGGCGAGTGGATGATGGGAGAAGGTCAGGTGTGTTAAGCGCCCGCTTACCCCATTTGTCCAATACGCGAGGATACCCAAAACGCAGAATAATCTGGAGGTGAGGTGGGGGTGAAAAGTAATTCATTAGCATGATGGACAAGCCTCGAGAGCTTGAGATTGCACGAGGAAGTTTGGGCCATTCTAGGGTGACCTCTGGCCCAACGCAAAATATTCACAAGTCCATGAGGGCGACGAGTTAGAATTCGCCTCGGACTACCATACATGGAAGACGATGCTCTCAGAGTCGAACGTACAGACGAGAAGGGTTCGCCTACTAATTAATTTCAAGTTACATGCGGCGATGAAGACACGCGCTCACAGAAACGAGGAGCGAGACACCGGCTACATTGCACCAGAGACTGCCGATTGAGTCACTGCAGTTGATGAGCGCGGTTGCAAGGGAATAGGCATTTGAACTGCCCACCTTACCATTCTCATCGTCCCATCCAAGCGCACTCGACCGTAGTGGCGCAATCTTGCTCTCACGAGTAGACAAAGCACTGAGCACAGATCGCGCCGTCCAAGCGGCGAAGAACTAAGAACAATGCGTCGGCGGCACGTTCCGAGGTCACGGTCTGTGCGCGTCGCCAGAATCAGACTTTCAGCCACAGACGCATCGACCGTATAAAGGCCAACAGCGGCGCGACTTACCTTCCACTGCCACCACTTGAGCCACCTCTTTATCATGCACACATCCACTCTCCGCAGGAAGTCCCCTGATTCTGACGACGGCACATGTGGAGGCTCTCCACGTTCGCAGGCATCATCCTTCCCTTCGGAACCGGCTGTGGCATCCCAAGCGTCTGCGATAATCGGCATCACCAGCTCTGAGGAGCGTGCAACACAAATTAACGCAAACCCAAGCGATACCTCGGGCGCGCGCGAGGGCGGGAATGAACGCAGGCTATGGACTGTGGCGGGTGGAGGCGATGACACGTCTCCGTCGACTAAGAGACGCAAACTAGTCCACAAAGCGGACAAGCAGGCGGCCTACGACACGCTATCTACACCAACAGTAAGTCAAGCTCAATCATTATCAATGGTGAACATAGTGAGACGAGAGCATTACCAGCGCATTACCGCAAACAATGCCGCAGCGGCTCTACGGATGTATGGATTCGACCTGGGCAATCTGGACGGAATCGGCAACGAGGACAAAGTCGAGAGAATACCTGAGGCACGAGACCCATGCTGGATCTCGTGTTTATGCGCTGACATCAGATCGCAGGATGTCACCATGTCGGATGAAGAAGACAGTGCTTCGCAGTACAGCTGCGACAGTCTCTCCGACGAGGAGGTCTCCTTCCACATGTTCGACGGTGATGTAGAGGTGCCGGAGGACACCGAAGACGAGGACATCACCCTGCCGAGGGACATAGACTGGTACGCGCTAGTCGGGGACGCCGAAGGTGATCTGAACATCACCGTGGCGAGCGATGCCAGCGGGGTAGAGGTCGTTACCCTCGTGTTCGGCGAAGACGTGCCCACGGTCACGATCACCCGCCCAGACGAACCCGAGGACCCGTGGATCGCATGCCGGAACTGCGTGAACTGGCGATACGCACAGAACCCGCGATCCCTGCTAACACCAGGGGCATACATTGTGGGCGACGAATTGCCGAAAGAAATCGAGGATGATACCGGAGATGATCTGGATGAGGTGGAGGGGGACTACATCCTCGAGGAGTTCTTGCGGACGCTCGAGGAGGAGCTCAGGCAGGGTGCGGCTGAGGAACCCCGGGATCCAGAGCACGCCAGCGGTCGTGAAGGGGCAGTGATACGGGATATATGCGACGACTACGACTAGTCGCATGGGACCGTCGGTCTGGCGTTGTTCTGCGAGCGCCGTTCAAGCTGATAGCCTTATTGTTGTAAATCTAATGCCTTTGTAAAACATGCAGTTCTTTCTCTTGCTTGATTCTCCACTCACAGTGACTTCGCCGCTGATATTCGCCCGCGATTACAAGGTACTGGGCAGGGGAAAAAAGCAACACCCTTGACTGTGGAAGACAACGAGCTTTGTCCGCACAAGGTCCTTCGCGCTCGCGATCAAAACGACATGCATTGGGTATGGTGAAGCGGGCACGCGAGCACGTGCCTGGATACGCGTCTGATTTAAGATTTTGTGGCGTCGACGCGTTCGAAGTGTGCGGTAAAGTCTAATCGTAAGCAAGACTGAATTGAGATAGATTGCTTAGTATTAGCGCCTCGCGGCATTTACACAATTCTACGCAGGAAACCATATGTACATCTCACAAAGCATAATACTCAGCCAATGAGAACGCCAAAATACACTCATTCTCCCCATGCTATGACTCCTGCGGTTGCGTACTGGGCGCAGCCGGTGCAGGCGTAGGTATCCGGTCATGCCCCGCTACGCTCGCGATCGCTCCTGATACGCTGCTATCCGAGCTCTCGTTCTTGTCTAACCGTTCTAGATCCTCCTGCATCACCTCCTTGATATCCCGGATTTTTTCGCCCCGCAGGACTTTCTTGACTTCTTCGAGATCAAGAGTCTCGTACTCTATCAAGGCGTGGGCGAGCTGGGCAAGGTATAGTCAGCTATCCGTAAACATAAGCGAGAGAATTGAAGTACCCTGTGCAGTTCGTCCTCTTTGCTCTTCAGAAGCTTGGCGACTCGGGCTTCACCAGCCTTCAGGAGGCTGTAGAGCGGACGTTAGGTTCATCACCCACGACAGCAATGTCTGCACTTACTTCCGGATCTCGTCCTCGATCTCCTCCCTCCTATGCGGGCTAATAGCCTCTTCACGGTCGCTGTAGTATACAGGCCCAACCTTCTGAGAGTAACCGAAATTCTGAGCAGACAGATTAGCATCCAGTAGTACAGTCTTGCCGCCTCACTCACCTTCACCATACGGGAAGCAGTGCTGGTTGCGTGCCGCAAGTCACTCGAAGCACCACTGGTGACATTCTCCGGGCCAAAGACTAATCCAACGTTAATACCTCTCATATCGATGTAAATGTTGACCGAGAAACGTACTCAATTCTTCCGCAACACGTCCTCCGAAGCACACGTCAATCTCCGCGAGGTACTCCTTCAGAGAGACGCTATGCCGATCGTCCTCGGGCAACTGCGAGGTCACACCCAAAGCATGTCCCCTAGGCACACACGTAACCTTGTGCAGCGGCATGGCACCCTCAGTGTACAGCGCGACCAGGGCATGGCCACCCTAATCGCAGAGAACTATTAATACGGGAAACGTAAGTGGATAGTCATGAGCTTGCCTCATGGTAAGCCGTGAGCTTCTTGACATTATCGTTGATATACGAGCTCTTGCGTTCGGCACCCATGATGATCCTGTCCTTGGCCCATTCGAGATGCCTCGCAGTCACCTCTTTAGCGTGTTCCTTCGAAGCCTGGATGGCAGCTTGGCTAATAAGGAACATAATAAGCAGTATTGCATTTGAACAAAACGGGTTCACGTACTTGACCATATTCTGCAAATCAGCACCAGAGAATCCAGGAGTGCCACGAGCCAATATAGTGAGATCGACCTCTGCGTTGCAGATTCAGATTAGCACCGTACCCTGACTGATAGCACATCCAACTTACCAGGCGAAGTCACGATCCCCTTCATATGATGCTTCAGAATCTGAACACGACCCCTCACATCCGGCAACGGTACCGCCACAATCCTATCGAACCGACCAGGCCGCACGAGCGCGGGATCAAGAGCCTCCAAGAAGTTCGTGGCAGCAATCACTACAACGCCCTCACCCTGCTCGAACCCGTCCATCTCGACGAGCAGCTGGTTAAGCGTCTGTTTCATGTAAGCCGAGTCGCGTGCATTACGCTTGGATCCGATGGCATCCAGTTCGTCGATGAAGATGATTGAAGGGGCCTTTTTCCGTGCTGCGGCGAAGAGCTCGCGGACGCGCTTGGCACCAACGCCCACAAACATCTCATCGAATTCAGAACTAGGTGGTCGTGCTCGTCAGCCAAGGATACGAAACGCTCACAGTCGATGACGGAGATGGAATAGAACATGTACTCACCCGCTAGCAAACAAGAACGGTACGCCTGCCTCTCCAGCAACCGCCCGAGCCAACATAGTCTTACCGGTACCAGGCTGTCCCGTCAAGAGGATACCTCTCGGTAACTTCCCTCCGAGTGAAGCAAATGCCGTCGGATCCTTTAAAAACTCCACAACATCAAACAGCTCCTCCTTCGCCTCATCCACGCCATGAACGTCGCTGAACTTGTATGTTTTACCCTGCTGTGGCTGGAACTCCGCCTGGCGCGGGCCGGCCTTCAGTAGGCCCGAGTTCTCAAGCAGGATCGAGAGTATGACGAGGAAGAAGAAGCCGATGAAGAGGGTCGAGACGACGAAGCGAATGATGCGCGGTACCCAGGAGCCCTTGGGCTCTTGCACTATGACGCTGATAGGGTTGCTGGGACCGCCGACGCCGCCAGGAAGAGGACCACCCGTTGCAACAGTGCCGGCAGCAGTGTTTGCGCTGCTTCCTTTCCCGAAGATCGAACCAAGAGACAGTCCAGACGAAGCTGACGTAACTGGTGCGGCAGGTTTCTGAGCAGCAGCAGCCAGTGCGGCAGCGAGCGGATCAGGACTCGGTGCAGCAGGATTCGCGCCGGATAGAACTTCCTTGGCCAACAGAGAAGATCTACTCAATGATGCAGCCTCTGTGAGACCGGATATCCCTTGTGAGCGTGCGCCATTGATCGAGCTGTCCGCAACCTGTGACGATGCACTGGCCTGAGCCGATCCCAAAGATGATGATGCTTCTGCGGCTTGACCTTGTGACTGAATGGGAGCTGCCACCCCAGGATGATGTTCCTTTATGAGGCGTTCTCTCTTTGAGACCGCAGCCGGCAACGCATCGCCAGCACCGAGGTAATTCAGACAGTAAAGATAGAGCTGAAATGCGCGATCGCTTGTCAATAGAGGACTCTTGGGATCCTGCATTTGCAATGTGAGTCATCTACTGAAGATGATATCAAAACATGCACACTCACGAATTCGCACATCCTCTCCCATCTTGCCGTGACCAGTTCATATCCCTGCCTTGTGCCGGAGTTGACCAGGGCTTCGAATAAAGCCAGTTGCTTCTCCACATCATGCGGTCTCTGGTTTGCCTCGACTTCAAGTAGAGTGATGGACGCCACCACATTCGGTGGCGGGTGGGGACCGTCCGAGCCGACGAGGGACCTTAGAGATATTGAACGCCGTAACGAGGTTGACAAACCGATATTAAATACACATGGCGAAGGAGCGTTTACTGTGGTAGGGCGAAAAGGTGTACGAGGAATGGTGGCATTACGGAACACGGTTTGTCGGCTGGGAAAGGAGGAGAATGGGCGAGCGTGTGCGAGTATTGACGAGGCTGGTCGACGACATGGGCTCCGAAGAGCACACGCCAGCGAAAGATTCATGCCAGCGACTAAGTGTTGGCACAAGTCAAGCGTAGAGCGAGCGCATGCAGGTTGGGGACTGTAGAAAGCGCTAAGTCCCGCGTTCCGTCTTACGCAGCGCCGGCAGCAATTTCACTCAGCCCTCGGTTACGTAAGGTCCTATTGGCTGTAGCCGCCAGGGTTAGGGTCCCGATATTTCGCTCGCTTACGCTCATGTCGGACAAACAGAAAGGTCCTCTTTCATCGCTCTTTATCTTTTGGCTGTTTTGACGCGTCTCTCCAGCTGTCTTAGCCCTGTCTATTGCGTCCCAGACATGCACGACTGCGCTTAACGCCCTCGCCTCGCCGACGTCTCTGTCTTCTAATCACTTCACGGACGCGCCATCCTCCACCTGCCCTCCACCCGCGCTCGAGACGCTGCACAAAGACCTTCTGTCCATTCTCCAGCTTATCTCACACTCGCTGACTAGGCTTGCCCTGGTCCTCAAGCCCTCCGGCCCCCCTTCATATTCCGCGTCCACGCCCGTCCTCACAGAGCTTACCAGCCAGATCAGTGATCTTGCAGGATGTACCGGTACGTTCGGGTTACATCGAGTGACCTACGGCGAGTTCCTCGTAAAGGAGGTCAATCAGCTCGTGGAGGAGATCGTTTACACCACCCGGTCTTTATTGCAAGCGTACCTCCATCTAGCCTCGGACTCTCCGAGAAGACGCATTGGCACCCCCAACGTCGGCGTGCTGGATGAGGATCGGATACTCGGAAGCGAGGAGTCGCAAGATGAATATCTCAGACTAACTGGTACGATACATCAGTTGATCGACGGTGCTGTCGGTGCCTCTGCGGCGAGCTCGAAGAAAGGTAAGAGCAAGGCGCTCGTTCCTGGTCTCTCGAAGAACAATGCGGAAGCGGTGAGGAAACTGTGGATACTTGACGGCGGGAGCGTCAAGGACGGAGTGAGAGAACTCAAGGAGATGATTGATGATTATAATGATGAAGATGGAGACGAGGATGAGGGGCTAGGACAGGAAGAGGAGGAAGACGACGGATGGGGGGAGCTGGGACTGGGTACGGCTAAGCTGAAAAAGGCAGAGGTTGAACGCGCCAGCCAGGTTCTCTATTCCAATCTCTCGATTCATAATCATGTCTCAATATTGCTATTAGGTCCTGCCCCTGTTAAACCTTACGGCGACGCTTCACACGCACCTCCCTACCCTCTTTGCCCCTTCTCCCTCTACGTCCTCCTCTTCATACTTCCCGACTCTCCCGAACCCGACCCTTTCCCTCCTTCCACCGCTCTCTGCCTCTCTCCTAAGCACCTCCGACGACCTTATCGCGTCCCTATACTCGCCGCAGAATCCTATGAACATCTCAGGAAACGTGCGGAAGCTAGAGAGTGTCGTGAAGGAGCTGGAGAGCGTGTTCAAGCCTTTGTACGGTGGGGGCTCTACGCTGGAGGAGAAGATGGCCCGCATGAAAGTTGCTGATGGCAGCGAGGAAGAAAAAGAGGGGGCAAAGCGGGAGATGCTGATGGGGATCTTTGCGCGGGTGTATGCTGCTGCTCAGGGTATTGAACGAGCTATCAGCTCGGAGAGCGGATCTTAATCCTGTAGAGACTGCATTTCGCGCCCACCTTGGCCGTTCGAGACTTTTGATTGTCAACACGGGGACAATAAAGTGTAGATCCCTGTCCAGGTCCTGTCAAGATTTCCTCCTTGGCTCGGGCCTGAGAGGAGTGTGCACTTTGCTGTCCGTCCTGGTCATTGAGGCTCTATTCACAATCGTATCTCAAGTCGGCGCCATTCCACATGCGCACTCTGGTATGTAAGAGCTCCATGCGTTGCGAGATGTTTATTATACAGTGAGCGTTCGAGGATGTGAGATACAGATGGACTGGTAAATATCAGGTCGAAATCCGTCACACCCAATCACCTCCGCAACTCAGCAGAACCCTCTCTCCTCTTTCTCTCTCTCTCCCGCTTCGTACCCTCCCAAATCTCCCTCACCTTCCCGCACAGCAAATTAGGGAACGCAGCAGAGCTCTTGCGCTCCTTTAGCATATCCTCAAACCGCCCGACCTTCTCAGGGACCGCCGTCAGCGAAAACGAACGCTTAGCCTCTTCCAACCGCTTTGCGCGCGCCTCCTCGCGCATCTTGTCCAGTTCCTTACGGCGCTCTAGCTCCTTTTCCTTCCGGTTTATGCCAGAACGGGGAGCAATGCCTCCGGTCTATGTACTGGAAGTCAGAGTTATGTAGGAATGAAGGTTACGAAGATTACTCACGCCCTTGAACAATTCAGCATAGACATCTTTGTTCCGCAGGTCGAACTCTGTCTTCTCCTGGACGACCTTCTTCTTGCCCAGCAACTCTGCTAGTCCGTCGTCGGCCAGCCCAGCTTCCGTTGCAACGGCTTTCCTTTCGGTCGCGGAAGGGCCAGCTACCGCTGCCTTGGGTGGATCTTCAGCAGGCTTCTTGGGATACGGTGTCGTGGTGGGGGTGGACACGGAAGAGCTGCCAGGAGGCTTGTTCTTCTTGATTGTGGGTAATTTCTTCTTCTTGGGTATTGGCGGTAGCGAAGATGTCGGGGTCGGTTGCGGAATAGCGGAGGGAAGATCGGAATCAGCGATAGAGCTGGGACCTGGGGTGGTTGCAGCAGGAGTATTCACTGCCGTTGTAGGACGTGGTGAACCCGGAGTGTCTCCTGTGTCATCCCTCTCCTTCCCTATAGGTCTCCGCATCACAGGCGTAGATGTACCCTTGGTACAGGCACCCGCTGGCGGCAAGGATACTTTCCGCTCATCCTTGAAGACGATCTCTTTATCCTCCTTCTTTGTCTTCTTCCCACCTTTCACCTTCACTATCCCGTTACTCCGTGCGATCCCGGAAGCCTTCCCCTTATCCCTGGGCTCCTTGCTGCCCCGCCGGCGCTGCTCCGGCTCGAAGTCGTAATCCTCCTCGTCCATCTCTCCATTGCCGACCACGTCAGCGAAGTCTTCATCCGACGACCACACAACCTTCGCCGTCCGCTTCCTCACCCTCTTCGAGGACTCCCTGGGGCGTGACTCGTCTGCCGGCGCGGGCTTCACCTTCTTCGGCACTGTAGGCCTGGTATCCTGCACCTCGTCTCCTTCTATGTCGACCTGTTCTTCGTCATCATATGTTGCAGGATTTTGCCTGGCTCGCTTCGTAGGCGGATGGGGACTGTTCGGCGGAGAACGATTGTAGTCATTCGTATATGAGCCGCCGCCATCTTCCTCGTCGTCTGAGACGACGCGTCGTTTACCGTGGCGCACGCGGGGCTCGCCACTGCGTGAGCTTGACGGCTTTCCGTATTATCCGCGTTGAGCACGACACATTACGAGGCATCAGTGAATATACCTGATCTGAAGTCTTCGGTATCCTGATTTTCAGCGATGACGGCCCCGACATTGGTAGTTGTGGGCGCGAGTGTGAGCGGTGGTCGAGAGGAAGTATTGACGCCACAATTGCCGCCGGAAAAGGAAGTATTGACATGTCGCGTCGGGCGAAGCCGTGTACCGGATTGGGAATTTGTTCCCGCAATTTTTGTTCGGGCTTTCCGTCAGGCGCAAGTTGTTGCTGACTCTGCAGTCGGCCAGCTCATCCGTATATATCCCTCACCTACGACCGTCTTCTCTTACGCCCGCATACCCCCTCGACGTTCCACCATGAGTCGTGTTCAGGCTTTCCAGTTGTTCCGGTCTTGTGCCGCGTCCATGTCGTCACGACCCTCGATGAATGCTTTGCACCTGCAGAGCCGACGCGCTGCGGCTATGGGTACTCGATACTATTCCGACGTGAAGTCAGAAACCGGTGTCAAGGAGGGGGAGGCTAAAGAAGAAGCTAAAAGCGAGGGCTCCAGTATCCCCGCGCCGGAGAATGAGTGGGAGACGAAGTTGAAAGCGAAGGAGGAGGAGGTTGCCGATATGAAGGTACGCGTTCAATCTGATAGTCACCAAATCATATCGTGCCAGACCAATGAGCTCATGTCTACCCGTGCTATATGCTAACATGTCCTGCCATGCCAGGCCCGCCTACAATATCTCCAAGCGGACTTTCTAAACCTCCAACGTAATGCGGCCCGAGAGAAAGAACAACAAAAGGACTTCGCAATCACCCGATTCGCCTCTGACCTCCTCGAGACTGTCGACGTCCTCGCCCTCGCCCTCAGATCTGTCCCGCAATCCGTTCTCCACCCTACCCCCGCAGACCCGTCCGTCTCCCAGGCTCAAAATGACGTCCCAATATCATCCACGACCACTGAGTCCTCGGGACCCCCACCTCCTGAACCCTCTTCCTCTTCCTCACCACCCCAAAAGTCCGCGCTGGACTACTTGGTCGAGCTACACCACGGTGTGGAGATGACCCACCGCCTGCTTCTTTCGACACTCTTCAAATACCAGGTCAAGCCGTTTGATCCTACTGGTGATACCTTCGACCCGAACAAGATGGAAGCACTTTACCAAGCACCCATACCTGGCAAGAAGCCAGGGGAAGTTATTGATTGCCAGAAGGTTGGCTACATGATCAAGGACAGAGTCTTGAGGGCAGCACAGGTCGGTGTTGCACAAGATGTGCAGTCGTAAGCTGGCAGGATGGGAGGCTGCCATGGACTGGCGTCGTGGGGCTATCCAGCGGGCGAGGCTAGGAAGATGTCGGTCTATAGTCTATAGAGCGAGCGGTTGTTGTGAAGAGTCGCTGAGGCGCCGAGCAGTTCGACACCATTGGCACTGGGGAGCATAAACCATATTGTATCGCGTATAATCACACCTAACGAATCTCAACTCCGAAACGATCTTTTAAGCGTGAGACGACCTCGGCCTGCAAGACGTTAACTTCTTCGTTAGACAGGGATCTGCAGAGGTATGATGTCGGTAACTGAGTCCTGGAAGCAGCTGTTAACCGACGCACCGGTCCATTGAACGATAATTAATTCTATAGCAAATGCTATCCCGGTTTGTTTTTGGGTGCGTGAACTTGTCAATCTGGAGGAAGTTAGCTTCAGGCACGAACGACGCCAGAAACCAAGTATGACTTACGACTTTCACGTCTTCCACTAGATCTCCCGCAACATCTCTGACGAGATCGCAGAAGTCATTTTCGTGCATTTTTGCGTCTCCCTCGGCTTGCTCAGGTAACCAAAAACTAACGTCCTTGAAACATGACGGGTATTTCGAGTAAGGCTTGAACGTTGAAATCTCGCCGGCTTTGAACTGGGACAGGAAGCGCGGGTCAGAGGACCAGAATAGTCGGATATCAGGAATGGAGTAGAGGATCATGGCTATCCGCTCCAGACCTAGACCAAATGCCCATCCGATTTTATTGGGAACCTCTGAAGCAAGACCAATCTGAGTAAAGTGTGTGACAGATGGAGGAGTTTCGTACTTGCGCGATCCAGGGTTGACTGTAGGACAACACCGCATCCGAGAATCTCTAGCCATTTACCGCGGAAAAAGACTTCGACTTCGTAGCTGGGACTTGTGAAAGGGAAGTATGCCTCTATCCAGCGGACCCTCAACGGGTCCTCTTTGGTCGCTCCAGCGCTTCCACCGAACAGCTCCAACAAGAGACTGTTGAGATACAGTTTGAGATTCAACGCAACTGCCTCGGAATGTATCCGATTATGCGAAGGCTGAGCTGGGTTAGCGGGTGTAAGATGGGGGACGTCTTCTATGACGATGTTAGATCTTTCCAAGTGCCGCAACAACCGCTCATTGTCCTCTTGTATCTCGCTAATACTTGACTCAGTCGCATCGACTATCCTTGCCCCCTCCATCTGGTGGAAGACAGGGTAATGGCTGCCGTCGATCTCGTCCCTCCGGTAGACGTCGGCCGTCAACAGCCATTGTATCTCGCCCCGCTCGAAGACCTCCACCTCATGCGCGCTCGTATGTGTTCGAAGCATCACATCTTTGTTGATGTAGTAGCTGTCCGTGACAGAACGGCCTGGGTGATCTGCTGGGAAGGAAAGCGAGTCAAAGTTCTGGTAGGGCGAAACGATGGGCGAAACCGATGAGAGGTGGGAGAAGGAGGCGAAATGGGACTCGATCAGGGTTCGGAGCGTGCAAATAGGATGCCCGGGTTGCCTATGCAGTTGTAGAGGGAGTTTCGAGATGATCGTAGGGGTTATGTTCGTATACGAGTCTGTCGGGTAGTCTCTACCAAGAATATTGATGGTCGGCACACCGGTAGGGGTTGAGTAACACCGCCTAGCATATCCGTTTAGGCGTAGGTGACGCAGCACAAGTCTTTTGTACATGATCAAAGAAGCCCTACGCGTCCAAATGCGACGAAACGCGTCCAAAGTGCTCCGGTCGATAAATTGTCAATGAAGTACGCTCGACGTACACAGTCCTACAAAGACGTCCCCGGAACTTTCCGATAATTGAAAGCACTTCAAGTTGACTTCAAGTGCATCCGTTCTGATACTCGTTTTGATGCAACACGATACATCACCAGCTCTGGCGCTCATTCGAGGCAAATGGATCAACCCTGGTTTCCCCAGCAATGCTGTGGTTTGCACATACATTTTAACCAAGCTCCCAGGATTCAGAGGAGATTAAAAAGATGACGGACTGATGAAAACTTGGACAATACAAGAGGTATACCAGATGCCCCGCCGAACCCAGGAAAGCTTCGAGATGCAGAAATCATATAGCTTGCTTTGAAAGAGCGTTCGGAGTCTACAGCTGTCTACAGGCGTCCCTTTGAATTCTCACCTTTCTTGATGATCTTGTAATAGGCAAGGCATTCCGGTCCAGCCTCCGGAACTCCGCGCAGCCAATCGGCAAGCCCCGCGTCGTTGGTCAACCCGTCACTAGTCACTGACCATTGCGGTGTGAATTGCACTCCACGATTACTGCAGATTGACTGGAGGACTACATACTGTGGACAAGACACCTATGAGAAATTCATCCCCGTCTGGTGTGTCTGCATGATTTGATCCCTGTTTCATCCCTAACTCTTCAGGGGGTTGCGGCAGACAATACCTCGCCAGCATCGCCAGCACGTCGGACTGGCGGTATTACTGGCAGGAGAGCTCCCCCCCGAAAGAAAGCGTGTCAACAGTGTACAAACGCAAAGACTAGATGCGATCTTCAAAGACCGACTTGCTCCAGGTGTCAACTGCGAGGACTTGATTGTCGTTACGCCGCTCAGCCGGAGCTATACGGCGAAGGGAGCGCGCCCAGTAGCCGCGTCAATTATAGCATTTCTGCAGAACGCTCCAGTATTGTCGTCCAAAGTGCTGCCTCGTCGTCAACTTCGCACATTAGCAATAGCAATAGCACGCAAGGGCAGCCAGGACCAATATTCCCTCCGATTTCCTTTGACCTCGACGAGGGATTAATACAGGGGAATATGTCCGCCATGTCTCCGGCATATGATCCTTTCCGTCCGTCTTCACCAGTCGCAAGTGGGAGCTACTCGACACCCACTGTCACACCTCCATCAACCCTGGACACAGACTTGGTGTCTTCAGTTGACCCATCCCGGATCCGGAGCCGCTGGCTGGACCAGATTCTCGCCTCTCCTGATCAGAGGCCTAAGCATCTCTCAGAGCTCGCTGTTAGCTATATGTCCCAGGTGCTCAAGACGTATCCCAAGATGATGCTCCGTCAAGGAGGTCTTCCACCTTTGATACATCATTCCCAAGCGGAAGGCGAGCGGATACCTGTGCCTTTGGCGAATTGTCTCAGTCTAGTCCGCATGTGGGAGAATAGGGCTCCCGGCAGCGAGATGATTGCCATACAGACGATAAAGTGGGAAATGGAGAGACTCTTCCGAGAAGTTAGTTCCTTTGTTATTACTCCTCACTTACGTGAACCCTGACTTAGGTGATGTTCAGTATGGAACGTATGAGCAGATGGAGTTGTTGGCCGCATTTCAAGCATACTTGATCTATTCTATCATGTTATTTTTCTCGTCTAGCGAAGATGGAAAATCTGTAACCGACCGAACCGTTATGATCAACCTCCAGGAACTGGCTTGTCGGGTTGCCCAAACAGGACTCGTGTGCGCAGCCGAGCTTTCGCACTGTAGACCGAGGTGGGAGTCATGGATCGTTGCGTCCGCGAAGCGGCGCACACTGTATATCATGTACTTCCTTGACAACGTCTACTGCACTCTGAACCACATCCCTTGCCACATAGCGGAGGAACTAGGAAGTCTTCTGGCCCCCGCTAGCAAGGCTCTCTGGGAGGCCCGGACAAAGGAAAAATGGGAGAGAGAGTATGACATCCACCTCGCTGCCTGGAATGGTGGCGGGCTGAGAATAGGCGAGTTGTGGGCATCACGGGAGAGGGGAACTGCTACGCAGCAAGAAAGAATCCAGAGATGGCTTGAGAGCGTGGATGAATATGGTATGATGTACTTCTCAGTAAGTGCTATGATTCATGGTCTTTAACATGGTGCGCGCATACATTGGGCCTCAACTGACATGGGTTGACCCAGCCGTACGCCATCTGCAGATGTTCAGACGCGGCACAGGAGTTCCCCATGGAATAAGGCAAACCATCCATCCTCCTCCCTGCCCCATGCTCGCCACGCTTCAGCGGCGCGCTCAAGATCCTCGTCCGTCGCCAAACCCTTTTCCTTTGCCGTCTTAGGGAAGTCTGACTTGAGGGTCCGCTCGGCCCAGAGGTCGCTCCACCACGCTCGCTCTTCCGGCGTGCTGTAGCACCACCCGCTGACGCTCTTCGTCATCCCTTTAGGATCTATCCCAGCCTCCTTCGCCCAAACATGCAACCGGCGTCCGGCGTCAGGCTCTCCGCCGTTTGCGCGGGACACGCGGTAGAACAAGTTATGCCACTCGCGCATACCGTTGACCTCGGGGTACCATGTCATGGTGGCAGCGTCCGTCTCGCGGTCGGCGATGAGCCCGCCGGGCTTGGTGACCCTGCGCATCTCGTGGAAGGCTTGGACAGGATCGCCAAGGTGCTGAATGACCGCGTGCGCGTGCACGACGTCGAAAGTGTTATCCCGGAAGTCGAGCTTCTGAGCGTCGCCCACGACCCATTCGACGTTCTTGACGCCCTTGTCGGCGGCCAGAGCGCGTGCTTGCTCCAGCGGCTGCGGGGTGGGCTCCAGGCCTACGACACGACCTTGGGGAACGAACCGAGCGAGATCGACGGTTATGGAGCCGGGGCCGCATCCCACGTCCAGGATGTGCATGTCGGGCTTCAGGTGAGGGAGGAGATATGCGCAGGAGTTGGAGGCTGTGCGCCATGAATGGGACCTTAGTACTGAGGCATGGTGTCCGTGAGTATACTGGGCTGAATGTTGCGACATGGTCTATGCGAGATCAGAGATCGTCAGTACCTTAGGAAGGGGCATCATGTATCCTCTCGCACCTTTGTGTGAGAGATATCTGTGTTGGCCTCAATCCCGAAGCAGCGCTTTTATACTCCGAGGCCTTGATCGGGGCGGATGCCAATATTGACCGGAACTCCAGTCTGAGAGGTTAACGGAACTCCGGTCCTCACTTCGAATTCATACGGCCGCCTGGCCTGTAAGCTGGTATATTACCCACTCCGGCCCGTTCTTGGAGACTCGTAGTTGGACTGCTGTCCTTTAGCATTCAATGTACATCCTCCAGACGTTAGTCGAATGATAAGACATATTTTTCACCGGCGTGCTCTCGAGATCCGTTGTAACCCCGGACAAGCATAGAACGATGCAAGAGCATAAGATCAGCTATACTTAGTACGAACAAGACGAAACTTCGAGTCGACAGTAATACTACCAAGTCAGTAATTGCATAGCTGTCCGCTCAGAGAGGCCATTTTGGCCATATCCACGCGATCGTCGGCCGACGAGAGTTGCAACCGCCACAAGAGTCAAGTATAGTGGTGGCAAATTTATATAAGCCCCGCCTTCTTGAGCAAATCTTGGACGTACCCTCCTTCATCGTGTCTCAAGCATCGCTAGTCGACAGAGGCCAGTATCTTCACGGTCTGCTCAAGGAGCGTATTTACGGTGGAGAATTGGGAGGCGGGGGAAACGGTCCGAATCCAAACAAGATACAACATCGGACTTGGACTCACAGTGACACGATAAATATGCTCGCTCTCACAGCGCGCTATCGTGCGTGGTCCTTTCCCCTCATCCGTTCAATGGCGTCTGTATCTGCCAGCGGCGCTGGAGGCGCTAAGATCATCGATGGTACGGCCCTCGCAAAGTGCGTACTTCACTTACGCATATTCCTACATCATGCATGTTCAATTAACCGATCGTATGCAGGTCCATCCGAGATGGTGTCGCGCAGAGGCTAAGCGCGATGAAAGCCAAGTATCCGCGCTTCGAACCACAGCTCGCCATCATCCAGGCAGGCGCTCGTCCGGATTCTAGCGTGTATGTGCGCATGAAGGCTAAGGCGGCGGAGGAGGTCGGCGTGAAGTTCAAACATGTCAACCTCCCAGCCGAGGCGGAAGTCGACGAGATCGTTCGCATCGTCAAGCAACTCAATGATGACCAGACGGTCAGTGGCATTTTGGTTCAGCTACCCCTTGGCGAGCATGTGGGGGCTGCTGGTGAGCGGACGGTCACTGAGGCAGTAAGTCCTGAGAAGGACGTCGACGGGTGAGTGTTCTTACCCACCTTATTTGCGTGTCTCTACACACGGTATGTTTCCTAGTTTCCATGCATACAACATCGGCCATCTCTCTTCCCGTGCTGCAGACCCGCTCTTCACCCCTTGCACCCCAGCTGGTGTTATCCGTCTACTGGAGTCTACGGGTGTTCCCATCGCAGGCGCGCAGGCAGTCGTTCTTGGACGCAGCGATATTGTTGGTAGCCCGGTAGCTGCTATGCTGAGAAGCAAAGATGCCACGGTTACACAGTGCCATAGTCGCACCAAGAACTTGGAGCAGATCGTGAGACCTAGTTTGTACACGTGTGGGATCACTGAGTTAATGCGAGTGAATGCAGATCCGGTCGGCTGACATCTTAGTTGCTGCCATTGGACGTGCCCAGTTCGTCCAAGGAGAATGGATCAAGCCCGGTGCTGTGGTTATCGACGTCGGTACTAACTACATTCCAGGTAATCTACTCGTTAGACTACCACCGCAACTCTTCTCATCCTCATTTCAGATGCGACGAAGAAGTCTGGACAACGTCTCGTCGGTGATGTCGACTTCGATTCAGCTGTGTCCGTGGCCTCTCACATCACGCCGGTTCCCGGTGGCGTTGGGCCCATGACTGTCGCTATGCTCATGGAGAATACTCTGAAGTCCGCGGAGCGTCTATGGGAGCAGACTCGTTCCCTGAAGGTCAAACCACTCAAGCTGGACATCAAAGAGAAAGTGCCGAGTGATATCGTAATCGCTATGGCGCAGACGCCCAAGCCTATTACCCAGTTGGGGCACGAGATTGGCTTGCTTCCGAGCGAACTCGAGAGCTATGGCCAGTACAAGGCCAAGGTCGAGCTCGGCGTTCTGGACCGGCTGGCGCACAGGAAAGACGGCAAATACATCTTGGTCTCCGGGTTTGTGGCTCTAGTGCTGGCTCTTGCCATTGTTACTCACCTATCCGCAGAATTACCCCTACACCTCTCGGCGAGGGTAAGTCTACGACGACTATCGGTCTGGCACAGGCACTCGGTGCCCACCTTGGACGGCCCGCCTTTGCGTGTGTCCGGCAGCCCAGTCAGGGCCCAACCTTTGGAATCAAGGGAGGTGCTGCTGGCGGTGGTTACAGCCAAGTAATTCCCATGGACGAGGTACGGGATCGCTATGGCGTTAAACAGGCAGGACAGCTGATACTGACTGGCCCGTAGTTCAATCTTCACTTGACCGGAGACATCCACGCCGTGACCGCAGCGAACAATCTCCTAGCAGCTGCGTTGGATGCCCGCATGTTCCATGAGGCAACTCAATCAGATAAGGTTTGTATCTTGACACTTTCACCCCTTTGCCAGACTAAGGACTGTTGTCAGGCGTTGTACAGTCGTCTCGTACCTACCAAGAAGGGCAAACGTGAATTCGCGTCGTTGATGTTCAAGCGGTTGAAGAAGCTGGGCATCGACAAGACCGATCCGAACGAGCTCACAACGGAGGAAATCACGCGCTTTGCACGCCTGGATGTCGATCCCGAGACTATTACGTGGAACCGCGTCCTCGACACGAACGACCGATTCTTGCGCAAGATCACCATCGGCCATGCCGACACTGAGAAGGGCCATGAGCGTGTCACCGGTTTCGATATTGCCGTCGCGAGCGAGTGTATGGCTGTATTGGCCCTGACTACAGGCCTGGCCGACATGAGAGAAAGGCTTGGTAACATGGTCGTTGCTACCAGTAAACAGGGCGACCCAGTCACGGCTGATGACATCGGCGTCGGAGGAGCTTTGGCTGTACTCATGAAGGACGCCATCAAGCCCAACTTGATGCAGACTCTGGAGGTGCGTGTTCATGATCACTGCATACTGCATCATCTGATGAGTATTTCTATTACAGGGAACCCCCGTCTTTGTGCATGCAGGACCCTTTGCCAACATTGCGCACGGCAACTCATCTATCCTTGCTGACCGGGTAGCACTTAAACTGGCAGGTACAGAGGAGGGTGACCCCGCAGACCGGGTGGGGTATGTACTCACCGAAGGCGGTTTCGGTGCCGACATGGGCATGGAGAAGTTCTGTAACATCAAGTGTCGTGTGTCTGGCTTGACCCCCGATGCTGTGGTCATCGTGGCCACCACCCGTGCGCTGAAGATGCACGGAGGAGGTCCCGACGTGACACCCGGCAAGCCTCTCCACGAGACGTACACCAAGGAAGACCTGAATACACTTAGGGAAGGATGCAAGAATCTCGTCAAGCACATTGAGAACTCGAAGAAGTTCGGCTTGAAGGTCATCGTGGCGATCAACCAATTCTCGTGAGTGATATGCTGCTTTAGGAACCACGACCCCTGTGCTTATCAATGCATTCCAGGTCTGATACACCGGCCGAGCTCAAGCTCGTGGAGGAGTTATCCCTGGCTGGCGGTGCTGATGCCGCAGTGGCGAGCAACCACTGGGCTGAAGGAGGAGCCGGTGCCGTCGCTCTGGCTCAAGCTGTGATCTCTGCTTGCGAAAGTCCATCGAACTTCAAGTTCTTATACGACCTTAACCTACCCATTGATAAGAAGATCGACATCATCTGCAAGGAGGTGTATGGGGCCGATGGCATTCAACTCAGCGATCTTGCTAGCAGGCAAATCGAGACCTACACCCGGCAAGGCTTCGGTCACCTGCCTAGTGAGTGTATCTCTTGTGATATTGGGGTAGGGTTGTTGACGCGCCCTTAGTCTGTATGGCAAAGACACAATACTCTTTCTCGCATGATGGAAAGCTAAAGGGAGTGCCTACCGGTAAGTGTATAATCATCCACAGTTTGGCAACAAACGGCGACCTAAATTACTTGTCTACAGGATTCACTGTTCCTATCAGAGAAATCCGTCTCTCCGCTGGAGCAGGATTCTTATACCCAATTTTGGGCGACATGCAGACCATGCCAGGTCTTGGAACACGCCCAGGTTAGTGCCTACGTCCCTACTTTTTGCTGTGACAACCTTTTACTAATGGCGGTTCAGGCTTCTGGGAGGTGGGACTTGACCCCGAGACAGGCCGAGTTGTCGGCCTGTTCTAGATAAAATTGACCTCACGCACTAGAGCTAGTCTTCACCAGACAGTTTTCTAGGCGAAGGCACCGTCTCAACACGGAGCTTTGTACCGTTCAACACGGGTACGACGGTGACCATTGTCGCGCCAAGGAGGTGTTGAAGGGGTTAGTAACTGAAAGCTCGAGACAGTGCTTGCCCATGTAGTTGTGGTATCTTGCTTGGTTATGACATTGCTAGTCATGACAAACGCACGGAATAGATGGATGCTACTCTGGAACATCTACTGTCCGATGTGTTTACTACCTGGCAATCGCGCCCCCGCGATGGTAAGGGCAGTGGAAGGTGAGAACGACGGGAAGGAGAAGTAGCCCCCAGGCGCGAGACTACCCCCTTGCTCGTCATATGTGATGTTATTCAGAGCCGCGTCCACGTTTCGCCAGTATGTGTTGCCAGCCAGGTCAACGTAGTTGAAGGTGTTGTTGGATGTTCCATTGCCGTAGTTGCCACTGGAGGAGATGGTAAAGTAGCCACCTATAATGACCCGCGTCAGTTGGAGAATGACAGGTCTAACCGTTGTACTCACTTGCAAGCTGACGCTCCTGAATAGTGGATCCGGTGATTAACGGGCTCGGGAGGAGCGTCCGATCGTACGAGTGGTCAAAGAATGCGCTGACTGTCGAAAAGAGTCAACAATCATCGGAGAACAATTTCTGGATACTCACAGGAGGTGCCTGCGGCGTTCAACACGGTGTAGTTGATATCGAGGGGATACGAAAATGTATCCACCACGGAAGGCACACCATTGTGGGTCGAAAGGACCGTTCCAGAGGCAGTCTGAACGACATTCTAGGCGAGCAAGACTCAGCATATGCCACACACAAAGGTCGCGGAGTACGAACATACCTGAACGTAAGTGTTGTTAAGGTAATACTGAGTATTCGAGTACTGCAAGTTCTGCGACCAAACGATGTGAGTAGTCTGGCCGCTCCCGCTAGTGATCTCCGATTCGATGTGCACGTTCCGCGTCGCTTTCACTGTAATATTGACATCACCATCGCCGACGCTACCCGTGGTCGTGGCTTCTGCGTAAGGTTGTACGTCGTACGCCGTGATCTTGCCTGTGGTTGGCCTGCCGGAGGGGTCGGTTACAACCTGGAGGTTGCCGGAAACGTACCAGTTCCCGTTGATGGCGTGGTCGGACTCGGCGGAGGCGACGTCTATCGATATGTTGTGCGGGTTGCCGTCAGTAAGCACAGGGACGAAGGGAGTCAGGTCGAGGAAATACGTTGGGAGGTCAAGAGCACCGTATGAAGTAATTGGCCTAGACGGATGTTAGCATGCATATCCGATTGACCACCAGCACAGTAAACGTAGCTACCTCCAGGCGGAAGGGATAATACCACCGGTGAATATCACGGCGTATGGGAAGGCTACCCCTGCAACTTGCCCGTCGACCAGAAGTCGCACTTCGCGGAAAGGGCCGTCGCCGTAAGTTGTACCGGAGGGAAGATCATTCAGGTACTCGTTCGCAGTGTTGAAGTACTGGAACCAAGTGGTCAGCAGCTCCAAGCACTGTAGAGATCTCATAGCTTACCCAGAACTCTTCATTTGCGTTTCCCGAGGCGTAGAGTTCTGCGTAGATCTGAACGGCGTTCCGAGGGACCGTGACATTGGTCTTCTCAGGAATTGGTAAGAGTGCGATGACCGATATGCATTCACCAGCACTTACAGAAAAGATAGGAGGGACGGAGGCGTCGTCAGCCGATGTGTTTGACATTGTCGATATCGGTATAATGGCATTCGCCTTGGGTGCCGGCGGGTGCGCCTCGGACGACTGGTAAAATGTCGCATGCAAAGTTGCTAGGGATTATTTCAATACATAGATCGAGGGTGGATGGATAGGGAGGACTCACATGCATACTGGCCAGTAAGACCGGTTTCGAGCAAGTTGTCCAGTTCAAGAATGAAAGTACCCGGCTCAGAGAAAAGGGGAATATAACGAGTGACGTCTTTCAGGTATGTCCAGATGATGCCGTCGGTCGTTGGCTCGGGCGTAGATGTGCGCCATACTTGGACACAGACTCAGTCAAAGGTGCGAGCAGGGTATAGCCATATTTACTTTCTACATTCTGAAAGGTGAATACGCCGAGCCGGTCGTATTGAGTCCCGTTGGAGGTGACCGTAAAATTCAGGCTTATGCCCGCCCAGGTGCCTACTTCCCCACAATCCGTGGGAGGTCTACGAGGAAGTCAGTTCGACGCGTGTTCGCTCGTAAGTATATGGGGACATACGTGTATTGCACAATAGCTGGCCTAATATCGTGAAGTCTGAGCACTCGATTCTTAGTGAAGAAGTCTGACGACTCACTGTCCGTATGAATTACCGAACGTATGACTGGGGCACAGTTCTCGGGATCAGTTCTGGTTGAGACAGAAAGACTGGATACGACGTACGTCAAGATCTCAATGGTACACTGGTTCGCGTCTGCCGGAAGCGGGGGAGGCTGCGCCACCTGGAAGTCCACCAGGACAGCCGCGCGCACCAGGAGCGGGAGGAGTCCGAACGCGAACGCTGACCAGACCTTGTTCATCCTGGGCTATCGCGTCTCGCGGGCCTCCGCAAGGACGATGAGAAGGGCGCAACGGACAATATTCTCGTTATATAGGTCAGCATCGCGTCCCCGATAGGGTCTATGATTCTGCGAGAGAAGTGAGTTATCTTGGTGACCAGTGAGAGTTTCTTACGCTAATATCGTCGTCGTCCATGTGGACAGGGCAATCCCCGCTGATCAATGCTTTCTGTCAAAGCTCTCGCAATATCACACGTCCTACGTTAGAACTGACGAGCTTGCAGTAACCAGACCAGCAGGCAATTTCAAGAGCATATCGAACATAGTTTACATGGTAAGCTACAGCTAAGTAAGGGTCGTAAAGCAGCCATATGCCGTCGTCGTGAGTAGTATAACCTCTATCCCTTCGCCAGTGTTCCCGTAGTCGTATGTCACATCGTCAACCAAACATATACAACCCAGCGCAGGTGCGCGAAAGAACCCGAAGCATATGTGCAGAGGCAATACGAGGTATCGCCGAAGAGAAAAGCAAAGGAGGGAACAGCAGAAAACTGAATAGATGAAATATATAGTCCATGCGTTGCTCGTACCAAAGTCCAGACACGTTCAATTGATTACCAGCCACCGAACCAGCTCTTCGGCTTCCTGGCTCTCTGCCTACTGACCGTCATGGGGGGCGGTGGCATCTCCTCAATAGGCTCGGGCTCGTGCCGTATCTCCTCGTCGACCAGCACCTGGACCGCAGTTGTCTTCGGAATACCAGGTGTGGTGGACGGTGAGAACACCTCGGGTGCAGGGGAGGCAGCTAGACGAGTGTTGGCGGGAGGAGGAAGGTGAACAGTCTTGGCTGGTGCGTGGAACGTTTGGAATTCGGTCTCGGTAACGGTCTTGGTTTCAAAGATGGACTCGGTCACGACAAAGCCGGGAAGCTCCTGCGGAAAAGAATATAAATCAGCAAATCGATTCATTCTCGGACAAACGGAACGTAAACTGGAGGCTGGTCGGGAAGCGGAAGTAGAACGCAAACGGCAGGACAAACGCGGGGACGGCAAATCACGTGAACACGCGACAAGCGATCGAGAGATCTCCTTCAGAGATCGATCACGACGCGTCCCACCGACGCGACGCGATGCGAAGCAAGATGAGGCAACATATCGTTATATTGCAACCCGACCAGACTTCAGTCTACATGAGGACGAGGGGGAACAAGATGTACACCGTGGTCCCCCAAGCCCGGGGATGGTGGGATAGGAGGGACGGAAACGGACTGTACGCGAGTTTGACGACGGTGTACGGAACCCCCTTCGCCTCAAAGCTGGGGGCGACGCGGCGGAACAGGCGGCTGGAGGGGCGGTGATACCTTAGGGGATCCCCGCTTTGCACCTGCAGGTTCGTAGATATACTCTTCTTCCACAGTGGGACCGTTTTCAGCGTTCAGACCGCTGGAGCGACGAAGGTCAGTCCTGATGAATCACTCAGATCGTACGGCACTTACACAATCTGTTCCATGATCCAAGCTTCACGCCGAGAAGCGTCATGCTCCCGACGATTGACTGCTTCCTCACGTCTGCTGATGTCTCGTTCGCGCTCGGCAAGCTTGATCTCGCGCTCGAGGATATCCTCAGCGCGGATCTGTGCCTCGCGTAACCAGCCAGGGGGAGTAAGACCCTCTTCCTTGATGACCTCTTTGATCACAGTCTGGACTGGCGGCATAATTTCGGTGGTAACAACTGACGGGCAGGGTGCGCAAACTTGAGGGGAAGGAGTGACTCCTCCAGGAGCACCTGCCAGAAGCTCAGCTTCACGCTTGGCGACTTCAGCCTCACGAATGGCCACGTCCCGCTCTCTCTGAGCAAGCATTTGCGTCCGCTTGGGAGTCAGGTATCCCAGGATACCCTGACTCGTCTGAGGATCACCGGGGAGCACGCCCTCACCGCGGTTCGCGGGTAGGGATAGCATGACTGCTAGCACAGCCAATACAAGTGAAAGCACTAGAAGCAGGGTGGTCGAGGAGATGGTACGGTGGTGGTGGTGCCGAGAGCGCTCGCTGCGCTCTCGTTCGCGGTGATGGGATGAAGAGGGTTGGGCCATCCTGACGCTAACGGAGTTCGAAGGCGACAAGGATGTAGAAGCGGCTCTGTATAGGGAGGTCGTGGTGGATAGATGTAGGGGCAGGTTTCACGGTCGTAGTCGTCAGTAACTCGTTAGCGTAGCGTCGTGGATGTATAAGTAGGGAGGAGAGGTGCGCGATGGTAGGGGACAAAAGCCAACCCTTGGATGTTCATTTTGCGTTGGTTCGAGTTCCCTTTTCAGGCTCAATAATGTCACGTGGATCAACATGAGGCGTGACAGAAGGTGACGCTTAGGTAAGCGTTACCCTTGCACCTTCCGTCACGTGGCGGCAACGCGTCCGACAATTGCAAGCCATTCTCCATTGTCTCTTGCGGCCAGCTGCAATGTCTCTCCGTCGTTTCGCGCATGCAAATACCGCCACGAATGGATTTGGGTCGCCCAACAAGTCGGCGTCCTCGTCTGCGCAGACGTCGCCCAACGTGGCGTCGCCGCCCAGGACGCCGGTGAATCGTGGACGTACCTCTTTAGTGTACTCTCCCTCCGCCACACCGTCGCGCTACTCTGCCGTGCCGTTCGACTGGGATGCGGCCAGAACTAGAAAACCTCCGCCATATGCGTCTCCGCTCTCGGCCAAGAAGCCTAAGCCTCGTAAGAGCGAAGGTGGCGCCCCAGTTAGACGAGTCGTACGCAAGAAGAGCCTCGTCGAGAGGTAGATCGCTTCACCGGGAGATTATTCAGTACGAACTTGACATGCACTTAGGATTACATCCATACCCTCCACTATCGCCTTCCAACTCTCATTATTTCCGCATAATGTTCCTCTACCGAAACCGGAGACCTCTGCCATCTTGTCGGGTGGCCTCTTGCATTTCCTCCACTTATGCGTCCGCATAAGTCGTATCCAGAAGGTTCCCGATTCTGACCTAGGATGGGAAGACATGTATCGAGAAGGGGAAGATGAACCATGGTTCGACTGGGTGCGCTAGTAGCATCCCTTTGTACTGACCGAGCTGTACTGACGTACACCACTAGACCATCCCCACATCACTCTTGCTCATTGCTGCTGCCATGGGTAACGCGATGTATCTATTCACCCGCGTGCGCATATACCGGTTATACAACCAGCCAGACCCCGTATCTTCACCCCACGCCAAATTCGTCCCCATGGACCTCGACTTCTCGCCCCTAGAGCCTCCCTCTGCGATCTCGCGTATCCGCTCTGCAAGTTGGAAGGCGTTTGTGGCGTTCTGGCGCTTCCTCCTGAACATGAGCCCGCGCGGCTCCAGCACAAGCAAGGAGCCAGATAAGGTCCAACAACTCGAAGTATGGGCGCCTGGCGAATTTGAGCTCAGGCTGTTCTGCATATACAGCCCCGTCGCACCTTTCTTGTGGATGGCCACGAATACCTCCAATTGGATGTTGATGATATTCATCATGGCAGCTGTCGGCGTGCAGGTGTGTTATACTACACTGAGAAATATGACATCCTGCTGACAGCGCCTTGCTTAGCTGCACACCCAGATGTCTTTTTATGATGCTTTACTAAAAGATCGACAGATCATCTCGGAGGAGGTGATGCATGAATACAACGATAAGGTAAGCAAGTCAGACCTATCCCTGCGAATGATGGCTGACTAGTGCATGTTATGCTGCTTCAGTTTGTGTACCCGCGCGTCCATCCTCTCAAGAGGGAGATTGGTGTCATGACACACGAGTCCGAGATGATTCCCAACCGTTTCGACCGGTGAAGGTCCGAATTATGTTCCATCATCTTAGGTGTTTCAAGGCCCCGTATTCAACATGTCCTCACTCTCGCATCCTCACACTGACGTCTGACGTGCATGTACTCGCATAGTTTTGCTTTCAATACACATCATTGCATCGTGAATTCGGACTCTGATCCCGTCGGACAGAACTGCGCACGATATATACAAATACAATAGAAGATACATTCCTCTTAAGCACTGCCTTCATAGAATTTGATGAGATCCTGAACATCCTCTTTGCTCCCCAGGAACACTGAACATCTCTCGTGGATGTTCTTGGGCTCGATATCGAGGATACGCTTCGTCCCGGTAGTGGCAACGCCGCCCGCCTAGAGTGACATTTTAAGCACACCGCCTCAAGACAGGGATTCAACTTACCTGTTCCGTAAGATAGGCCATCGGGAACGCCTCGTACAACAGCCGCAGCTTCCCACTCTTGCTCTTCTTGTCATTCGGGTAACAGAAGATACCACCGTACAGGAGGGTACGGTGCACATCGGCTACCATAGACCCGATGTACCGGGCGGAGTATGGGGACTTGCCGGAAGGCGGGTTCTTGATACTGCTGAGGTACTTGAGAACGGGTTCGTGATAGTACATCGAGTTCCCTTCATTGATCGAATAGATCTTTCCCCGGGAGGGCACTTTAATCTGCACGCGATGCGGTCAGCGACGCTGAATATTGGAGTAGGACTAAGTACCCACATCCGGATGCGTGAGGATGAATTCTCCCAGTGACGGGTCAAGCGTGTAGCCGTTGACACCGTTTCCGGTGGACAGGACGAGATTGCATGATGACCCATACCTAAACCCTTGTCAGTTGTTCTATCCATAGATGACGAACACGCATCCGTACATGACATATCCCGCAGCTACCATCTCACGCCCCGGTCGTAAAACATCATCTACCGACCCCTTGTTCTCTCCCTTCTTCTCAGGATTCGTCAGCGCCATCTCGACTACATGTTTCATGTCACCAAGAGACTCACAACGTGATAAATCCCGAAGATCGTCCCGATATTCACACCAGCATCAATGTTACTGCTGCCATCGAGAGGGTCGAAGACGACGCAGTATTTGCCCCTGTTCTTCTCATCGATGATGACAGCCTCCTCCAGTTCTTCCGAGACTAAGACAGCGGTCTTGCCACTTGCTCGTAGTGAGTTGACCATGATATCATTGGAGAGAACGTCCAGCTTCTTCTGTTCTTCACCCTGCACATTGGTCTCCCCAGCCAGCCCGACGCTGTACCAAGGATCAACAACTACGGATCTAAGCAGTCCCCACAACGACGGACTCACAGGTTTATCAGCCGCGCCCTCCGAACGTTGGTAGCAATGAATTTGGAGGTCGTTTGGATAGCATTCAGGAGTAGCGTAAGATCTCCAGTAGCTGCAGGACCCAGGCGGAAGCCCTCAGACAAGACATGCCTGCAGAATGTCAGTCGAAATTCCACCGATCCCCTATAGATATGGTCTTACCTGGTGAGTGTGATCAAGTCAGTGCTGGGTGCTTCCTCTTGAGACATTGTGGATTAGAGCGACGGTTGGGGACTATAGGGGAAAGAGATGCAAGATCGGGGAGCGGTGGTAGCTTGTAAGAGCAGAGAGAAGATATAAATACAGACTCAAGGGGGTCTTTCACGGGCGCGGACACATTCGGGCTGAGGACGGATTACTGGGCTCCGTCATTACTGTGGATTAGGGGCTCCGGGAGAATCACGTGAGTCCCGGAAAGGCATCGATTTCCCGCGGTCGTGACCGGACCGACGGGCCTGAAGAGATATGTTGACCCGGAGGTACTCGGAAGGGAGGGCTGGATGCAAAGGAACAACGACTTCAATTACAGCTTATAGAATATATACAGGTCACTAACCTACAGTGTGCGGGCTCTTCAGAAGCTATCCCTTGACTAGCGCTTGCGTTTCTTGCCAGTCAGTATGGCTACAGGTTCCTTGCCTTTGCGCGTCCGGAGGGGAATAGGGAATGCATCGCCGTCTTCCTCTTCTTCCTCATTCAATGCCAGGGCGATCCGGGATTCAAGAGAGGCCGGGGCTCTCTCAGCCTGATCGTTCCGATTCACCCCGCTGCCGTGGCCTCCTTCAACAACTTGGGGCATCTGATGCCTGACACCGCTGACAATGGGCTCGACACCTCCTGATTCCACAGCGGTCCCTTCCGACTCATCTTCGCTTTCATTGCCATATATTCGAGCCTGCGCCTGGGCAATTGCCGCTGCGATCTCAGCACTTACGTTCGCTACCCGCGCCTCCAGCCCTTCGTCCTCCGATTCACTATCCTGGGCACCTTCTTCCCCAATGCGTTGGCCGAATAAAGCTGAAATTGCACGTACAGACTCGACCAAGCTGTCGTCTTCTCCGTCATCCTCGAGGCGCGGCCGTTTCGCCTTGAAGCTGAATTTGCTGCAAGAATCTGTCAATACAGTAGTAAGCGGGACGTGCAGGCCGGGCGTTACTGACATGTCAGGGTTAGGTTCCCATGTGGGATCATGAGTCCGCATGTGCTGGGTCAGCGTCGTTCTCCGGGTGAAGGTCTTCTCGCATCCCGGGTCCTCGCACTTATAAGGACGGATATTGGCGTGCGTTCGGCGATGTCGAGCCAGACTACTAGAGTCCCCGAATGTTCTACCGCACCCCGGATACTCGCATTGGTGCGGCTTCTCTCCGGTATGAACACGTTCGTGAACATGTAAAGCTGAGCGCTGCATTGATAATGCTGAGGATATACCGAATATATGGGGAAAACAACTGCCAGTCACCTGAATGAATGTCTTGCCGCAACCCGGATGCGAGCATATGAAGGGTCGTTCGCCAGTGTGTATGCGCATGTGCCGAGCCAAATCGCTCTTGCGAGAGAAAGACTTGCCACACTCTTCGCAAGTAGGATTCGATTTTTCTCTGCGTTTGCCTTTGCCGCTACCAGTCGCCTTGGCACTCTCACCCGCGGTCGTCCCGGGGCCAGTAGATGTTGAAGCGACTGGCTCAGGAGGAATTTCGAAGGATTCCATGGAGCTTGACGAGCCTTCTCGCCGCTGGTGTTGGACAGGGGAGGACGGAGGAGTCCCGCGGGCAGCTGGCTCTACCGGATCCTCTTGTTGCTCCAGCCCAGTAGGCAGATTGTTGAAGATGTCACTTATGTCGTTGAAATGGGAATGAACCTGGGATAGCGGGTCTGATGAATGACGAAGGTCGGATTCGAGAGTAGTATGACCATTAACGGTCATAGAAGTAGCAGTCGTTTCGTCACCACGCTCATTGGGGCTGCTAAAAGCACCGTGTGAGCCTCGGTCACTTGCCTGTATTGCTTCGGCTTGGGCGGTGAAAGACTCGGAGGAGCTAGGCAAGTTACTAGGTCCGTCCATGGGACCGGTAGAAAAGGTGGCATGGTGAGGTTCAGCGCTGCCAGGCTCCTGGTGCTCATCTGCGATGGCTTGAGCATGAGCAGCCTGTAGAACCGCAACTAGCCCGCTCAGATTGGCGCCGAATCCATGTAGCATGTCGTCATCCCCTTCAAAGTGGTCATTAGGCTCCCTAGGATTGTGCTGGAGGGTCGCCTGTCTTTGCTGTGCTGCGGCACTGAGCAAGGCGGCGGAAGCAGCGGACGCGTTCTGAGTCAAAAGTGTAGCAATCTCGTGTTCGAGCATTTCGACCGTGAAGGCCTCATGGGGGTCCTCCGGCAGATGGATGGGATAGTGATGAGGGGACGGGGACATGGTGGAGTCCAAAGACAAGGATAAACCTTTCACGGCCCCCTGGACATCTTCGTCGTCCGAGGGCGTCTCGTCCCGTAAGACGTCAGATAGCTTGAGAACGGCCTCGTCCGGATCCATGGCAGTGGTGCTTGGGGTGGTCTGCCGCCCGAGTCAGGAAACGCGCCCGCTTGGATGGGAAGTCTTTGAGCTGTAACGGTCGCCGAACAGAAAGGATGCTGCTCGACAGACGGCAGATAGCTTTGAAAGGAGGAACTGGAAAACGCCCCCCGCGTTTCGGGCGCGTTCAAGTGCAAGTGGCTTGAGATCGAGGCTGCCAATTACGGCGTAAATGCATGCATGGCGTCCACGTGCGCCGCTCGTCGGGCTGCCAGCCGATAGTCCAGTTCCTGAGGCTGCCCAAGGCCGCAGTGAGCCCGTAGGCCTTGACGTGGTTGCCCCAACAATACCCATCTGTTCAATTCTATCCATGATATTCGATGCCGCCGCCAGTCTCCAAACCTAGCCTCAAGCCCAAGCGGCACCATTTCTACCAGGTCTTCCTATTTATTCTGGGGACGCTCTTTCCTCCGCTAGGTATGTCACAGTTCACTGCTGATGATGTCGGGGACCGTTAAACCCGGCCTCTAGCTGTCGCTGCGAGATTTGGCATTGGAGGAGACTTCTTCCTCAATCTTATCCTCACTATCTGCGGCTACATTCCCGGTGAGTGCTGCTGCATGGATGCGGCTGACGAGGTTCTGACAGTCTTATCCAGGTCATGCCCACAACTTCTACATCCAGGTGAGAACCTTGACTCTGGCTGCGCTACTTGCTACTGACGTGCGAACTCAGAACATCCGAAACAACAAAAACCACAGACGAACCCCCAAGTGGGCCCAAAGATATGGCCTCATCGATACCTCTACGATCCAGCGGCACCAGAAGCGCTCAGAATGGGCGCAGCGGTACAACGAGCGTTTACCGCACTCGGCGCTGCAAGGGCAGCCCTACGAGGAGGGCGAGCGGGGCTCATCGAGCATCGACGTGAGTCTCGAGGGGGAGGGCGCAGACAGGGCCAACAACCGCGGCGAATTCTGGCGACCGGAGGACGAGCAGTACTACGGTCAACGAAACGGCGATCGGGCTAGTGTCCAGACAGCGGGCAGCAGCCGATGGCATTACCCCGCCAACTTCGAGGATACTATCCCGGTTGCTCCTGTCAAGAAGAAGAAGGTCAAGAAGGACAGGTTCGCGAGGACAGAGGATGCGTATAACATGCCTGAGGAGGGGCGGAAGAAGAGGAAGAAGAAGAGACGTTCCACTGTCGGCGAGACCGACTCTACATATTCTAGGAGGACAGAGTCGACTTCCGATTTCCCTGAAGATGCCGAAGGAGGTCTCTACGGGGATCGTCCATCCCGCCCTCGGGAGGAGGCGCCACCCAATGGTCGCACTAACACGGATGAAGAACTATTCACGCATGAATTCTGAGGTATGCCTATTGTGCCGCTGTGATCGAATAGGGCTTGACGGTTGTATCTCCAGATAGCTTTCCATGTACTATATGTCCTTGAGTGACTGCAACGGACTCATGCCGCCACCGAGAACTGCAGTCAGCCATCAGATACCTACTTAGCATGAGAGCATACTATTTATCGAATCGAAACAATAGTAATCCAATCCGTCAGGCTTGTTACCTCTCGTGTATGTCCAGGTAGAATAAGACGTAATAGAGCGCAAGGCTCTAATGGACCGTGGCTTATATTCAACCTGGGGGTATTTGAATACCTAAGGGCTTTGACAATGCTACGGTAACTGATACTCGTCCCACTGTATCGAACTACAAGAACAGCTTGAATGGATAACCTAAAGCGACTTCTCAGCTTGGTGTATTCATCATTGTGAAAGACCGTACCTCTGTTCTTCGTTCTGAATAATGAGACTAGTACAGAGAATATGATGAGATTCACAGCAGTCCAGAGGTAGACTTGTGCCCTTTGTCGTTGCGGCGACTTTTGCAAGGGCGCAATGACAGTTAGCATCAAGAAAGAGACAGCCAGGAGTCCATCTTCGAACCGTTCTGTCAGATACCCGCGCAAGTGTGCGACAGCCAGGCGAATACTCACAGATCAACGCAACAACTTGAGTTTCCTGTCCATATTGATTTTGGAACCCAGGGGCGATCCATTGTCCGTTGGCAGCAGTGTAGGGGGTGCCTCTGATGCGAGTGAACATGTACCCGGACTGCATGATCAATGAAGTTATGATAGTGCCGAGTGCCCATACCCAGCGGTTTTGCAGGATAGGCGAGATAAATCGGAGAGTAATAACCCCGGACAGGAGGAGTGCGGCGGCAGTACCCCACTTGGCCCAGTCTATAGGGGCCTTGTATGGGATGGCGATTGGGGTGTGTTTCGATAGCTCGAGAGCCAAGGGTTCGGCCTCGAAGCCACTGCTCGACGATTAAGCCTAAGCTGTATAGATAATAATCGGAATGCCTACTAGGTGAAGTCATATTTATAAGGAGTGAGTTTGCCGCTGGCGGGTCTGCGGGGACCCTCGGTGGCGGGGTAGACATGCACCACAGGTGCAGAAGCCAGGCCTAGCTGCTCGATAACGAGGTTGGAACAGCACAAGTAGCAGCGTGAGTATTAATCAGACCTTTTGGAAGACATTGTGGCCGTCGTCAAAGTCAAGAGTCGCGAAGAAATGGTGGTTCCTCTCAGAGGCCGGTACAGTGGACCAAGCTTTGGCTACGGCATTCCAAGAAGGGTCAAACTCCCTGCATTACTGAGATTCGCCGTCTCGTCCCTTTTGAAGCATCTGCGCGACGAACCTGCATGGGTTACACCTTCGCCTCTTATCCAACGCCGTGAAGTGTACTGCTGCGGACCAGTCTCTGTCCGGGCTGGTGAGCAAGTCGAAGGTCTTCTCATTCAGCTTGATGACTCCGTTGTTTCTGGCTGCCAGCTGGACGAGTTGCTCACGAACTGAGTCCTTTGCCGCAAGCACGGCAAGAGGAAGCCATAAGAGGGCCACCCACGGTAGTAACATCGTCTAGACGAGAGCGTAATGAGTGCGGCGCGGTCATGGCTGCGACGTGTCGAAGGGAATGCAGTCATGTGATGGACGAGTCTAAGTATAGACCTCGGTACACTCCCCGTCGACCGTACATTCGTTCAACTATCCAGGCCTTATGGACTTACTGCTTACCCCAAGGGATTTGTTGCATTCCTCATAACATCGGCCTGTGCTCAAGGTCGTGATTGTTGTCTAGCAGTAGCCCTTCACTATGGACTACCATGCTTTCGCGTCCCTAGCGCATGTCAGGATCTTGCTCGTGCCCGTGGGGTCAATCCGAAGAACAATATTCGAGAAATGGACCGCTGAAATACGAAACTTCGACGATATTAGATTGGGGGACATACCAGCGGACAATAGAGATGATCGAGGTACGTGCAATCTGCTCTAGAGAGCGGCACGTCCAGAACGCAGCTTCGCAGCCCGTTTCATGCCCAACCCACTCGCAACTGGTCATTTGCATCTAAATTTTCCCTCCCACCCCCCACCGTCTACTCATGGGTCATTAGCTCTTTTCCGACCGTCCAGTTTTCCGCTTGGAGTCATCGGGATTGCTTCCTGCTCGGAAACCGATTCTCTCTCTGGAATCCTTGCCGAATTCAATGGACTGCTTGGCAGCTTGTTCCCCAAGGAGTCTTTATATCCACTCGCTAGAAATTGCTTTGTCTTTGAAAGCGACGATGGTAATACGAACTTGAACCTAGGCGACAGCTTACCGGGCTTGGTAGTGATTCCGAGTATGATGGGTAACAAGAAGATATACATCGGCACGCTTCTTGCTGACCTTTGCTCTCAAATATTGGGCGAGTTTGCTACTGTGGTTGGTTAGCCCTGCTCTTTCACTCCGAATTCGGGTTTGACGCCCTGCTAAGGTGAATAGGCTCGAAAGCCCTTTAGGCAACGAATACCTAAATTCCTCGCTATTCCCCCTTTTGCCTCCAATGTCCGACCTTCCGGAGGCACTGGACAACATTGACGATTCAAAGCGCGCATCTTTGCCCTCCTACAATAGTAATCCAGAGCTTAGTGCGGCGAACGGACCGCTCAAGCGTCCAGGTGGATTGACGCTGAAACGTAACTCAACTATGGGTCCCGGGTCTACCCCTGCTACACCTGGTTTTCGCAGCGCTTCCTTAGGCGTGCAGCAGCCTGCCAAGAAGAGACATAGCGGCATAGGCGCTGCATCTTCCCATGGGCGATTATTCAAGACCTTGGGTGACTTCTTCTTGCTTGCAGGCAGAATCGAAGATGCGTCTGTATGGTGAGATTCATGTATTTCTCGTCCTACAAACTCTCCGAGCCGATTTCGCCCGTATTCAGGTACAATGAAGCAATCGTTCTCTTCAAGGCATCTTCAGACCCCATATGGTATGCATCAGCATTGGAGGGCCTTGCGACTATCACTGTATTGGAAGCGTGGTCCGCTGGACACGGATTGGTAAGTGCTGCTTCGAGTAAAGATCATTATCCGCACCCGTGTTGATTAACGGTGAATGTAGCATACATCCTTCAGTAACGGCAAAGAACCTTGGACGGATATCTCAGAGAAGTTGGCACAAGCTGTCAGCCTGTATTCAAAGCCATCTATTTCCGAGATCGAATCCAACGCTCCTCTGGTAGCTTATCTGTATGTCTGTGCAGTGCTTCGCCACACCAATCTCTTGTTTGCCGTATGGTCGGCAAAGGGCTGGGGTCCTCTAGCCTTCACTACCATGCTGCAGCCGGGCTCGACCTACTACCTCCCGCCTACCCTATCGCACCCAGATAGCACGTCCGAAGTCAACCTGGAGCGCCTCACCTCCATTACGAACATTTCCCGGCATCAGATCTCTGCTGTACTCTCTCAGGCCCATGGGCCATTGCTCTTGCATCTGGGTGCCCGCGAAAGGCTCGCTGCATTGGAAGTCGTAGCTGGTATGTACGCATGCATTGGGTACAAGCGGAAAGAAGCCTACGTCCTACGGGAAGTCCTCGGCTGTGTCATGGACCTCATTGTATGCGCGCGCGAGGAGACTCATGAATCGAGATCGTCCCGCCCGATGTCCGGTCCGTCCGGTCTTGGGTTCAAGACTCTAAACCTTGGCAATGCAATGCAGGCGCCAGACCAGGGGACAGTCGCCGTACGGGCGAACGAGAGTAAAGAAGGGAACGAGAGCGTACTGCGTGTGGTCAAGCACGTTTGCAAAGTGCATGGGATCAACCTGGACGCGGTGAAACTTGTCAACATCCACACTGATGCGGAGGGTAATGTACGAGACAGCATACATAGCTCTACATCGCAGGAGGAAACCTTGGAAGTCGAGCCTGAAGCGCACGGTTGGCCGGAGCTCCAGATAGGGATCGTTCGTGAGGCTATAGCTGTCGCCGAAGCTTTGCCAGGTTAGTGCGTTCGTTTTAGGGGTTATAACGGACGTATTCATTTGTAAGTCAAGACTATCCCGCTGTTGCACAATTCGCACTGTCGGCTCTGAAGACGTTGTACCCTGTATTGGCCGCTAGCGATCAACATCATCTCTACATGACCGGCACTCAAGCGTTGGCAACAGCGAGGCGACGTGGCGATAGACGACGGGTGGAATACTGGTCCGGACAACCGATACTCAGTATCGAACTGGTTCCGTAAGTATCTTGCATTGGCGAACGTTGCTATCTTGTTTAATAATCGGAGTCTTCAGGCCACCCTTGGCCCGACTACCTCTGGAGAAGCCTTTGTCGGTACTTGACAAACGTTTATCCGAGTCCGCCGCGATATTGCCCGGTGTCACGGACCCCTTCCTCTATAACCCACGCAAATCTCTGACCGGCAAAGTACATATCTCATGCTTATGACAGACTGGTCCCTGACTGACTATTCTCTCCAGACGCTCTTCACTGTAGCCAGCAATGAGGCTGTTGAGGTTGCAGTGACAATACGAAACCCTTTTGTATTTGATCTTGAATTACAGAAGCTGGAACTGAGGTGAGCTCACTGACCTTGCTTTACGTATGCCTCTCCTTAAACTGTCGAAGCACTTCAGGCGTACCTTTTCAAGGGAAAGCTATACCTGTCACGGTACCCGCGAACTCGTTCCATCCAGTGACGTTGTCAGGTAAACCTCTGGAAGCGGGAACTTTGATTATCAGAGGCTGCGTTGTGCAAGCCCCTGGCGGTGCACCTCGAGAGTTCGTGCTACCGCTCTCTACTGACGAAGAGGAGGAAAGGCAGTCTCGCCGACGTAGTGCCATCGAGTGTGAAGTCGGGCGAACCAAATACAGTGGCCTCATGTCCTTTCCATGGGTGAGACCCTCCACACGCGCCAGCGGGTCTGCTTCAGGCGCAACTGCGGCCAAGCGTTCCATCCCGCGTTTTCTGGAATGCCGAGTCATTCCTGAACAGCCGCTGCTTCGCATCCGACGAATATCTGTCACGCATGGAGCTGTCATGTTGTACAACGGCGAAACGTAAGTTCTACCAGGCATCGTGACATCTTCCTTGCTGGAGCTTTGATATAGATCTACTATCCGTCTTACGCTCGAAAACGTTTCTCCGATCTCCGTAGACTTCGTCAGGCTGACGTTCGAAGATTCTACAATGGCTCCCGCGCAGCAAGCTCTAGCTGATGGAGAACTCTCGGTGTTTGACACGTATGAGACAGAATATGATTTACTACACAGGCCTGTTTTCTCGTGGTCCAACCAGAAGCAAGAGCAAGCGATCACCCCTGGCATGAAGAGCGTCTTCACAATAACTTGCTTTGGCAAAGTCGGGTGGTAAGTAAGTGCTATGGACCATCCAACTTGACTTAACATCTGTCGTCTAGTTCCAGCGGGATGATCCATGTTGCTTATGCGAGTCTAAACAAGCCTCGAGATTCCCTCGCCACTCCCCAGCAAGTGTTTTATACTCGACAATTGTCATACCCTCTCCTTGTTACGGTCTATCACATGCTTGAATGCCATGCCATGGATATCTCCCATTATTTGGGCGAGGAATTATCTGGGCGTGAGGCTGTTCACGCTTCAGGTGATGCTAGGAAGATCCAACCTCTCCTGAGTATCGAAGACGAAGTAGGCTGGTGCTTATTCTCCGTCGATGTCCGTAATACATACGGCTTGCCTTTCGAGGTGACATTCGATCGTGAACAAGAAGGTCAGCACCCTTCTTTCTATTTCAATCTGAGTCTCTGACCGAAGTCCGTGCTATAGGAGCCCCACCAGAGTCTGTCACGACGCTGGTCCCTCCTGGTTCCACTACTCGGTCGGTAGCCACTTGCCTCTCTCAATGCAATGCTGACCCTGCCAACAGTGTGATCATCCCCCTGAAGAAGTTCTTGTTAACCGCAGAACAAACATCGCAACCCATCCCCACCCTGTCTGACAGGCAATTCGTGATTGACAAAGCTAAACTCAGCGACGAAGAACAACGCATTCAACGAGAGCTATTCTGGTACCGTGAAGAGGTCTTTAAGTGCGTTCGAGGTCGCTGGCGAGAGGTATGTTTCGACTGTCATAGTCGATGTAGTATCGTCTGACTGGATATAACTGTAGGCCGGAGGCACGCGATCTGGGGAACTCTCTCTTCGGAAGCAGAGAATGACTCTACCTATGCTACAGGCCGTACGCATCGAAACAGCGAGAGTACAAATGTCTCTCATGCGGAGCAGTGGAGCACTCGACACCGATAGCGGCATCCTCAGTCGCAGAGGTAGGACGTACCTCGCTGAAGCTAATGAGTTCCTTTATCTTCGAACCCGAATCACAAACCTTTCCAGTAAGCCTGAAAGATATAGGTCTCTTGCGATAACCGCTGAATCCAGAACAGACACCCCCTTAACATTGACTCTCGATCTCGCTTCCGACCCGGCTGAGCATATCATTTACGAGGGCATATTGACCGCTATACCGGTGGGTCATCTCGAGCCTGAGGAAGCGCGAGAGGTCGATTTGGCCGTCTGCTTTGTGTGTGGAGGATCCTTCAACATAACATCCACAGTGCGCACACTGGGAGCATTGGGAGACTCTGGGAAAGTGGGATTCGCGGATCTGACCGCAATCGTCAAGTGCGAGACCTGAATCATCGGTTGATTGGATTCACCCTTTGTCGACGAGACGCGCGGAACGCCGATCTCACGAAGCCAGCAATCCGCAGATTACCTGCGCCGGTATCCGAGGGATGGCAGGTGCGCGGGTTTGGACGACAATCGCCGCCGTTGTCCGAAAATGGCTTACGCGGTCTCATGTGTGCGCGCGGGGTGGGCTGGCGTCACTCAGGCTTGCAAGGAGTAGCATTACAGGACACCAGGCTAATCGAACTCAGACTCTTCCTGCCTGAATGCTGCGGAGTATGCCAGTATCGTACCGTATACCAACCTAGTCACTCTGTCAGGTCCCGTTACAGTATACATGGGTGGTAGAGCAACATACCCTCCCCCGATAATCGACATGACGCATGCCGCTGGGCGAATCACTTCCGAGTGTGCAAGAACGATGGGTAGTGCGAAACCAGTAACCACTATAACGGATGTAAGGAAGCGCCCCACGTCTGCCGGTCCCGAGCTTTCATATTCTGCGGAGAAGTCGTCTGCACTGCAACGTCCAAAGAGCGCATTAGGTAGAGGAGCGAGGACGAAGGTAAGAGCTGGATCGAGGTCAGCATCCGACTGCGCAGTGACACGCCAGACCGTACGCACCGACGAGTAGAGGTAACCAGTTCGCCCACAACGCACAAGAGAGTATAATCAACAGAAATCCTACAGCCAATACAAAGGACAGAAGTATAACGGCTAGGGTTCTGCTTGAGAACATGGTTCTTGTGCTCGAGGGCAAATGCACTCACTCTTGAGACCGGCAGCCATCTTACAAGTATGAGGTTCAAGGCAAGGTGATGAATATTACGTAAGCCTCATTCCATCTGAATACAAGATCCAATCCGACTATGAATACACTAAAGAATAAGTTATGCAAGTCCCGGCAAAAGGTGCTGCAGCTCTAGGGTATCCGCCTCCTGCCAATACGACGACCTGTAGGTAAATTGGAAGGTCTCTCGGTAAGCGCTACTGAAGGAGCTAGTTTGATGTCAGGTGCGGCTCTCGTCTTCAAGGCTGGCGGAGGAGGAAGATCAGGAGGAGGTGACGATGTAGATGCCGACGACGTCGAGGAGGTTGACATTGAATGGACGTCGGGTAGCTTGATGGTAGTTTGATCCTCTGCTTGGGTATCACAATCATTCTCCGATACCGCTCCATCCGACTCTCCACTTTCCGATGGCAGGGGGAGATGTTCCGCTAAGAAGGTCTCGTTGCCAGCCTCTGAAATATTACGCTGACGCCACGACTTGAGAACCGCTTCTCTGTCCTTCGTCGTCTCCCACTGGTCCTTATATGACCAACTCCGCTTCCGCGGGGTAGTGCCGGTAGGCGTATCCCTTCTCGTACCTTTGTCCAACAGCACTGAAGCCGACTGACGAGCAGAAGCCAATCGCTCCGTGGCTGCCGCATGGTACGCAGCGGTTGTATCTCTGATAGACGTTGTCTGCCGCACGCGTAAGACCGTGCGTACATTGTCTTGGAACTGACATATCCTCACCTCAGACGAAACCTGGTCTGACATTGTCTCGATATTTCTTGAAGTACCAGCCACTCCGCGCTGCAAGGACCGGAAACTGGATTGAATGTCGGTACCCATAGAGTTTGTGGTCTCCAGCCGGGCACGCTTCGCTCTGTGTATCCGATCCAATGCTTGAAACACATTTCGGTCATCTGAGGGGCTTCTTGATCGGAGATGAAACTCACCTGTATTCGAACTCGCTTGCACGGACTGTGTTTCACGTTGCAAATTACTCGAGTACGATGCGAAGCTGGTCGACATGGAACTCTGCATTTCTGACAGACCATTCGTAATCGATGCATTGACTGAGCTCAATGTCTAGGAGGGAAGTATAAGCGTCAAGACAGGCCAACGGTGGAAACGACTCTTACCTTCAACGTGCCGTCTCTAGCACGCTTGCCCTCCGACTCTCTTCTCTCTAGACCGACGCGCCACTCTTTACCGGCAATGACACGCTCTTCCGCCTTCCGGCCGACCTCATCATTGAATTGCGTCACGCCAGCTTCAGCGGCAGCATTCTCCGTCTGTAGTTGGGAGAAGGAAGCCCTGAGACTGCGGTCTCGCTCCGCCGCGAAGGACGTGATAAGTCCGGAGACGCGTTCCAACAGTTCGTCTTGAGCACGCTGAGATTTCGCCTTCTCCGACTCAAGTAACTTCGCGAACAACTTGTTCTGTTCCCGTAGCCGCGCGATCTCTCTTGTGGAAGTGGCGTCTGTCATCGTTTTGACCTCGGTCAGGGTCGTCCGCTCCGACTCGATGAATGCATGCGCCTCCGAGATGGTCCTCTCGAGGAGCGTATGCAACGATAACATAACATTCTCGACCTGGAAGAAAATTAGTCAGAACACGCACAAAAGCTCGAATGAAGCAAGACTCACAGATTTCGTGGTATGCAAAGTGCTCGCGCTCAATCCCTTGGACAATTCTTCGTGGCTACTGTGCACTTCCTGAGTCCAAGTCTGCCATGAGGTCTTAAGGTTGCCCAATAACGATGCAATTCCAGCCTCCAGCGCTTTCACGGCTTCCGAGGATACTTCCTCTTTAGCCTCCAGTATTTGCACTGAACTCTGGAATCGCTTGACTTGTTCCTCAATTGCTTTGGACTGACTAGAAAGTGACTGCAGCTCCTTCGAGCGATACTGGTCGATCAGGGTCTTCAGGCGTGACGTCCGCTCGCCAGAAGTCTTTAGCAGGTCCGCGAGACTGGACTCCAAGCCCTGCAAGTCTCCCGAAATGGCTTTTGTGTGAGTCTGAACCGCCTGAGAGTTGGACCCAAGAACCTCTGATTTACGTTCTTGGAAGGGGTTAGATGTAAGTATACGAAGGAATCTGTGCCTGTACGGGATTCTTACCGAGCTTCTCAAACAGGCGTCCCAAATCCTTGATGGAGTCGGATGCAACACCTTTGAGTCCACGGGCGACTTCGTCAAGCGCAGCCTCGCTGCTCTGGTACGCCTGCCGAACCACGACTTCCTCCTCGAGGGCTCCTTTAGCTGCTCTCAACTGCCCGGTCGTCGTTTGCAGCTCCTCCTCCGTACCCCTAAGTTTCTCCCTCGTTTCCTTCAATTCGCCCTCCTTCCTCATCAGAAGAGCAATACTCTGCTCGAACTCTTCGCGCACTGCCTTCATCTGTCCCTCGACAATCTCCACCTGCTTCTTCGCTTCTTCGATTTCTGTCTGTCGTAATTCATTTTCGGCCGTCATCTGGTTCCACGTCTCCTCGGAGAAGAAGATACCGTTCTTTTCCCTGGCTGCTAGCAAGTCGGACTTGAGCCGCTCGATCTCCGCGACGTATTCTTTTAGCAGCGAATTGCGAGTCATACGCTGGTTGACCTCGGGCCGATTGCGGATAGATTTGGCTCGCATAGCGTAGTCGAGGGTGGAGAGCGTCTCCTCCATGTTCGACCGCGCAGGGGAGATCGTGGCGATAATACAAGTTTTAGTTCGCCCACCAAGGGAGTCTTGCAGAAGCCGCGTAAGTTTAGATTCCCTATGCGTCGCAAGGGTGAGTATTCTGAGGGATGGCGGGAAATGCAACGTACCTGTAAGGAATGTGCGATGACTTATCGACGAGCGCATTGATCACTCGTCCAAGGGTGAGGAGACTTTGGTTTATCATTCCGGCTTCCCTCGCTCTCTTGTTCTCAGCGCCCGAGCGTCCGATATTTTCAGAGCCAGCCAGATCAACCAAGTTCAGTTTCCCGACTTTGAGCAGATCGTCACCCATCGAGGACGTCTCCTTTGTATGGATGGTGATGGAAAATACGGAATGCGAACGACTGGAGTGGTCGTTGAACTTGGTAGCGGCTACTTGTCTGCGATGGCTGCCCTTTGCGAGTAACGACAACGCGTCAGCAGCATCCTTGACGGACGGCTCCTCCAATCCCTGAATGAAGACGCCTTTCTTGTTAGACTCTTCAAATATCTTGAGACCTGCTTGGTTGTTGTCCTTCGGACCGCCTAGTCCCATAGGCTGGACAGTCCCCGAAGGAGCTGCAAGCTCGGGTGCCAGCAGGTCCCGGAGCTCCTCGTTGTAGAGTTCCACGTACGATATCTTCACGCTATAGTCGGCCACAGACGACTCGAGCTGGTGAAAAAGGCGGAACAGTACACGGGGGATCATTCCCGCATTCGCAGAGGGATTGCCCATTGGAGTCGGGTTTAGATCTCCCTGCATCGTGTACCTTTGTATGCGTTCAGTATAGGAGTTAGTCAAAGCACTCGTTACTTACGTCTTTCCGGTACCTGTCTGCCCATATGCAAATAGCGTACAATTATATCCCTGCAGCACTTCATCGAGTAGAGGGTGAACGACATCATTGTATATCATCGCCTGGTCAGCTTCTGGGCCAAAGACGAGATCGAAGGGGTAGGTGCGAGTTGGAGGTAATGTAACGAGACCTAGACTAGAAACCGGTGCAGCAGTCTCGATCGTCACTTCGGTACTGCGAGGGCCGTTACAACTAGCAATAATGGGAGAATTGTCTTGTATCTCTCGTTCAGAGCGTCGTCGGCATCGGATCACGACTTGTATATGGGACTCTGATTCATCTTGACCATGTTGGGAGGGCGGTAGGGCTTGCGTGGGTTTGGTTGGTTTTCGCCTCGGAGAAGGGGGGCGCGACGGGGGCGCAGGAGTACTGCGTTCGAGCTCATCGACCGGAGTTGTAAGGTTCGAGCGCTGGGAAGAACCAGATTTCGCCAGCGCGGATCGGGGGCGGTTCGTGGTTGTCGGGGGTGGCATGGCATTGCGCGTCCGGGTGGTCGGACGACGAGTAGCCATCGCGGATATCGACGAGCAAGACAACGGATTTGGCGGGAGAGCCGCCTTGCGAGGGCGGGAAAGGGGACGGTAGTGGCGGGCGCGACAGCTGGAGCGCAGGGCAAAGAACGATCAACAAGGACGCGTCAGTCACGTGGACGTGTGGGAACAGGTGCTGTGGCGCTGCCTATTGCACGGTGCAGCGGCTTGTCCTGGCTATGGTCACTCGCACCGAGCCAGCATCCTGGCTTGAAGATGGGTAAACGGAAAAAGTCGTCTCGCAAACCGACGGGACCTCGCAAGCGAGAACCACTCGGTATGTTTTGTCCGGCAGTACAGCCTAAGCCAGACTCATTTGGTTTTCCAGAGAGCACATTCACCTGCTTGTTCTGCCACCATGACAAGTCGGTTACCGTGAGGATGGACCGCAAGGAGGGTGTTGCTCAGCTCGTATGCCGCGTTTGCGACCAGCGGTACCAGAGTAAGGTCAACCGTACGTTGCTTGGTCTATTTGGTGGTGCCATGAGTGTCTCACTGCTCTTCCAGATCTGACCGAGCCAATCGACATTTATTCGGAATGGATAGACGCGGCGGACGCTGCACAGCGGGACGAACCACCCGTAAGAAGACCCGCTGCTTCATCAAGTAGACCTGCCCCTCGTATGCCAGTCGGCAGTGACGACGATTGAATGTCGTGTTAATCGGGCGTGTGTGATTTCGTCTCTCACAATGTGTATCGATACTGTTTCCTTGCCATTTCTATCGCAATCAACAACCAAAGGTGTCGCTCCCCTCTCCTCCTCTTGTGTTAGTGCTAAGGTATGTCAAGCTCCGCGCCACTCCGTGCTAAATCCTTCGTAGCTACTGTACATTGTGAATACATCACAACTGTTGATGAAATTGCTCATCGTTTCGATGCGCAACTCAGCAACTTGGTGCATTGTACGAGCTTGTACGCGACTGAAGCAGACGAGTTCACTGAACTTGAGATCGAGGCTGACTTTAATGGCGGACTTGACACTTCCGCCGCGGCTTGTGCCACCGATCAGACAACAGACGTAAATACGCGGGCACGACGCTGAATCTTCAATTGGTAGCTCCCTTGAGCTACACTTCCTTTCCATTCCTTCCTCAGCGGACGCGCATCGCCTAGAGCGCGTCCGAGTCTACGTGCATTCCTTTATAACGTCCGCTTTTCTTTAGTTTCTGGATAGAGTTCCCTGGGCACTATCACTATGGCTTCTTCGGGTGGCAACATCAAGGTCGTTTGTCGGTATGACCGGACGCGCATGATCACTCAGTGCTTCATCTAACGGAACGATAGGTTCCGGCCTCCAAATTCATTGGAAGTTCGCGAGAACAGCGAGATTGTCGTGGCCTTCGATGAGAACCTCCAGACAGTTCGGATGCGCTCCGCTACGTCCCTGTCGGGCCCGGAGAAGGATGGATTCACGTTTGATAGGGTCTTTCCTATGGGCACTAAGCAGCACGAGGTGTTTGACTATGGTGTCAAGGAGTGCGTAATGACTTGATATCCGTCACTATGCAAGACTGACTCGTCCGGAACCCTGGTAGCATTGTGAAAGGTGAGCTGCTGTGAACCCCTTGAGAGCATCCTGCTCGCCTGCGAGGATGCCTCCAGACTATTTATCCGATGCCTTGCGGACTGGGCTCATGACTTCCGGGTGTTCTGGTATCGAGCGGGTGCTGATCCTCCGTTGCAGATGTCCTCGATGGTTACAACGGGACTGTCTTTGCGTATGGCCAAACGGGTAGTGGAAAGACGTTTACGATGATGGTGCGGAATATGCTTGGCGGTCCTTTGTTTCCTTGCGCTAACCCGGTGCCCACCTTTGAAAGGGGGCTGACATCGATTCGGAGGAGCTCAAGGGCATCATTCCTCGTATCACGGAGCAGATCTTTCAATCTATTATGGATTCCGATTCTCATCTAGAATACATGGTGAAGGTATCATACATGGAGATTTACTTGGAACGGGTACGCGATCTGCTAGCTCGTAAGTGGTCACCGTAGCCTTGTAGTCGTCAGATGCGCATATTTAAAGACATGTTGCTGCAGCTCAAAACGACAATCTGCAGGTGCACGAGGAGAAGTCGAAAGGTGTCTACGTGAAGGGACTATCAGACTACTATGTCAGCAATACACGAGAAGTGTATGAAATCATGCGGCAGGGTGGTCAGGCGCGTATTGTTTCGTCGACAAGTGGGTGTACCCTTCTGCGAACGAATGGTGAGGAATATCTGACCTATGCTGCCCCACAGACATGAACGCCGAAAGTTCCCGGTCGCATTCTATTTTCCTCATCACGATCCAGCAGAGAAACATCGAGACTGGTGCTCAGAAGACTGGTAATCTTTACTTGGTCGATTTGGCTGGATCCGAGAAGGTTGGTAAGACTGGCGCCTCCGGGCAGACGCTCGAGGAGGCCAAGAAGATCAACAAGTCTCTCTCCGCCCTGGGAATGGTTATTAATGCTCTGACAGAAAAGGTGCGCTTCATGCATTACGAACAGTCTCATGGATTTCTGATTTTTGGTCTAGGCCAAACACATCCCTTATCGAGACTCCAAGTTAACCCGAATCCTGCAAGAGTCCCTCGGTGGTAACTCACGTACGACGCTCATCATCAACTGTTCTCCCTCGTCCTACAACGAAGCCGAGACGTTATCGACCTTGCGGTTTGGTATCCGCGCCAAGAGCATCAAGAATAATGCTCGTGTCAACGCTGAGCTCTCACCCATGGAGCTGAAGGGGCTGCTCCATAAAGCACAAGCCGCTAACACTTCGTACCAGAAGTACATTGCGGCTCTAGAGGCCGAGTTGGCGATCTGGCGATCTGGCGGGACGGTAGACCAGGCTGATTGGGCTACGTCGGAGAAGGTGGCGGCTGGAGTCGCGGCCAAGAAGGCTCCTGCCTCACCAACGCCTTCCACACCAGCGCGAAGCATGACGCCCGTCAATCCTGCGATCGAAGGTCTACGGGGAGATCTGGATAGCCGACCGCAGACGCCGACAGTCGTTGGCCTTGACAAGGACGAGAGGGAGGAGTTCTTGAAGAGAGAGAATGAGCTGAGCGACCAGCTGGCCGAGCGCGAGGCCGCTTTGGCTGCCGCGCAGAAACTCGCGAACGAGCTTCGCGAGGAGCTCACGTTCTTGAAGGAGCAGGAGGCTTCTCTCTCGCAGGCGAGTGTTTCTTAGGCAGACGTTATAGCATACGCGTACTAACTCTGACCAACTAAACAGGAGAACAAGTCGATGTCTGGGCAGCTCAATGAGCTTCGTCTCCAGGTCGAGCGGCTCACGTATGACAACAAGGAGGGTGCCATTACGATTGACATCCTGAAGGAGCAGAACCAGGACGCCAAGAATGAGCTTGAGGAGCTGAGGAGAAGTATCGCTGAGCTCAAGACCACGCAGAAGGATGCATCTGCTGAGGACAAGGAGAAGCGGAAACAGGAGAAGATGGCCTTGATGATGGCTCAATTTGATAGTGTGGGTCCTTTCGGAATCTCGGTGCCCCGTATACTCACTAGGACCTTTACAGCAAGGTGCATTTTCGGAGAAAGACGAGCAGCTCCGTCAGCTCCTGGCCAAATTGGAGGCGATCGACTCCGAAGACAGTATCTCTAATCTGTCGTTGGACGACTTGACTGCCGTCAGGAGGCAGCTTGCGGAAGGACAGGCTCTCATCCGGGACACTGTCGACCGCTTACGGCAGAGTCAGGAGGAGAATGAGCTAGTCACCAGGAGACGGGACGAGCTGGAGGCTCGTGTAGCCGCTCTCGAGACAGAGTACGAGGAGCTCCTCGGTTCGTTGCCCGTCATGTTTCCTGTGCTATACTGCTCACGCTTTGCCAATAGAGAAGACGATCAATGACGAGGAAACTAGTAATGTCGACATCGCTGAGTCGATGGCCGAGCTGAAGGTTCGTTCCCGGTATTACGGATATGTGTAGTACATATTGATTCTGAATATTTCGCAGAATAAGCTCGAAGCCCAATACGCTGCGAAGCGGGAGGCTCACATTAGTGAGGTCGCCGATCTGAAGCAACAGTTGGAGATGAAGTCCAACGAGATACGAAGCCTGAATGCTTCGATCGAGAGCCTCAAGAGCGTCAACGAGGAGCTCAAGGTTTGTGGTATCGTCTTATCTGCAATCTGTCGCTCATGATACTCCCTCAGCGCGCATTCGCCGTCACGTCCGCTGGTATCGAGGGGGGCAAGAACCTTGCTGAGAGCGCACAAGACCTTGAACGTGCCCGCAAGGCAATCAATGTTCAGCTGGCTGAATTTGACGGTGTCAAGAAGTCCCTTATGCGTGACTTGCAGAACCGTTGTGAGAAGGTGTGTTGTAAACCAATCTTTCTAGTATTGTAATCTCAAGCGGCGTAGGTCGTGGAACTCGAAATTCAACTGGACGAAATGAGAGAGCAGTACAATAACGTAATCCGGAATAGCAACAGCAAGGCTCAACAGAAGAAGATGGCCTTCCTGGAGCGTAACCTGGAGCAACTTACTGTTGTACAGAAACAGGTCACTAACTACCTCTGCCCCACGACCGGATTACATACTGATGCTTATGCTGCTAATAGCTCGTGGACCAGAACTCAGCTCTCAAAAAGGAGGCTGGTATCGCCGAACGCAAGCTCTTGGCGCGGAACGAGCGTATACAGAACCTCGAGGCATTACTTCAAGATGCAGACAGGCGGCTCACCGCTCAGAACCAGAAGTTCGAGGCGCAATTAAATGCCGTCAAAGAACGCCTGGAGCAAGCCCGAGGTGCGTTCTGTCTCGTCGTTGACGTGTCATTGAGATCGCTTTAACACCCGATGATAGCCACCAAGGTCGCTGCATCTTCTCCGTTGAGCTTCGGCCGCATCGCGAAGCCGCTGAGAGGCGGGGGAGGATCGGCGGGCGCCAGCTCAGGCGGAGCTGGAAGCGGTCTTCCGACCGGAGTTTCGTCCGCTAATCCTTTGGCCCGACTGCAGAATGAGGAAGGGTGAGTAAATCTTCACGATCTTGCCAGAGTAGGCGATGCTAAATTACATGCCCTGCATTCAGGTCCGGAGGTACGTTAATTATGCATGATTTTCCTCGGCTTGTCACTGATGACATGGGTATGCAGCCAAGCGAGCGTCCTGGTTCTTCAACTCTCGGTGAAGTTAGACTTCGTGTGTTCGCCTCTTCGCTGCTGTGCTGTCCTGATTTATCACGTCCCACAATACCCGTCGCTCTATGTATTTCTGCATCGCATCTAACAGTCAATCCTCATTTACAATGCAATTCTGGCTTAATGGATATGTTATGGTACAATGGCCTGGTGCTTACTGGGTCACGTCGGCAGCGACTGAGGTGTGGCATACGGGTGGCTGCGGGCAGGCCGGAAGAATGATGGCATAGCTTCGCTGGCAGCTTCTGAGCTTCTTTGTGGGTAAAAAGGGTGCCTATAGGGTACGACCATTTACGGGTCGCGACTCGCGCCTGATGGGTCTACCGTACTACGTGCCGATCGCGAAGCTGACGATGGGTTCTGAAAATTGAGATGCGGCACCGGCTACCAAGGTGACGCGGCAGTATACAGCTGCAGCGCTATTTGTGGCCTCAACGCCAGCCCCATTCGCGATGTCGCTGCGAGCACCCTTTGTACATTGCAATGCTGCGTTCGCAGGGATCTGCCAGCGACGTCGCCGGGAAAAGCAGCATCGACTGGAAGGGCAGGAGAGCGCGCGTAGCGAGCAGAGGGAAGTTCTGCGTGGAAGGTCGAGAAGACGCGCGTCGGGGGAGGCGGTGTGCGAGTTGCCTTAGATGGGCAGTTCGCCAGGGCCGACAGGGAAGCCATTAGTCTCCGTCGTTTCAGACGGAATCAAATTGGGTCACGCTCTTTTTTGGGTTTCGCGATTTCGACCAAAATTCATTCTTTACATCCCCGCCCCGGGGCGTCTCCACCAGCGCCCTGGGTTGCTGTTATATCTGTTAATTCTTAATTCCTCTTAATCCTACGTGTCGTCAGAGTCGGCCGACGTCCAGCGGCTTGCATCCAGTCTATAGCGTAGTCATTGGCTTCCGTACCATAGAGTAAGTCCTCTGGCTGTCAGTGACGCGTTCAGCACGCCCGGATTGTGCGTGGGGGGAACAAGTATACTCGTGTTCGGTGATTATCTGCAGGCATGGTCTTCTACCCCTCTATTGTGCCTGCCACACGTTGCTATTCACCATAGAACGCGTCCTTTTGCTATACTCCTTCCCTTTCATCCGGAGTATGCTGACCTTTATGACGTTGCTTTGTTCCCTAGGTATATTGTTCAAGTCGGAATATACGCGTAAATCGCATATATAATATCTTCCTGGCAGTATACGTGAGTTGCCAGACATTCGTTTCCTCGGCCCCGTTCATTTCCTCTGGTGGTCATCAGCTTGCCAATGTCGTCTAATACCGAGCCATCCTCAAGGAAACCGTCTGCCTCATCTACCTTGTCCGGAGGACAATCACCGACCGGTTCACCAAGTAATGTATGTGATCCTAAAGATATGCGAAAGTATAGTTTCTGACGTGTCACGCAGACTAATTCTCAGAGGAAGCTTGCGCCGTCTCCTGGGGCGAATAATATGTTTGGTGTCGCAATGAGTACAACCAACTCGCTGAAGGGATTAAACTCAGGCTGGCAGGTAAGTTAACTACGTTTTTACCCGGGGGAATATTCCCATCATGGAGTAGGTGTGGGGTAACGCTGCGCCGTCGTCGAAGCGGACCACCTCCATCTCCTCCATTACCAGTGGTCCCGATGTCTCTACCCAAGGTGAGACCCACTACCGCTCTAGCTTGGGGGAGCCTTGGAACGCCGCTCGGTCCAGCGGTGCATGGGAAGAGACCAGTGGTAGTCCTAAAAAGAAGGAATTATACCAGTTGGTCCGTTCCATCCCATATAATATGAATGAATTCATGCGATGTGGAATATTGACAATCGCTACAGGATTCTCTTCGCCCACGGCAGAGTTCGTCGGGGATACCGTCTTCCAGAGTGGTAAGACCATGTTCAGGTAGATCATGCAATCCACTGACGAGTTTGCCTCAGGAGGATCGCAAGTCTGGGCAATATTCTCCGCAGCGATTTGAAGGCAGCATAGGCAAGGAGAGCGGTGTGACACCCCGGTACTCCGTCGCAGTATCCCCCTCCAAGGGCACTTCGTTCAACTCATCAACCTCGGCATTTCCGAGTCAGCAATCTGGCCTGTCTGCATCGGGCACCGGCTATGAGTCGTCGCAAGCTTCAGCTGCCGTGGACGCAGATCTTTCGCTAGCACTTCGTGGCATGACGGTAGAAGATGACTATGGGATGTCCCAAACAAATGGACAGTACAATGCGCCGTCATCGTCGTCCCAAGCAGCCGGTGGTCCCGGTCAGAGCCCGCAGAGCACCGTACCTCACGCTAGAGCGGCGCATCCGTTGCAGCAAGCTCGAATGCCATACGGTGCGTATCCCCGAGCTGAATACAACGCCTACTATACGGGACCGCAAGCAGGTCAAATGGATTATTCTTCATATCCTTATGACTCCTATCGCGGAGTCGTAGCGGATCCATCCATGTATGCGTCGTCCCCGTCTGTCAATCCGGCGTCATCCCCGACGACGCTCTATCCGACTGTCAGTGTCCCGTTTATTTCTGTGGGTGTACTGTTTAACTGTCTCTTTCAGCAGCCTGGTCTGTTCTATGAGTATGCGAGCGCTGCTCGGCCTGCCGGCTCTCAGTTCTACTATCCAACGCAGCCGATAGTCTATCATGCACCGCCGAACCACTCACCTATGGTGACGCCTCAGCTGGCTGCAGCCATACCTGCTACGCTGGGTGACAAGAAGCGTGAGCTCCAGGTACGGTGACTGTCGCCACTAGATATTTTCCTATGCTGAATGGCGGTACAGTTCAACATAAGCCAACAACAACAACTGGCCGCTGGGAATGTCCTATACCCTTCTATGCGATCTACGCCTTCACCCCATCCTCAGGCGTTCCCGTCGGGCCTGGAGTATTCTCAGCAAATTCCTCTGATGATCCCGGGCGGTGCTATGCATGGGCATGGCGGTATCAGCCCGCAGTCTATGCATATTTTCCCCCAGGGCGGGCGACCTGGCCGTCGCGACGGTGATAGTGGCGTGGCTCTCCGTAGCCCTCTACTAGAGGAGTTCCGGGCCAATAAGTCCCGGAAATGGGAACTGAGGGTAAATCAAGTCCTGCCTTGGTCTGTGCTATTCTCACGCGGTTGGATTCCGTAGGACATTGCCGGTCACATCGTCGAATTCAGTGGTGATCAGCATGGATCTCGCTTCATCCAACAGAAGCTAGAGACTGCCACAAGCGAGGAGAAGCAGAGTATATTTGACGAGATCGTCCCTAATAATGCCCTGCAGCTCATTCAGGACGTATTTGGCAACTACGTGCGTCCTGGAACATGGAGCAGGCGTCGGTCTTCGCTCATACCTCATTGTGTAGGTAATCCAGAAGCTCTTCGAACATGGGACGCAAGTGCAGAAGACTCTTCTTGCGAATACCATGGAAGGTCATATTCTGCCGCTTTCGCTGCAAATGTACGGCTGTCGCGTTGTACAAAAGGTGGGGGGTGTCTTGAAGTGTCACAGTGGTTGATATTGATCAAATATACATCAGGCCGTAGAATATGTGTTGCCAGAGCAGCAGGGAGCTTTCGTGAAAGAGCTCGAGCCTCACGTCTTACGGTGTGTGAAGGATGCTAATGGTAACCATGTAAGTGCATGTTGTGCTAGCACAGAGGCTGGGGATATCAACTGTTGCTATAGGTCGTACAAAAGCTTATCGAGCGGGTCGCGCCTGAGCGTTTGGGCTTTGTAAATTCATTCAAGGGCAACGTCTTCGAGCTCGCGACGCATCCGTACGGTTGTCGCGTACTTCAGAGATGTTTAGAGCATCTACCTGATGAGCACACGCGACCGCTCCTTGACGAACTGCACAAATACACGATCAATCTCATGCAGGATCAGTTTGGCGTAAGTCGTCTCCTGTTGCGTCATCATTTATGCTCAATCCCGTGTAGAATTATGTCGTTCAATTTGTGCTAGAGCACGGAAAGCCGCAGGATCGAGACCTGATCATCTCGAGGCTCCGGGGACAGATGCTGAACATGGCGAGGCATAAGTTCGCGTCAAACGTGTGCGAGAAGGCCCTGGTGACCGCGGATCCGGAGAGTCGACGACTGCTGATCGATGAAATCATGACCCCGAAACAGGACGGTGTCAGTCCTCTCGTGACCATGATGAAGGATCAATTTGCCAGTAAGTTACTAGTCGAGTTCCGTAATGGATATGTTCTGACCATCATTGTGTAGACTATGTGCTCCAGCGCGCGCTAACTGTCGTAGAGGGTGAGCAGAAGGACATCCTCGTTGGCAAGATGCGGCCTCAGTTAGCCAGCATGCGCCGGTACTCCAGCGCATACAGCAAACACCTTCTTTCTAGTAGGCCCCTTTTTGTGCCCTTACTACTCTTACCTTATGACTTTCTTCATTCAACAGTTGAGCGTCTCCTGGAGCGCGTAGCGCCTTCTGGGAAGACGGCCGCTGGTCACTTTGCGCCCGACCCCGCCGCCGTCCCCTCTGAATCGACACTAATAAACGACGCTACGTATCAATAGTTGCGGCGTTCATTCTTCCTATCTGCATTTGTTTCGGCTCTGTCTCCTTGGCATACTAAACTAGCACCGATTGTCAATGCATTTCACGGACATCCCGCGCATCATGAACTCTGGTACTGGTCCTACTTACATACACATAATTATCTGACGCTCCTTCGGTCGTACATATTGCTCTCGTTTCAGGATGTTCATTTTCTATGCTTTGCATTCATCGTACCGTACAGGATTGCTTTAGTTACCCTTGCTTGCTCCCATACCAGTGGTCGTCGTCTCGATTGTCTATTCATACAGCAATGATTAACTCATGAATTTATCAACCATTAGACTCGCTTCGATACGTTGAGAGCAGTATTATAATATATGCCGTGTTTGATAACGAGCATAGGATGAGAGGACAGCTATTAGTACTGTGCGCATGCCATAGCCGTCGGCGTCGTAAGAATCGAGGTACTTGGTTTGCTTCCACAGTGACAGAAGTCCTTACCCCGGTGATACCGATGGCCTCTTTTCCCGTTCATTCAGAACAAAATCAAACCCTTTTAGTGTCCAATGGCGCCACCGGGCCATTGAGACAGCATCCATAAACACGTTGGGTAAATATGTGTTGGCGCCCCCCACCTGTAGCACATATATAACCCCGCCTGAGAGAATCAACCATGAACCGCTCTCATTCTCCGGAAGGCTCGGACGACTTTGAGCACCTCTGGCCATTTCCCGCGATCCAAGACGTCCTCTATGGATGGAAAGAGCGCATACAACCATTTTGCGGCCTCCGTGATATCCTTTAACTCAGGCCCGTACGCGACGAGCATCTTCAGACCATGTTGCGAGGCAGGTGCCGAGGCAGACTCGGGGAACGGTACATTGCCGTCCAACGCAATCATTAGAGTTCGCAGTCCGGGACAATGAGCTGTGAAAGCCTGGAAGCCTCGCATGGTGGGAACGCGGGACATATCGAAAGCGAAGTTCCAGCAAAAGTACTCAAGGAGCGGCCATGCTTGAGCCATATGAAGCAAATCGTTGTCGTCCATAAGTACACACTGTTCGGCGTGGCTGCTCAGTTCAATCTCGAAATGCGTCAGCTTTGGGCATCCGAGCAACGGGTTTATAAGAGTCCGAGCATCCAGAATAACACCAGCGCGTACATTCTGCTTCTGTAGATCGCCCAGCATCTCCACAAACAAGTGGCGCAAGCTGGGCAAGCTAACACAGCGGAAGATAGTTTGGTACCAATCAGTTCGCGGCATATCCCCTGCGCCCAAGCAAACATCGATACGCTGGAGAGTAGTCGATTGCACGAGCTGCAGGACACTGATGACTTTGGACGGACGGCCCGTGAGCTTCAGCTCCCGTAGGGACCGGAACAAGAGAGCCTTTGCATTTGCCGGCACGTCCGTATCTTCCACATTAGCAGAGAGTTCCATGAGAGTCTCCAATCGGGACAACGCGAGGAGATCACTGTATGAGATGGACACAAAGGACGAAAATGGTTGCCAATACACGTCGGTGGTTATACGAAGGCTTTTCAAGCGCCTGAAATTGCACAAGGTGTAGAAGGATACTTCCGGCTTAAAGTTACCGAAGGTGAGGTCTTGAATGTCCGGCGCCTTATTCGCTAAATATTCCACAATAGTCTGGATTGCTTGAGTTTGCGTGACCGAGTGCGCCATCTTGAAATTATCATCTTCGTCCTCGTCATCGTCTTCCGAGATGAATAGCCGTATGTTGACCTTCACCAGACCAGGAGTAACAAGTGGCGGCAGTTGTACACCGACATCTTTGGACATCCATGTCAACTCTCTGAGCAAAGGTAGAATTGGCGTGCCCAGATACTCAGTCAGTCTTAGATAGGCGATGGGATGAATTGGATAGAAGTAGCTGCCCACGTAGAAGAGTTTACGGACGCGACAGGAATATTTTCGGACGCGCTGTAGTTCCTCATCCGTGACCCCTTTGATCAGCGTCTATCGTATGTTTCAACTAGAGCGGTGGTGGGATGATATGATAGCTGACATACAAAGTTGCCATCGACGGCGCCGAACCAGTCTATGAGCTCGAACAGAGGATGTAGAGAGTCCAATATCCTCCATAAAGCGTCCAGAGCTGGTTCTTGCATAGCCCGACAGGTCAGAGCAGCATGTAGCATGGTACTGCGTAGGAAGGATTGTGTGGTCCCCTCCCCCTCATCTTCTCCATTTTTTATATCGTTGAGCTCATCCACAAGTTGTCCAAAAACTTGAAACAAGATGTCTTGCGAACACAAGAGTGGATGCATTTCAGTAGCAGAAAGCGCGGCGCCGGTCGTCCGCGTAGGTGGCGACAAGTCGCGACCTCAAGTAATCCATCAATTTGATCAAGGCGCCGCCACGTGAATTTGAATGTATCGACTGTATCAAGTACTCCGGTGAAGGGCGAGTCTTGCAAGGTACACGGTCGTGTCGCATTGAGTAGGCAACAAATGCGAGAGCTCGGGGTAACTGACCCAATGCGACATAATACGACATATTCACGGGTCGGAAATGATTAATGACCAGAGACCGGTGAGGCTGAACGAGCATACATTCGACGATCCCCTCCGGCTCAACTCACTTCAACTTGCAAGACTTAGCCCACTGTACTTCCCTCGTGCGAGTGCTCCCCTAAGGATGATCAGGAGTTCCAATATTTGTCAACGCATTTTTCTGGAAGTAACAGGGGTGCAAGCTTGAGTATGGAGTAGGGTTAAACAAGTTACCTAGACACTCTCGCGCAACGTTTTGATCCAAGACTAGACCTTAAGAGGTTTACTGTTCAGCCCTCAGGGTACGGGGCCACCAACCAGAGTGCCGGCTTGTGGCAACCTGGAGCTCTCGGACGCTCTGGACTTTGGCTGAAGGACTGCCAAGCAGTGACACTCGGATAGAACTGTCCGTAGCTGCGCTGGCTTCCTACACAGAACAAACCTGACACGGTCCATGCCCTGATGCACGCCGTTGCGGGCCGTCCGGAGACGCATACACACCTATAACACTCGCGACTGGCCAAATGGCCTGAGCATACCGTATCGAATTGGAGAACGATCTATTTTGTCTGCCTTCCCCGCGTGACGAGACATGCCCATGAAAGCGGGGTCGGGCGGGGCGACCACGGAGGATCCCCATGTCGAGTACAAGACTTTCGAAGACGAGTCGTCGAAAGCCAACCAGCTCGCTGGGGCCATAAGAATACTGAGGGGTGTGGATAGGAGCCGTAGGAAGGTCATGGAATGAACTTGCCGTTGCAGTGCCAGACAATGTGTAGAGCGCGAACGGTAGTGTCAATGGACTCCACCGTGGAAACATCAAGCGACTTGCTTAAGTACGGCGCTGCGCGGCACGCCGGAGTCCGATTCCCTTCCGCTTGACCATTCCTAGAGCTCTGGAGAGCGAGCAGTTGAACGTAGAACCACTGCCGGAGAACAACATGTACGTCAAGAAAGCTCATTTTGAGCGGCCACATTTCGGCCGGCCTGACGGCCGCCTCAATATGGCAGGAGACTCAATTTATGTCCAGCAGGTAAGTAGCTACCCCCGAGGTCCGCATTGAGGGATACAGTACATGATCTCCTCAGAGCGGAGCATACCACCACCAAATGACCCCTAGAGGACGGATGAAAGAGGGTACGAAACCCCTCAGTACAAATGGGGGGATAATACCCGAAGGATATGAATAAAGTCATTCTAAAACGAGGTAAATAGCCCCTGTCCAACGAAAAGCCACGTGTTGCCACTGAAGCCAGCACTGTACTGATAACCAATTCCCAAGGGAATCGGAAATGAGGCGAGACGTATCTCGTCACCATTTCGGCAGAGGCACTTAGACGCCCTTGTGAAGTCCCTTTCCGTCCTGAACACGTAGCTCTCTCCGGTCCTCGACGCGCTGGTTGCTGGAAGCTACGCCCTCTTCCCTACATTCCGAGGACCGACGCGGCACGACTGCTCATGAGTACTGTAGAGGCAGAAGCGGCTGCTGCTCTGTTTGGTGCCTCGGATTCGCAGTCAGATCCTTTCAGTGCGGTCTTGGGTGATGACGGTGGACCGGAAAGCACACCAGCTGCAGGCACGGAGTCTACGCTAGCGAATGAGGATCCTTCTTCCTTGTTCGAGACCGGTGAGGCTTCGTCAGGCGTGAATACCTACGGCTATGACAGTTGGCTGTCACCGACAGACGGCTACCAGGACGGTTCTGTGAATGAAGCTGGTGCAGGATATTCAGGTGACGTGCAGGGCTGGTATGATCAGAATGGGCAATGTACTACTTATGATCAGCCGCAGGCGAGTGAAGGTGAGCCTCGTGGTGTAGGAACGTTTCTCTGTTTCTAAGTAGCCATAGGTTACACCGACGTGAACGGTGGCTACAACATGACCACTCAAACTACATCTAGTGCATCACACCCTTATGCTCCTAACGCCTTCTCTGCTACATCCTCCTATGAACCTCGCCCGGAGATATCACAGGCACCTCCCCATTACACGACACCGTCATATGACCCTTATGCACCACAGTCGGCGTCTTCGCCGTATGCACCACAGTCGACACCTTCAACGTATGCACCGCAGTCGACGCCTTCAACATATGTATCAGGGTCGACGCCTTCAGCGTATGCACCGCAGTCGACACCTTCACCGTATGCTCCCAGCAATTCTGCCTACACGACCTTCCAGCCACGCTACGAGCCATCGACCTCTTACGACTCGTACAAGCCCCCGGCTTTTGCGTCGTCGTATGGAGCTGGTCAGCCTCCTGCCCAGAAGGCACCTCCCCCAGTTTCTGCTCCTCCTCCTCCTGCGCCGAAAGCTGACACATACCGACCCAAAGTTGTTAATGCTTATGACCCGCCTTTACCGCCAGCAAAGCCTAAATATCGCAATGCTCTGCCCAAGTCTCCTTCTCTTTCGGCGTTCTCTGCCTATGGTATCCACTCTGCAGCTCCTCCAAGTCCGGCCTACGCTCAGGCGGCCCATGCAGTTTCCCCTCCTCCTCCTCCGCCTCCCCGAGCTGCAAGTGCAGGCATCAGCCGACCCCCCCACGCAGTTAGCTCGCCCGACAGTAGTCGCGCCTCCAGTCCTCCAGTTTCTAGGCCGGTTCAACCTGGGCACAGTCAGGCCGTGTATGGGAATAACGGCGTACGTGCGAAGCACGACGGGTTCCCTCGTTCTTCCTCCCCTTCCGTCTCAACCTATCAAGCGCAAGCATATGGCTATGGGTCTTCAGGATCTAACAACACATTCGATTCAGCACCGTTGACGCCGTCGCTGACTGCAACTGTCGATGTGGTCAATATGTATGGCGGTGGAGTCTCATTGCAGTCACCTCCATCCTCAGGCCCAAAGACTGCACCTGCCATCCTTGAAGATGACCCAGAAAATCCGATGACATCCTTCCAGGACACCTTCGAGACGGGACGGACCTACCAGCCGAGACAGGAAGGCGTAGCTGCACAGACCTCACTCGAGTCCTCGTCAGACAGCTCGGTCCTCACCACAGACGCTGCGGAATCTGGCTCTGGCAGAGTATCGTCGCCGGATAGGATGCCTGCAGAATCTTCGAGCAATCCAGAGGAGGACAATCAGAACTCCAAGGGCGCCCCAGTGCTTCCGTCTCCACCCCCTCGCAGTTCCTACTCGTATGAGCCTCAACCTTCATCGAGTCGGAGCAGCTTGGATAAGCACATGCCCGCCGAATCACCCGCTAGGTCTCCGCCTCCTCCATCAATAAATCGAAGCAGCTTAGATCGCTATGCACCCGCGAAGTCTGCCACTGTCTCACCACCCCCAGCAGCGATAAATGGGTATGCGGTTCCAGTCTACGACCCGTACAAGCCTTCTCAGCGCGATAACGACCCTCCCCAACAAAGCGCGCAGAGGGCGAAGTCACCAGGCGCAACTTCGGTTCGTTCGTATACGTCGTCGCTTGGTGGACAATCTGCGTCATCTGTCGCATCACGGTCTCAGTCTCCAACTGTGCACCTGCCCGCTCGGGATCGTGCAATGTCTAACGGTATCCCGTTTGGTCCTGCACAACCTCCCGCAAATGCCAATCCATACACGCCAGTTTACGGTATCAAGCGTGAAAGCAGCGAAGTTTCTGATTACGGTGATTCATGGACGAGTCGCTCATATCCGAGTGTGGAAGCGGGTCACATACCCATAACAACAGCGTCTGAACCGGACCGTGGTCAAGATATCTATCTCAGTGCTCCGGCTCGTGCCCCGTACGCCCCGTCCCCAACATTGTTGGGTGCAAATGATCCTCTGGGCAGGGTAGCCGCGCGCGCACCATTAATGAGCTTCGGTTTCGGAGGCAAACTTTTGACATGCTTCCACGGGTCTTCCTCCCTCAGTACTGGGTTCGATGTTGCATTGTCCTCTAGGCCTTCGACAGACATCCAGATGCGCACCCTTCACACACTTCTCCCTGAGTCTGCTTCAGGCGTCGCAGTTCCGGCCTATCCAGGCCCTCTGTTTTCGGACCCTGGTACTCCCACGACAACGAGCTTAGTCCGCACGAATGCTTCCCAGGTGAAGGCGAAGAAGGCGCGCGTCCTCAAGTACTTGGAGGAGAAGGAAGAAGAGATATCCCGAGCGGTTGGTTACTTGACGCGAGGTTCCTCTGAGCACCGACGAGCAGAAGGCAAGTTGGTTCTTGTGAAGTTGCTGAAGATCATGGTCGAGAATGATGGGAAACTCAGTGGAAGGTAGAGCACTAATACCCCGCCTTTATTTTACCTATTGACGATTCGTTTGCCTTAGTGACTCCGTAGACGCTGCAGCTCGCTCAGCGCTGGTTCCACGTATCCAGGCCACCTCTAACAGCAATGAAACAGGTCTATCTGCTGCGGCTGATCTATCTCTAGGTTACCCCGGACTTGGCTCGTCACAGCCTAATGAGACACCGCTTGCGTCCTACATCGTCAAGCCTTCTACATTGGACAAGATACAAGATTTCTTGCTGCGCGGTGAACGTCGTAAAGCGTGCCATTATGCTTTGGATGAGAAGCTTTGGGCACACGCGATGTTAATTGCTAGCAGTATAGATAAGGAGGCATGGAAAGAGGTCGTGCACGAGTTCCTACGGACTGAGTTAGGCTACCAATCGGCCGGTGGCCATGGCGCTTCTCTGGGCGCGAATGGCAAGGCTGCGGACCCTGGGCGAACCTCACTCAGGGTGGCGTATAGCCTTTTTGCGGGGGAGGGAGCATCATCAGGTTTGTGCTGGATCACATGCCCTTGCGAAATAACTAACCTTTTGGTTATCTATAGTGCAGGAAATGGTTCCCCCCAAGCTGTTGTCGAAGACAACGTCAGAGTCTCTTCAAGTGCCACATCCCGTTACCCCGATGGCACCGACGCCAATATCACCTAATTTCCCCAGTGCGGCGCTGACGACCAGTGTTCCCGAGGACGTCCTAGCTGATTGGCCAGAGACCGCTGCAATGCTATTGTCCAATCCTATGACGGCAGACGCCTCATCTGCTCTTACCACCTTGGGCGATTATCTTGCCGCTAATCATTGGGTGGAAGCTGCACATGCTTGGTACGCAGTTCGTCATGTTCAGCTTTACTGTCATTAACTTCGTTCATGAAGCTATCTTCTTTCTCCCCAGACGTCAGCAATCGGGGGTGCGGGTAGTCCTTCGGTCCGCTTGGTGTTGGTAGGGTCGCCAAGTCCTCAGAACTTCACGAGATTTGGTAAAGACCACGATCCGATTATATTCTCTGAGATCGCGGAGTTCGCTCTGTCGTTGGCACCAACGACGAAGGGCCAAGAGACATTCGCGGGGTTGCCCCACCTACAAGCATACAGGCTTATCCGCGCGGCTACACTAGCGGAACTTGGTCACGTTCAGTTAGCTAACCGGTACGTATCAGTGCGGTGGTGTACAGTGGATGATACTGATATTCACCATAGGTATTGCGAGGCTATCCGGAGTTCCTTATCTCGTCAGTCGCCTTACTTCAACGTGGTGTTCATGCACTGCTTGCGGGAACTCTCGGATCGCCTGGTGGCCGCTCCTCAAGTCGACAAAGCGGGGTCATGGATAGGCGGGAAGATGAGCAAACCGAGCTTAGATAGCATAGGAAGCTGGGTCGGAGGCCGACTGACTAAATTCATCGCTGGCGATGAAGACAAGTCTCCGACTGACGATCCCTTGGGTCGGTCCAGTCAAGACGACAATACGTTCTCAGGACCATTCACCCACTACAGTGCTATCTCTTCTACTGTGCCGTCTCATACTCCATCGCCCGCGCCGTCGGTACAGAGCCTTAATTTTGCGTCTGCGTCGCCGCCACCTCGCAGGAGTGGTTCTGCTATGGCGCTGCGCCCTAATCTAACCAGTGATGTTCACGTGGACCGGGCGTCTTCTGCCATGGATTATACCAGGCCTTCGGCTAGGAAGTCCTCCCCTGCACCAAGATTAGGCTCATCCGACACTTCATCCTCGTCGCCTTACGGTCAGGTACCTTCGTTCGGACAGGTGGTGAATGGCTATGGTGCAGCGAATGGATATGGAGGGTATCCTTCGTCGCCTATGGCACCCTCCGCGGACGGTTCCGAAGCTTCTCAGAATGGGTCATCTTGGTGGAACGGGTACGGCGCAGAGAATGATTCTGTCACGCCCACCGCAAGCTCATTCAATCATACAAATGATGCAGAAGGGGGGGCTGATTCTTCTAATTTTATTTCCCTCATGGATGATCAGATGATGACACCGATGGCGTCCCAAACCTCAGCTGCACCCTCCAGAGGCATATCTTATGATGATGAGGACATAGAAGATGACTTAGGCATTGGCAATCCAACCAAGAAGTCCAAGGCTGACAAAGCGGAGACAAAGGAACCCGGAAAGCCGTCTCCGACGGAAACTTCGAATAATAAGCCCGATACTGACAAACCTGGTAAGTAACACCTGCGCCGATCGCCACTTTGATCGCTTATAATGCCCCTTCAGCCCTGTCCTCGACGTCTTCGAGTTCCTGGCTAAGTCGCTTGTGGAAGCGCGAGAGCACCCCGACGCCCGTAAAGGCCAACCTGGGAGAAGAAGTGACGTTCTACTATGATAAAGAACTGAAGCGCTGGGTAAATAAGAAGGTCAGTGCGCTCCTTCTGCCGTTCTGGGCTTTCAGCTGAATAGATATGACTACTGCAGGCTGGCGCTGACGCTGCTCAGCCTAAACCCCCGCCTCCGCCGCCATCTCGAGCACAGACGGCTTCTCCGAGCCGGTCAGCACCTGGTGTCACGCCGCCTCCTGCACGGCCTGCCTCAGCTGTAGATCTGACGATATCGCCTCCCAAAAAGCCTCCCATGCGTGTGCGGTCTAACTTGGTACCTGAAGGGGTCGAGTCCGCACCCACTACGCCTGCTGCACATGCTGGATTAGATGTGCCACCACCTCCAGGGCGGCCTAAGTCAGGGATGGCGAAGAGAAGCGCGCGGAGCCGTTATGTAGATGTTTTCCAATCACAACCTGGTTCATAGATATATAGCATTCATAGCATATTTCATTATTTGGACTTGACGTAGTTCTAATTCTTCGGGATGAGCGCTGTGGCATGTGGCTGGAAACCTAACCTTGCATGGACGCGATCAAAAGGGGATTCTCAGGCTTGATCGACTATTGTAAACGCCAGTTTCCCTCCTCGGACAACGTAAACTCAGGCAAGCGCTCGGACGGGGACCTCATCGCGAAATGAGTCGCCGTAAAACGTCCAATCTTCGATGTTACGTTCGTCCTTTGTCCCGTAACACGTGCAGCGCGTCTCCGCTCATCTCCCTCTCGCTAGTTCTACGACGACGAAGGCCGTCCGAGGTCTAATAAACACGGTGGCCTGGGCTGCGAACGGGACCCTTCAGAGTGTCACTTCATCCATCCTGACGAGCCTGAGTGGAGGACCGCGCGCACTACCAAGCGCGATCCCCCTCGACCAAGAGAGGAGCGTCGCAATTGGCGCGACCGCCCTCCTTCCCCTGCGCCTTCTCATCGTAGCGAGCATCGAAGAAGTTCGGACCAGTACGACATGCCTCGTGAACGGAGAGCTTCCGGAGACTCGACGAGCATGCGAGGCTGGGGCCGGGCAAGTTCTCCGGCGCGCTCAGATCTGAGTCTTGGTCCTCGTTCCAGGTCCAAAGAATGTAAGCAGGCCAGTCGATACAGACATTGTTGCACTGAGCTTTAACTGGACGAAGCCATCGACCCTATGACATCTGATACTCATGTGTCCCATATGCCACCTCCTCCCATCCCAGCGCCTTCCGCCGCGGCCTCTTCATCTTCAGCTCCGCCGCCCGCTGCTACTGCTGTCACCTCTACTCCCACTACACCCCTTGACTCAAAGGAAGGTACGGCTGGACGCATGACCGTCTCAGAACGTAGGGATGTATGGAAGACTCGGATCCAGTAGGTGCCATGTCGATGTCTATCGCTTACCTCCCTATTATATCTGTATTGTTTCCAGAGTCATGACCGACTGTGTCCTTGCTCGTGCGGAGCACGTCAAACTTCAGCGAGAACTCCGTCAATATGAGGCTTTGATGCAATCGTGGCGATTCAGCGAGCTAGCCGAAGACGATAAGGCGCGCTTACGTGCCCAAGTATCAGAGGTCCGGGACAAGTGCGAGAAGAAGAAAGGCGAGCTCAACAAACTCGTGGAGAGCCTCATCAACTCCGACTACTGGCCTGCATCCAAGGATAAGCAAGGTCTTTCTTCCCTAGACAACGTTCGAAAAGAAGTCAGCGAGTTGAAGGAGCTGTGTGCAAACCTACGCACTGAGCTAGTGCAGGTGATTACGAATCAGGCTGCCGTTGCGAGTGCTGCTGCGGAGAAGGAGGAGGATGGATCTCAGACCAAAGGCAAACGTAGACGTTTATCGGAAAGTGGCAGGGATACGGATGATCGCCATGCTACTGGATCACGAAGGGTACAAGAACAAGTTGAAAACCTTGAACAACGACTCGTGGAGTTGGAGAACATGCTCAATCAACGTGATGCGGAACTACTGGACGAGTTAGAGGGTCGATTAGAAGCGATGCTGGAGGATGTACGGGAAACACAGTCGAGGTCTGTGGCGGAAACCAGACAGAAGGAGCACGAAGCCTACGGGGCACGTATACAAGGCATCGAATTCAACCTCAATGTAACTGGTGATCAAGTGACGGCTATAGCGCAGGAGATAGCCACACTCATCACGGAATCAGCTGACTTGAGATCAGAGAATGTCAGCCTGAAGCAGGAGAATGAGAAATGGAAAATGAAGGTCGTCGAGGTGCGTTAGAGCTGTTTCGTTCTGTCTCCCTGAAAACTTCAATCTTCTCCAACTCTGGTACCAGCTGGAGGCTAAGCAGCGACAGACGGAAACCGTGATCCAGCGACACCGCGACGAAATTCGTGCTTTGTCGGTGGCCGTTGCAGACCAAGCAGTCCGCACTTCTAAAATACAACCTACATTACCTCCTGAAAGCGTCGTCAATGCGATTCAAGAGCCGATCTTCGAAGCCGTCCGAGCGATGGTCCGATCAGAAGCAGACGACCTCCGCCGGACTCTGGCGGGGAATATTCAGCAAGGAAACACAGAGATTTACACTACAGTGTGGAGCAAGCTGTCGAAGGTCCTCCAAGTTGTGGAAGGGCTGAAGAAGACTGCGGAAAACCTGCACCCCCCTCTTGAAAATACGTGATCGTTGGATGACACCATGTACTTATAGCCGCCCCCAGCCGCACCTAACCGTCGAAAGTATCATACCCAAAGGCCTCTACTATACATACCTACAGTATAATACGTAATAAATACAAGTTGCACGTTCGCTACCATATCCGATCCCATTTTCTGATACAAGAGGCACCCACATAATCTACCGGGCACATCAGAGTCGTAAGGACGACACAACAGAGGACGTACCGAAGTTATCATTAGGATCACATGCACACCGGCCTCTTGACCAATCGTCCCCTTGAGGACAGTGTTGAAAGGGCTCGTGTCTGTAACCAATGTCTTGGAAGAAATGCAGTTGGTTCTTGTCAAGGAATAACGACGCTGCTATACTGTGGACTGGAGCATCACCCCATCGCTATCATCGAGGCAGTGACTCGGTGAATCATTCATCGCCCCAAAACGAACAAAACAGACGAACCTCGTAATAGAAGCCGCCCTTTGATTCCAGATGATCGAAATAGTCCGAATATGCTTTCCCTCGCCAGAAATCCATGTCGGCGATCTCGAAATTACTCCAATCTGAGAGTAAAGCATGCTCGTATAAGACCCCTGTCCGGAGTAGAGTTGAGCGATATTCCTCACAGTGGCATAAGTTGTAAGAGATCCCTCCATCATCTGATAGAAACCCCATGGCATTGTTCTCCGCCACATACTGGGAATTCTCGGACAGAAATTCTGGGAACCGCTGTTAATGGTTCGGGACACGATATGACTGAGCTTACACACCTTTCGTGCTGTCCCACAGCGTGATGACCGTCTCTCTGAACTCTTCCATGGTGATGGTGAATCCTGGCAGAGGGTCTCAATGATATGCCTAACCTGAACACTCGACCACTACTGACCGTATGTCTTGTTATTGTCCTGCATGAACAGGAATGGATCGTAGTCGATGTCGCAGAAAAATTTGACGTCGGGCCTGAAGGATTAGCGTCATCACGAGTAAGCACAACGCGGATACCAAGTTATGGCATAGGTACGAACTCGACCCGCCAGTAGTACTTGTAGGGCAAGAGAAGTTCGTGCCTGTAGAAGAACTATGTATGTGTGTTAAGAGGGAAGGGTCGCCAGCTCGAGCTGTCCGCTTACTCCTGAGTTAAACCGGCACATATTCCGATAACTACGGGGCAGAGCCACCTTTAGCATGAAGGAAAATAGTAAAGGGTGAACAACATACGGAACGCTGCCTGGAATGAACGTAGTCAGTGAATCGTAAAGACATAATACGTCTATATATACCGACCCCCGTATATTATGCGTTGCCATACCATGACCTTGCGAGCTGCCTCCGCTCTCTTCTCGTCTATCCACTCTGGCTGTACCCACTGCTCATGGGGTATGACGCCGAAGTGTATTGGCGCGTCAGTCAAGACACTCACACGCCTGATCGCAGGTTAAGATCAAGATCTATGTGTTTGTCAACTCGAGACGTACTTGATGAAGTCATCCGTAAAGGGTTCATCGTTCAGTAAAACCCAAGGATATTTGTATTTTCTATTGAACCTGTCTTCCATTTGCTGAATGCTAGATACGACTCCCGGAAGGTCGTTGTTTCTGCATAGAAAGACGAAGGTAGCGTTGGCCCTGCGGTAGTCGCCGTAGTAATGATCGGAAAGGACTGTGCGATTTAATGACAGTTGTTCCACTATGTGAGAGAGAGACGTAGTTCGAGCGTATGACTCGTGTGATATCCGCAGGATATAATGAAAGCCCAGCTGACGCGAAATTGGACTTCAATAGCTTCACAACGCAGGTACACCACGTACAAGGAGCAGGAGAACTAGCAAGACGTAACGCCTCGGGTGCACCAAAGTAAGTCTCGGCTTCAGACCCCCGAATGCGGGCATGGATAACTTGGCGGTCATGGATGCACGCTGGTAAGCTTAGAGCTCAAGACCGCCGAATTACCAGATGCAATGAATAATAAGGACGTGAAGATGTTGCAGAGGAGAATATGGAGAGAAGAAAGAAATAAGGTGGGTAACAGGAATAAGAGCAGGAGCGGGATCAAGCGCTCCGCAGTGGGACAATACAAGGAAAGACTTCTATGGACGGTTGAGGACCTGACACATGTTGACTGACCTTAAGGTACTGCGAAACAGGCTATGGACGCCCGATCTACTATCATCCGCCACCCGCAGCAGGATGTTTTCAAAGCTGCGGAGCTATCTTGGTGGGCTCCTATTCTTGTATCCGCGCACGATGGTTATGACCATTTCTATAGATAGATCATATGCAGCATACACATAGAAGAGCTCATAGAAGCAAGAACGCGGGATTGGACGAGCTAATGGTAGCTTCCCAGTGTAAGCCTATGAGAGACAGAATAGAATATTAACGGAACAGCTTACGAGGAATAATGGAAATGTGCGGGGCAATACGCCATTATCAGGTATCGCCATATTCGCTCCGCCACTTCAGGAGTAACATCACTGATCACGCAGTTGGGCCCGAGACTCGTGTCAAGCGCGGAGAAGAGGCCAGAGTCGCGCAAGGCAACCGATTACGGCCACCGCTCAAAGAATTAAACAGCGGCGCCCGGTACGTGAGTATCGTACAATCCGCAGTCGCGGATGGAGTCTGCAAGTCCAAGTCCAAAGCGAGACCTTGCTCTGTGTTTAGCCACAAGCGGTTCCTGATTTGACCGCGATCGACCTTGCAGTATAAGACTATAGTACCGCGCGGATCCAGAGTGCCGGGGTAGTCCCAGTTCGCGGTATAAAAATCTATCGAGTGATCGCGTGGAGCCTCAGCTACACACGGTAGAGCCTACTAAGATGAAAATGTGCAGGGTTTGAGGCACCGAAGAGATGCGCATCCCTTTACTCAATCCCAACAGGTTCCAGAAGTTGATAACAACCTGCGACCGACGAGGCTTGGGAATATTTGGAGAAGAGCCAGCCATCTTTTTGCGCCAAAAGTATCGGAGTCAGTCATGATTGATAACTATTGCATTCACCGCAGAAGGTGGGGAGAGAGGGGACGAATAGACCGCGAAGCAGAACGGATTCGAGTAGTGTCGAAGTGGAGGGACTTGGTGGAATTCGCGAGACAAAGTGGCTGAAGGATTTGTGACTGTTTGGTCTCCGAAATTTCGTCGACAACTTGTTTGAGCAGTCGAATACGTAGGAGCCCTGGGCAAGGCAGTCAGTATACACACCTCTTTAATCTCAATGAGCGCGTTTCCGGTCCAGTCTCCCTACCCGTCGTCCTCAACCAAGTCATCTGCTTGGTCGCCGTTCTACTCCGCTGTGTCGCCTTTCACAAGGACGTATGACCGCTTCTCGCAATGGCGCTCAGACCTCGCATTGCCTTGCCCCGGTTCGGTAGAGAACCTACAAAAAGAAGTTAAAAGTATGCAGTATCTATCATCACATCTGCTCGAGACTGATGTGTTCCCGGTGCAGGTACACATCTGACCCACTTCATCTTTGACGGCGCAAGAGCCGACCTAACGAAGACACTATCTACGAACCCCGCTTTCCAAGTGACACATTCGTTCAACTTAGCATCCCAATCAGCACCTCCGTCGTACAATTTTGGCGCCGTATTCGCCAATGACCAGGTATTTGATCCCTCCTTCGGTCCGTGTGCACTGTGGCTAACGGCTTGCCGCAGGTTTTCATGCAAGGTGGGGTGGATCATGAAGGGAGTGTGAACGCTCGGTTCAACAAGGGTTGGACTCCTAACTTGGTGACCAAAATGCAGGCCCAGGTCAGTCACCTGTGTCTGGCTTGAGATTCAGAGCTCAAGACGTTTCACAGCTTTCGTCACAAGCGGGCCACAACATGATCCAAATAGAGAATGACTATTCAGGTCGTGACTACAACTTGAATGTCAAGGCGATCAACCCTTCCCCTGCCGACTTCAGTGGCATATATGTTGGGAGCTACCTGCAGTCCCTGACACGCAACCTGGCTTTGGGATTCGAGACGATGGTTCAACGACCAACGCCGGACATGACCGAGCTCAGTACGTCATACGTCGCGAAGTGGACAAGTACCGACAAAAACTGGATTGCTACTGCACTACTGCAACAGCCCGGCATACTGCAGGCGACGTACTGGCAGAAGCTGAGTGAGAAGGTGGATGTTGCTGCGGATCTGCAAGTCATCTCTGCCCCTACACGCAGAGATGCCGTTGCCACGTTGGGCGCCAAGTGGGATTTGCGGATGTCAACTTTCCGGGCTCAGCTGGATTCGACGGGCAAGGTTTCGGCCCTGCTGGAGCAGCGGTTTGCTCCTACTTTCGCGTTCATCATTGGTGGCGAGATCGATCACTTCAAGGTATGTATTGTGTCGATGAATCCCAATTCTTGCTGATCGCTGGCGCCTTCCAGAACGCTGCCAAGATTGGTGTCGGTGTGATGATAGAGAGCTCAAGCCTAACACCAGAGGAGATGGGTATGCCTCCTCAACCCTCATACCCTTAATGGACTCTACTCCCAAGTGCTGGGTATCTTTGGGAGACTGGCCCCGGGCGCTATTCTACGCAGAGATTGCCTGCCCACGTTTGCATTGTCGTACTGGTTTAAATTTATGACATATAATGTGTTTACATGAACCGTGAGAATGCAGACACACTCCCCCTTCCTTCCATCTGCTACACTATGAGCGCTATGAGCGAGACATTGCTGGAGCTTCGAGAGATATCTTGCGCGCGGTCGGATGGTTCACTTATATTCTCCGACGCTACCTTCGATGTAAAAGAAGGTGATGTTCTCGTCCTCCGAGGCAAAAGCGGTGCGGGGTAGGTCCTCTTCTCACGCGTTCGCGTACGCGTAGTGGATAAACTGAACTCGCTCTGTGCAGGAAGTCGACATTGCTGAAATGCATTGCCCACCTCAATGTATACAAGGGCGAGGTGCTCTACAGGGGAAGGTGCGATTCCAGCAAGGCTCTGATTTTTGCCTTTCCTAATGTTGCCCTTTCACAGGACTCCTAAGGCAATCGGTATGGGGGCTAATATTGATTTCGAGGTCTGGAGCCATAATCCGTGGAATTTGCAGGAGTCCCTCTGTTCCGGACACGTGTGTTATATGTACCCCAACGTCCATCTCTACTGCCGGGAACACCGAAGGATTTCTTCAACACCATATCTTCATTCTCCGCACGCGACCCGAAGGGTTCGCGCTTGTCTAAGAAGGGAGAGCAGACTCCCGCTCCGGACCTGAACCAAGCGGTCGAAGTAGGACGGTCGTTTGGACTGGACGATGAGCTATGGGACAGAGAGTGGTCAAGCCTCAGCGGAGGTGAATCTCAGAGGATGGTGCTGGCGGTAGCGATCGGTCTGGACGCTGCTGAGGTCCTGCTACTTGATGGTGAGCCTAGTCTACTCATTCCGTCAAGTTATTGATGCTCACTACACGCTAGAACCGACGTCCGCCTTGGATCCGCAGTCTTCAAACTCTGTCGAGACGTATCTCACGTCCGAGCTGAAGTCGCCGGACTCCACTTTGAAAGCAATCGTCTGGATAACCCACTCCGAGGAGCAGGGCCGGAGGGTAGGCACCAGGTTCGTGGAGATTACTCCGGACGGGATACGCGAGGAGCCAAACGTTCCTGAGGTGTAATCATGTATTTCTCGTCTGAATGGTCATTCATCCCGGTGTGCGTTTTTCGCGGTCCGTTTGTTATAGAACTGAATTGCGCAAGCCCAATGTAACGAAGTGTGAACAAGATCGCAACCTCTGTATCCTCTAATCTCGACTAGTATCGCAGAAGGCCACCACAAGGCAATGGACCCTTAGCTCAATCGGTAGAGCTTTGTACTTATGTGGATGCAATCCCTCAATGCAAGGGTCCCGAGTTCGATTCTCGGAGGGTCCACTTTTGCTCACACTACTCCTGGCAGCGCACATAGTTATCAGTGGCAACCGCAAGTGTCGTTGTATTTTTGCCATCGTCACCATTCCCGCTACCGTAGGTAGTGGGTCTTGGACCCCCCGGCCGTTCGCAGGTTTCCTGCGATCGTTTCAAGATCTACGCGATCTATTTGACACTATTTGGCTCTTAACCGTATATGGCGGACGGCAGGACCGGCACACGGCTTTGGACCAATCAAAGATGGGGTCCTCAAAGGACCCCGATTGTAAAACCACGTGGCATCTCTCTTTCCATCTTTAGCCAAGGTGGCGGATGCTGGTCAAGGGACTCAAGAGAACAGACATGACCTAGCTTGGGGCGTTGGAGATGCGGTCTCCAGGTGAAAGCAGCATACTTCAATGTCAGCTGTTTTACATAAATGACTTGCATACTCAGAACCTGAGGGAGGAGTGAGTGGACATCTCTTCAAATCGTTGAGGTGAATGCTCAGTCGGAAATCATGGCTGGAACACAATTGCTTTCGCAAAATAAATATATTAGTATATGATGCTGCTCAGGATGTCAAGTTTTCAGCTTGCTACCAAATCTTATCTATGTCTACGGTAGAGGGCTCTGCCGCTCCCACGGCCCTACCGCCTTATTCACTGAGTAAAGGAAACGTGCTCGAGGGCGACTGCCAGGACATGTCGCGGTGCGCACACGTGCTGCGATACTATTTCCTTGTCCGGATCTGTGGCGGTGGACGGTATATCCAGCGCAGCGCAGCAGCGTAAACCGGAAGATCTCTTTCGACCCTCCCATTCCTTAACCTGGCGTGTCTGGCTGTCAGTCACGTAAACTGTCCATATTTCCGCTCTGGACTAAGTGGATTCATACAAGATGATGACGCCTATGCGTTACGTTCTGCTGGTACTGGGTATCATAGTAAGCGGCTTGTCAATGCTACTTGCCGCACCGCACCCTCATTACGCGGCCAGATTGGATTACATTTTATCCTTAGCGTCTCTCATGAAGAATATGGACGAGCGACATCATTGTCTAACCTTGCCGACCAATTCCGTGCACCCAATCCTCCGTATAAGAACACCGTGCCGGACGAGTACTACGCACCCTCCGACAACACGACTCACCCAGGACGGAGGGCTAATGCAGTGATTGTCATGCTTGCGCGGAACAGTGATCTGCCTGGCGTAGTATCTAGTATGAAGCAGTTGGAAGACCGCTTCAACAAGAAGTTCCGGTATCCCTACGTCTTCTTGAACGAAGAAGACTTCAGTGACGAGTTCAAGGAGTGGGTAATGTCCGATCTGCAAGCGAGGCTCTTACTGATAGTTCTGAAGTCGCATTCTTACCATCACGGACTCCGAGGTCCAGTTTGGTCTTATACCCCACGATCACTGGTACCAGCCCAGTTGGATAGACGAGGACAAGGCCAGCGCAGCTAGAGCTGACATGATTAAGAATAATGTCATATATGGAGGTTCGTCTCTTCAGTTTCTGGCGCAGGGGTAACCGGCTAAACGTTCTCTGCAGGCAGCGTACCGTAGGTGTCTTTACGGCTGATAGCATACGTTGCAGGCTCTAAAGCCATTTCAGATACCGGAACATGTGCCGCTTCAACTCAGGCGTCAGTAATCTACCATTTTGACCTATTTCACAGATAGCTCAATTTCATTATTCTCAGTTCTTCTACCGGCACGAGCTGTTGAAGAACTACAAGTATTACTGGAGAGTTGAGTACGTATGCATTTTCTATCTTGTTGCGATGGTGACGCCTGACCATGTCACCATCAGGCCCGATGTCAAGTTCTTCTGCGATCTTGACTATGACCCTTTCCTGATCATGGAGGACGGCAGTAAAGTCTACGGTAAGCAACATTGGATGTAGTTCGTATGGTCTTCTGAGCGGACGGATTGGCAGGCTTTACCGTCTCCTTGTACGAGTACGAGGCTACCATACCTACACTCTGGAATGCGGTTAAGGAGTTCATCAACGCGAACCCGGGTTTGGTGGCAGAGGATAATGCCATGGCATTCCTTTCAGATGATGGTGGCGAAACATATAACCGCTGTCACTGTATGTATGTTTCTACGTTTGATGGCTTGCCTTGCTGACTGCTTTGTTGTAGTCTGGAGCAACTTTGAGATCGGAGACCTTGACTTATGGCGAAGCGAAGCCTATTCCAAGTTTTTCGATTTCCTGGATGAGAAGGGTGGTTTCTACTACGAGGTACGCTACTGGTGACGCTATTTTCCTGAGGACTGTTGTGTTGAATTTCGCTATACCAGCGATGGGGAGACGCACCTGTCCACAGCATAGGAGCCGCCCTGTTCGCTCGGAAAGACCAGATCCACTTCTTCAACGACATTGGTTACCGGCATGAACCTTTCCAGCACTGCCCTCAAGGCGCGGCACACAAGCGAGGAAAGTGCTGGTGCGACCCGAAACAAAACTTCGGTAAGTGAGTCTGCCTAATGGGCTTAATCATATTAATCCCAGGGTGCTTCAGACTATGAGTGGTACTCTTGTCTGAACAGATATGACAAGTTATTCTAGTCTCGTCCACTATGTATGACTAGTTGCATATTTATTTTACCAGGACGCTTGGATTGGCGGCTGCGCATTGGCAGGCTTGCGCTAATAGCCATAGTCTGAACTACTATGTTGAGACCAGCTGCATGGGAAGTCAATGCAATGGGTGAATAAGAGCCCGCGTCGCGGAGCACAAATATTCCTCTGCTTAGCGAGAAGTGCATGGCTCGTCATCATAAGATTGATTGAGCATAGTACTGATACTGCAAGGGTATTCAGGATGGAAATACGTTCAAACTGACGCGAACAACTACGTACCGAATCATACAAACGGGTCCAGTTCGACCCTAAAGATGTGTCTATCAGACGGTCAACATGCTCCTGCAATGAGTGCGTGAGCGCTGGTTGGAAGCGTTCTCGCAGCTGGTTGGCGGTCTGTTCACCCAAAGCAGCGAAGCAGGGCAATGCTGAGTCTGCACAGACCTTAGTATGCAACTTCACGGTAATGGAAGATACCACTCACCCTTCTGCATAAGCTCTACCAATGCTTTATACAGGTCATGAGATCGATGACATATCATCATGAAAAGAACCGACGTACTGATGATGCTATCGCAGTGTTTACTGGCAGCCTCAAAGCCTTCGCGGAATAGTCGCCTGAACTCCCGGAAGTATTCGCTGTCGACGCCTCCGAGGACTTCGACGTACTCAAGGGGCAATTTGAAAGGAGCTGCCTCGAACCCTATATTGCCCGGGGAGTTGGACAACATAAACCCGAAGTCTATGTGTATCAGATGACCTTCTCTGTCCAGGAGGATATTTCCGTTATGACGATCCTTTATCTGCAAGAGATACGTGACGAGGGAATATCCTGCGCAAGTCCTCAGCTCCTGAAGATGGCTGTGTCTTCCGACTTACCAGCGAGCGACTTAGCAAAATTGCGCTGGGCGCGTATGTACTTCGTGGAACTAGGGTCGCCGTACGTCTAATCAAATTCGATGGTAAAATATACACGAATCACTAGGATGTGAATCATACCGTCTTGAAGTGATCAAGCAGTGTAACGTGACCTAACCGCCCTTCAGCGAGCCGGCGTGCATATTCCGCTTTCTTGATGGAATGTATAGAAACCGCGTCAGTAATCGTCTCAACCAAGCCTGAACTGCCGCCTGTGACAAGAATTCGGAAGCTATCAACGACAGAGCGTGAGCTGGGAACAATGTCAGGAACAAACGAAGCATACTATCTGACCCAGCACTGACAGTGCTCTTCCTGCCATATCCGCTGGAACTGGTGGATTAGCTGGACTGCCAACTGCTCCTGCCGTAGGTCACCCCCGGTTTTGACAATGACGGACACGCAATCCCAGTTGGCTGTTCGAGCAAGGGCTCAGAAAGAACATGTGTAGTGGTTTCATGAAACCTACCTAGGTGGCCATAGGGTGAGCCATGTCGTATTCGACTCTGGAGGCAACGTGGGGTAAGTGTACCTGATTTACTATGCATGTAGGCAAAGACAATACCTTCTTTGCAGACCACGATTCACTGAATACAATCGCGGAGGGGTCGGCTCTGCTGAGTTCACGACGAATGATGGTTTCATCCTCAAGCGTCTTGGCGCCCCCTCCGTCAGATCCAACGGACAAGAAGCCGTCCACCTCCCGGTTTTCACGCATACGCTCCATGCGCTCCTCCTCGAGAGCGATCATCTCGCGCATAATGCGATCACGGATGGCAGCTGCTTCGGCTGGGTTCAACCTCATCCGGCTATGCGGAACAGGAGCACCAGCGCTGGTACGGGCCTGGGAGACGTAACCAGAGAGAGACGGGTGTACAGGGCCTTTGCTGACTTTTTCCTCGTTCTCAGCCGAGGGAGGCGTAACTGTGAACCAGTTAGATGCCGATAGCCAGCCAGGGGAACTCGAAGAGGGTTCAACAGGAGTGCTTCCCATGGACGGGGTGCTTGCACCTGTGAAGGGTTCTCGCACCAAATTCGCGTTGAGCTGCGCGAGCATGACAGCGGCAGTTCGCATACGTTCCGAATATTCGTCTAGCGACAGTATCTGAGCATTGGTACCACTGTCATTCCGTCCGTGATTTAGTAGGGGGGTGCCAGCAACCGATGGAGTACCAAACGACGGACGTTGCTCGATGGCGGGAGAAGGGGGGAGGGATGACGAGCGAGACCATGCAGCAGCATCGAGATCTTTATTGCGTGGTCGAGGGGGTAATACGATGGTGTCGGTCAAATCAACCGCATGAGAAAACCGGGGCCCGTCCGAACCATATACCTGCTCGATGAGATCGACTTCCTCCTCCTCGTCTACGGGGAGGGCCGACATTGTAGGGGTTGGAGGAATCGGCCTGATTTCCGGAGCACTCATCGAACTGTCCTCCTGGTCGATATCCGTCCCAGGAGGGAATCCCGTCGTAGGTTCACTGCTAGAATTTGTGCGACGAACAGCGGAGGGCCCCGACTTAAATGCGACCAAGTCTGAAGAGGCCCCCTTGCGCTCTTCCTCCTTGACCACGATCTTCTTGAGGATCTCCTTGTTACTCCTTTTACTCGGGTCGAAATCGAGATCGTCGTGAAGAATCTCCATCAATAAGAGAAATGGGGCCCGTTCCGCGGAGTTGAGCACGACGCTCTCACCCGGGGGGATGCGTACTATTCGGTGGTGAGGCTGTGTTTTCCCTGGCGCACCAAGAGGAACATCGGATGATGTGCACCACATGGGCATGCAGACCTGGTTATCACTGAGCATAGGAAGTAACATTCGTGATCACTGCAGAATTCACCTCCGCAGGTAACTTATGATTTAACGTCGTTAGCTCAGCCCTCAGGGCACTGACGCGCGCCGGCTTTGGTACGACTAGGAGTCTGCTGCATATATCCTCTAGGCCAAGAATAAATTGGACCTGATGTACTGTTATGACACAAAGATACCGCGAAACATGCGAAAATGGACCGACCTCAGATCTACAGTAATGACTGCGCAGAAGGTGGGCTTGTGACTGCAAATCGTATTTTTGTAGTAGCGAGTCAGATGTGGGTGACCGCTTCATGTCTCGAGAGGCCTTCGCTGCTGACAGTGAAGGCGAAGACTGGAAGGGACTGGTGGAATGCAAAGGCAAAGGCTCGTCTTGCTGACCAAAAGGATCCTCAGACAGCCTTGGTCGACCATCAGGTCGCATATGGAGAGGTAACGCGGGGCTCGTCTGAGCAGCACCTATTGTTTTACGGCGCGTTATGGTCCCACTTGGTGTTCGGTCGTAGTTGCTCATTGTCGGTCGGTTCTCCGTTGAACTTAATTCAGAAGGGTCGGCCTGGTTGGCTACCGGTTCTTCGAAGGAGTCCGTGGATTGAAGGTCCTGCTCTTCTTCTTCTCCATTCTCAGTACTCTGGCTAGGTCTAAGAACACCAGGAGCATCGTCCTCGTGACCCGTACGGATGCTATGATTTTCATGACGGTCGTCGTCAGCACGTCCCTGCTCTATGACAACCTCACTCATGACGTCCGTCAAGGGGGGCAAGCCTGGGACCCCTGCAAGTAAAATACCCATGCCCACCAGAGCGGGCGCAACGTTAGATTTGACTTTCTTCCTGATCTGCCTAGAAGTACTTGAAATGCCTGAGGATTCCATTGTCGAGTAGGGCATCACTGCAGGGGCAGGAAGGTCTCCGAATATTATCTCATGGCACTGGAGGATAGTGCTCTGGCAGACTGTGAAAGACTTGGGGTTCTGTCTCATTGAAGAGGAGAGGTCCTTCAGGTGTGCTTGCATAAACCAAAGGGTCTGTGATACCTTGTGAATATCCTGGGGATCAGCAGGAGCGGTGTTCCGGTACTTACAAGCATGGCAATGTGGGTGGACCTCCGACAAGTGTCTACGACAAAGCATTCTAAAGCCCGCGACTTGGACGGCCTAGTGACAAGGAGATGACTGGTGTTGAAATATTATTTAAGGAAGCCATCGAGGACACGAACACTTGCGTTCACCATATGAAGCCCCATACGTCACGCAATTCCTCTACGTCCAGCTCCCGAAGCCTGCGGGTGAGGTAGTACGTGATCCCAATGTTGTCCGCATAGAGCCTGAGATACTGGAGCGCGATGTGGACGGAGAAGAAAGAGGGAGAGAGAAAGAGACGCAGGAGGAGTGCATGGGACATGACCTGGACCGCGTTACAGGAGCAGCATACTCAGCGGATCGCGTATGGCCGGGCGCCTGCTCTAGGAACGGTGGCGGTGCTACCTCTAATACTCGATCTACTGCATGGCGTTGCCACAATTGCCACCTATACCACAACTTTGAAGGCCACATTCTTGGCCGGCCTTGTACAGACACTGCGACATGGTAAGCAGCGGTGCTACCTGCGTATGCATTCCTCGAGCTTATTGGATTGCACAGGGCGCCAGCGATAAAGCGCTGGGAGGTGCGATGCTGCTAGCGGCATCCGTCGTCTTCACCTACTACACGTTCTGGGCCCTTCTCCTGGTATGAGGGCAGTGACCTCCTAATAGTTACAACCGCTGACACCTCGAGTCCTTCAGCCATTCTTTGACGCGTCAAATCCGATTCATGACTTCTTCCCTTCGAGAGAATGGGCCGTACGGCTCCCCGCTTTCATCCTCGTTTCCGGGCTGTCAGCTGTCGGGTCGTTTATCGGGATCACAGTAGTAAAGGAGAAGCGCGCGAAAGCACAGAAAGCAAAGCTGCGTATGGCTTGATAAACAATGACCGTCCCACAATGCATGGCTATGGTACATGAACTGACTAAGGGCCTTCGTCCCGGCCCTCTACCTTCGCTCCGGCTTCTTCTCATATGCGGCTTTCCCAGCATCCCGCCTCCTCACCTCTAAAGCCTGTAGCTTTTCCGTAGCGACCAGATCAGCCACGACTTGCTTAACCAGGGCTTCTGTCGAGATATCTTCCGCAGGTTCCGACATAGTGCGCAGAACGCGAGAGAGCTTCACAGAGATGATGAGGTGCATAGTCTGTCTTCTGAAGAGGACTCACTTTGTTTGCCAAAGTCTCATTCTTCGCCAACGCCCGCGCTCGCGTTAACACTTCGACGTTAAGCGCGGTGTCCAGCATCACCACCGACCGAGATTGGTGGAGGAACATGAAGAGATCCGCAATAGATGACAAGATCAGTGCGCCGGTAGCCTGACCAGCGGTCACCGTGGGCGTTAGCTTGCATCTCAATGGTGTATGGTATGTATTCTCACCGGTATGCTGCCAAGCTGTGCATCTTCTTCAAATGCCGCCAACAGATGTTCGAAGGGCGGCCAAAGGTCGTTCCACAGCATCCGCGATGTGGCATCCTCCTTGTTGCTCGACGCTGCCCCAGTTTCCTCCCTAATAGAGGACACCCTATGAGCGAGCAGCAGCCACAATTTGATGGAGATGTATGCGTAGTTCACGTCCGCTCCAGTCAAACCTATTGTCCCAGGTTCCGCAATATGGTAGGATTTGAGGCACCTGTGATACATCACCAGAAAAGTGGGGAAATTGTCTAGTAGTAGACGGGAGGACGCCTTCAGGTCGGTGCACAGCGCCGTCACTAGCAGGACATTCCACGAGCGGATGCTAAGAGGCTGGCGCCCCGTTTTCTAACGATCCGAGTCAGCAGAGTGCGATGATAGTTGGACTACTCATGCTCACATCAGAGGGGGCTGTAACTTGTTTCAAGAAAGGCTCCGCATTGTCCTCCGTCGTCTCCATTATCATGCGAGCTGCCGCTCGAGCACACGCGAACCCGGCGTCCGAGTATACTGTCGACGCCGGAGAAGACGAGAGATAATGCAGAGCATCCTCCGCTATACCCATGATGTAGTCAGAGAACAAGCTCCTTCCAGATCGACCGTCAAAGGCATCTGCCAGCGACAGAATCTGTAAACGCCGACGAAGCTGAGCGGATACTATCAGAGCAAAGGAGCAGGGCCTTACCTCTAGGATACTTGTCAACGTCTGAGGTGTTACGCGACCCCTGCCCCTCAAACCGTCGGACAAAGTGCCAAGTATGGATCCAATGATGCCATTTGCGTCGCCCAGACGCTGTCCCGGCTGCGACGGCCTCCCATAGATGCGCATTGAGACGCGCATCAGACGGAGCAGGCTCTCACTTGATATACTGAAACGCGGCAGACACGCTGTTAGGACGAATCCGGTAGCGCGCAATAATTCCTGTACGTGCAAGATCAGTTTCAAGACGGCCAACGGAGGCAAGCCTCGTCAGGAGACTCACATGACTTCTAGCTCTGTTATGTTCAATCAGGGTCGCTGCAAGGAGGAACATAGGGCTTGGGTCGTATGCGTCTGGTGCTTCTGCCAAACGGCGAGTGATGTTTCCCAGAAACTGGCCCACCTCTGGAGGAAGTGAGTATCAAATGGGCTGAAGAACGCATATCACCTACGATACATGAGCTCAGAGGTGCAGTCTTCGTGGTGAACAATTTCAACATATCGGTTGAGGTTATTGACAACCACTTGAAGATGACGGCGATCGTTCTCATGGGCTCGACCCAGGGTGTCGAAGAGCAGTACTTCTCGTAGGGTCTCTTCGTTCCGCACTGTCTTCGCGTTGGCGTCTGTTATGTCACGCAGTACGCGGAGGAAATTTGTGTCCAGAGGTTGCTGTCAAAATGAACATGAGATATCGATACTTCTGGTCGTGTGAAACCCACCTTGCATAGTGCGTTAAATATCCCCCCTCGAGCGCGCCTAGGAACCGGATGAGTTTCCCGCAGCTATAACAGCTAGTTGGACATACATTGTCAGAGTTGTTTCAATGAACGATCGAATCTGGATAACCAGGGCATCTTCTCCATTGTGGTTGAGCAGCTCGATGGCCTTCGCAGCGATCTCTATCGAATCCCTTCATGGCACATGAGTTAATGAGTCCACTGGAGGTGTTACATTACGCACACGAGGATATGAGTGGAAGTCACACCCCAGCATTTGATGTAGGCGTTGCATATGGAGACCGATAAACGCCGGAGCTCGTACGCAACGTCCATTAGCAGGACATCCATAACGTGTCTTACAGCGTGCCGCAAATCCGGCATCAGATGTCTGAGTGGTCTGCTGTCGAAGTCATGTTTGTATATGACAATCAAGAGAGCCTCCATAAGGTGTCTAGCAGTGCCAACTGGCATATTGCTAAAGTCCTGCTTAACCACAAGAGCGAGCAGTACGTCGACGAACGCTGATCCAACTAGCAGGTTTGCTGGTGTTTCCTCGTGCGAGTAAGGACCACCCATGGCAGAAGGCGCAAGGTCGAAAGGGTGGAACGCATCAAAGAGGGCAGGTAGTTCGGAAATGCACGGCAAGGCACTCTCGGGGATCTCTATGAAATCTCCGAAGCGCACATGAAATGCATGGCCGCTAAGTGCAGGAATTAGGGAGACGTCGGCGAAACCCAGGATCTTCAGGAGCTGGGTCTTGATTCGTAGCAGCGCAGCGATATCGACAGCGATACCGTTCGCTATCATTTGCAGACTCAGAATTACTATTGCAACCTGACAAGAATGTGAGGAAAGAGCACAGCGACGTTCTATAGCACATTCACTTACACGAACGAGGGACATGTCGGGATCGGTATCGGCGTTGATGAAAGTAGAGTCCCTTGAAGACAGGCCATACATGGACTGCCGAAGGTTGGATGAGGTACGATCTGCATAGTCTTAGCTTGGACTTACTAAATGAGCCGACGCCGGGCCATCTTCATTGTTGCCATTCTTTTGCAGGTAGTCATCTTCGAGTATCATCTCCACTATCACGTCCCATGACAGTACTGATAGGAAGCTCAAATGAGAGAATACAATTGGTGAGACAGCTTGGTCCTACCTTGCCATTCCGGAAAATGAGGGCGTAACTGGACCAGGAAGGCGATCAATTCCACTCGTTGTCCAACGGGAATTTTCGGCAAGGCCTCATTCCAGCACGTAGCGATAGCATCGAAATGGACGGGTAGCAATGTCTTCGACCATGTATCGACGGTCAACCGGATCTCCTCCTGACCGGACGAACCATACATTACCATTCGATATCATTCATCCGTCGAAATGATGGGCATAGACTTACTTTTTCATCCGCCCACAAAGCACGGAAGTAATAGTGGAATACATCAATGAACGAAGATCTGAACTGACGATCTTCTACCATGAAGGACGGACTGGTCACATCCAGTATCATCCGGAAAAGGCATGCAACAGCCTGAAACCTGTCGGGAGTCCGGTGCCAAATATACGAGATGGAGGTAAGTGGGAGCCTACCGTGATTCCCAATTACCCGATTCCTCAAAAACGTGCTGCAAGATTGCCCGGAAAGGTTGCGTGTCGACCACGAGAACTCGAAGGAGAAAACTCGTACGAGCATTCGCAATGTCGTGGCTTTGCAGCTCATAGAATTTCCAGGCACTGCATAGGCATCTGGTGAGTAGTACGATCCACCTTCAATGTAGCTTACCATAGACAAAGAGCCTCCTCGTTCTTTAAAATGAAGTTGTCAACTTCGTAGGACTCTAACAACGCTGCCTCCTTAACGAGCATGTCCAGAAACTTCGCTATGATAATAGAAACTTCTTCCACCGCACATTCAACGTATCCTCGAAGGCAGTTGATCAATCTGGCGTCAACGATTATAGGGTCAACCATGGCAGACGCCCGTGCATTCAGCTTTCTCCTGCCTTGATGTCAACGATATTTCGCGGCTAATGTGACTATTACCGACCTGGAAGGAAGGTGGCGTACTTCTTCGTCTTTAACCAGACCACAAGAAAGCAGGCTCTTCCTTTCGCATCCAAATAATAACAGGCAGACTGAAAGAGAATAACGGATGAATGAACATCTAGTTCAGCTTAGCAATCCCGCTCCATAAGTATGCCAGATTGAAATGACGTACACGAGAGGCATGCTTGTACATGTTCGCATGCGCTGAATTAGGCCTTTGGCGAGGAGGGAGTGAAGATCGACTATCATGCCCTGAAGACGCTGATGACCGAGTGACTTCAGCCATGTTGATTCCAGGGCGGCTTGGGCTAGCGTGACGGAATCCTCGAGTGAAGCAGTGTACTGTGACACGAACGAGGAGAACTGAGAGTATACGTGTACTGGTACGTCTACTCCGGCAGCAGCAAGGAAGGATAGCCAGTGCAGACTCTGTCGGAACTGATCTTTCTGCTTGGCCACACCCATGACAATACTCCACGGGTCCAGTCCAGTCAGAGCTGAATTAGCGAGGACTGACGGATCAGCGACAGAGCTGTAGCGGTGTGTTCCATCACCTTCACGGTTGAAGAGCCGTAGTATCGTCGGAAGTGGCTAGATAAATCACGTCAGTTTTGCAGGGAATAATGTACTTGGATTTATCATACCTTCGTGGGCCGACATTCAGCGGGTACGTGCTGGAGCCACAGAAGTATGAGATCCTCTGGAATGGCAAAGGTCACGGAGGCTTGTGCAAGCTTTATTATTAATCTCAGACAGTCGTCGTGATGTGCCAATTCACCACCCTGCCGCAGGTTGATATGATATTTAGTCCAGAATGAGAACTGCATAAGCTTCGAGTAGTGCTCTCACCCTGTCGGTCGCAGCACGGTCTTGGGTCATGATATCTTCCGGAGAGTTGTCATGAGCAAATTCGGCGCAAATATCGTAAATAACACAGGCGTATGCGTTCATGTCTAAGTTGTGCAAGGCAAGTAACCATCCCGTTGCATATTGATGCAGCAAAGCTCTTCGGCAGGCGACGTAATCTCCTCCATTATTCGTAGACGATTGAGGAGTGTGTCGCGGATCGTGAGGTGAAGGCCATGATCGCCCCTCCAGTCTCGAGCGAACGCCCGGAAGAGGACGACCTCGTGCCACGTAGTCGCGAAGAATACTGGCTAGGTTCTCATCCTGCACGGATATATGTTAGCTCAAAGTATTGGATATGTAGGATAACCAACTTCAGCAAGTATCCATGTAATGATACTACCGCAGAGCCTCACTCGAGCGTAATCAGAAGTCATCTCGTTCGGCCAAAGCCTCCTCACTAGAAGAAGAAATCCAGCTTCATTGACAGACAGGTCGAGGTCACACAAACATGATTCGACCGAGGCCACAATGTGCTCCACATCGGCCGACTCATCTAGACCGAAAGGTAGCGCGAAAGAACATTCAATGAGAGCAGGATCTTCGCCATTGTTGAACAGATGCTCTGTTCGGTCAGCCCGTTCGAAGAGGCCCGATTCGTACATATGACAGAGGAAGATACGGGCAACGTCATCGGAGTATACGGATAAGCCACGGCCCAATGCGTCTCGAATACGTCCCATTGATGTGGTCTGAAATGATGTCTTGAGTTCGTTCTCTGCCTCAGGCCCCGCAACGCTGAGGAGGCCGAACGAGGCCGTAGGAGATGGCCAGGTGTCGTCGGAAGCTTTCAGGACAGAAGTAATGTATGTTAACGTTGGCCAATCGTAGAATATTGAATGTTCGGCAGAGCTGATGCGGTTGCTTAGAAAATACTCTTGTAGAGCAGGAGAAGGAGTGGGAGTATTTGAGGAAAGCAAGGACTCTACTGATCTAGCGGCCGTATGGATCTCAAATTCGTCGAGCTCGTTCTCCTTCATACTTGCAATTATTGCGGTGCCGTTTCGACGCTTGACAACAACAGATCCCAGGATCAGTCCATTATTCATGATCTGCAGCTGCGTCCAGAACGTCGAGTGAAGGATAGACAACTCCTCGTACGTCAAGCGAGCCCTATTGTTTAACAGCGTCAGGACCTGCTGGTAATGGTCCTTGAAAGAATCCCGTAGGTCCATCCAGCCAAGGCTGACATGGGTGGCGTCCATCGTCATAGATTGACAATGTGGAATTGCAACATCCGCGTGTCTTCGTATGCAAGAACAGTGTGCAAAGAGGTTGCATCTGGCGCATTTGAGGCCCTGCGCGCTCAAGCCCCACAGAGGCTTTCGGCACATAAAACAAAGGCACAATGTAAAGATATTCACCAGGCCGAATAGGTGGCCTTCCACTGAGACTTCACCCGATACGCCTTCAGGTTTGGTGGATACCAGATTGCAGAACCGGTATACAGCTACCTTCTGAAGATTGGCGCCTTCTGACAGTGTATATTCTGAGAGATGACTTCCTTCCGGATAGTCGTAGCAATCAAAATGGACCCCACACATACAGAAGGGACACAGAAGCCCAAAACCTCGGAGCAACGTCGAGCACGAGCGGCATTTGAACCCTGGACTACTCTCCGCGGGCACCGACGAAGAGTCTCTGAAGTTCCATAGCATGAATTGATGGGGCTGTGAGTGGTTCGACTGAGCATGATCGTGAGTGCTTCTGCCCTCGCCTGTATGAGTTGCCTCTGAGTACGTCATGACGGGGAATGCTTTGCTGACAAATGTATGCCCGATGGCTTTTGGCCAGAGAGTAGTCAAAAGACTGAGTGCGAAGTATCTGGCTCTGGGGGGTGAATAGGCCGCGACATTGAGAATATCCAAGCAGGCGTCCCTTTTAAGATCAGTCAGAGCGTCAATCAACCGGTACAGGCGAAACATCGTCGAGGGAGGCGCGGTATCGACAATGTTTTCGCCAATCGCCGCTACCAGGGGCTGGACGAGGGAAGAGAGAAAGTATATCTGCAGCGATTGATTTGGGCTATTGGTGGATGGTATACCTCGAACCGACAAGCCTGGTTTCGTCCAAGGGACCCATGCAGGCTGCCGCTGCTCTTCCTCATCATCCTGTGCCCCTTCAACATGAATGGATATTGATGATCCCTTCGGTAGGTCAAGACTGTTGTCGTGTATGTCTAGACCATGCTGGTCATTCAAATGTCTAGAACAGACTACCGGAGCTACCGACCTTCACTGAAACTGGAGCCCGCCCCTTGTGTGCGTCTGAGATCATCCAGCATGTCCCGCAGAATCCAGTCATTGAAGACTGCTAGAAGGCGGCTGTGCATTTCAGCTTTGAAAGTGGCGAACGCAGGTAGCAGCGCCATGCCTATCCGCGACAGTATTTGAGGATCATTTCTATACATTTTACAGAGAATCAGAGCAATATCTAAAATTATGGATTGTAGAGCGTTCGGGGGACGTGCGGGGCCAGGGACGGGAGTTTGAAACCGGCAATCCTCCAGTACCACGGACGAAAGGATGATTAGACAGTCGTTCAAGGCATTGTACGGCCGAGCATTTACTCCTGCTGCAGGGGAGGGTGACCGAGACCGTCGGCCTATGGGTCGCAGACTACGTCGTCGGCTTCGGAATGGTGTATGTGCTTTCTCGGAGGAACTTCCGAGGTTGGAGCCTGATACACTATAATAAGAGTTCATGAGCTAGAGCACTTACGAGAAGTGGGCGGTATACCTGATGTCCAGTTGCCATCCGTTTCGCTCCAGTTCCAGCAAAGAAGAGCGTAGCCTCGTCAAGATGGCTGCTGTAATATCTGTTGAAAAATCTGGCTTTTCCTTCTCATCCTCGTCGTCACTGGTGTCCGGAACGGACAGAGTCCTCTGGGTCACATCACGCTTACCAGCCTGAAAAGCTGCTACCCCCCTGAGGGTGGCAGCGAGGACCTTTGTGTTCCTATCCGTCCTCAAAGGGCCGTCATTAATCCACGCGTCAAAGACAGAAGGAGGTACGGGTCGTCTGTGCAGCTCATCCAGAAATGACCCAATGAGACGGAGAAGACCTTCGTGTGATTTGTTTGGACGGTTATTCTGTGATTGGCTTCCTGTCGAATAAGAGGTCTCCTCTAAGTGAGAATCAGGGCGCAAGCGTGGACTCTTTTCATCCCCGTACGGGCTTTTGTCCGCCGTCGGCGTGGAGGCGGTAGATTCAGTACCTTTATAAGGCTCTTGGAGTGCGTCCGAATCTGTTTGCAGCTTAAGTTGGGGAAGACGCGCTTGATTCATGGGTGTCGAGAGAAGCGCAGCTCTCCGCAAAGGTCTAGTCTCTTCGCCTTGAGATTGGAGTGAATGCGGCGAGTCGTGTCCGTTCCCTCTAGACTTGGGGTCGTACTTGAGCTACAGTCGTTGAACGAAATCTCCAACCCCGGGCCCGCAGTATTCTCGGAGTCCAATGGGCGCTAATTCCCATAAGTCAAGCAGTTTCCATATACGGAGCCACTAATTCGTACCGAGCTCTAACATCTTCATCGATGTCCGGAAGACAGGGCGGCAAGCTGAAGCCTCTAAAGGTCGCCTCGTCTTTGTAGAGGGATCTCAGGGTCAGTGTCTCACTGCTGCAATGTATTCACAGGCGCCAAAGAAGGATAAGAAGGACGAGGATGAAGAGGACAAGGTTTTCAAGGAGAGAAAGAAGGCTGAGGAGAAAGCTTTGAAAGAGGCCCGTGAAAAGGGTACGTTGCCTTCCCTCAGAATAGGTATATAGCCGATCTAACGGGTTATCTAGCTGCTAAAGGTTCGTTATAATGCACTTTGCTGCTCAAGGGGAGGAATGACCCTCTTGACCTCGGCAGGAGGAGCGCCTGGCGGTGGAATCAAGAAGTACGTCTTTATTTCTTGGTGTGGGCGGATACGATACCTGACTTCGTTGAAGATCGGGGAAGAAGTAGAGGCCGCCTACTAACGCTGGACAATCCATCTGTCACGTACGGTCCCTGATGTCTTTAATCTCGAGGTGCAGAGCGTCCCCTGAGGATACGTCCGTTTATCGCTCTCAGGCAGATACTGGAAGATGTAAAGATCGCTTTCTGGACTGTTCCGCGGCCGACAGACGTATTTATGGTTTACACGCGTCCGTCGCGAGTTTCGTATATTGTGAGGACGAAACGCATGGCGTATTTGTTCCATAACGAGGATGGCGCTCCAAAGATCCATTCGGCGTTCGATCATCGCTTGCAGCCGCTAGCTCGAGGCATCAGGGGAAGCCCTCGATAGCTCCGCCTCGTGTTAGCCTTAAATTATGGTATATTCGGAGAGCGACGTGACTTCTGCGCCTTGTAGAAAGTTTGCTGTATTTCTATCGCTCCGGTGTACACTGCAGGTATCGTCGACAGGCTGGCAAGCGACCTAATAGCCGAGCGCCAGGCGACGGACTGAAGTATTGGCCTTGTTTGTACCCAAAGAATGATGCTCACCAGTGCCGCGACGCGACTTACCTCAAAGCACCTGCAAGCCAACAACAACAACTCTGTCCCTCAGCAGCCCTCCATACAGCTTCCTATGTTGAGCTCGCTCGGACTCCCTCCGAATCCACAGCAGGGCCAGCAACAGGGAGGACAGCAAATCCAGCAGCAGCCACAGCAGCAGCAGGGTCCCCAGAATAATGGGATCCCGCCCCCGCCCCCTCAGAACGGCCAAGACTTTACGCTCTCCAGCGTATTGCACTTTCTCCAGACCGAATGGAGGAGATACGAACGCGACCGTAATGAGTGGGAGATCGAGCGGGCGGAGATGAGGGTGAGGCGATTCTGCCGTTCATGTCGCGTTCCAACTCATTATGTGGTGACGCGCTAGGCTCGTATAGCCCTGCTGGAGGGCGAGCGTCGCTCGTTCGACAATGTCAAGGTCGATCTTATGCGGCGTATCAAGATGCTGGAGTATGCTTTGCGGATGGAGCGGTACGTTGTGCTGTTATCACGCCTGGGCTCTGCTTCTCACTCAATATCCCAAGTTCGAAGCAACTTTCACAAGCTGGCACTGTCCCACCAGCCAAACTCGCGTCACTTCAAGCTCAAAATGCCCAGAAAGACGAGACAGGGAGCCACAAAGAGGGGAGTAGTGGCAGCTCGCCGCGTAGCGAAGGTATGCGGTTACTTTATCCCGCGTGAAGGTCTGCATTAACGTTCATGTTCAGACATCCCATTGCCGCCAGAGAACCGTTCTGTTGGGTCCGCGCCCAACGGCGCAGCTGGCGCGGGTCCATCTGGAAGGCCTCTTACGTGGGCTGGCAACTTCCCCTTGACGAACGGTCCGGGTTCTGGCACGCTGGCCTTAGGGAAGCCTCCTCCAGGGCGCGATCCGAAGAGTCGCGCGAGGAGTCGGGACTACCTGAAACAGTGAGCTCTCGACAGTGGCGCAGTCTGCCAAGTGTACATGCTAATACCCACGGGTGCAGATGTCTACAGGAAGTATCTTACTTGACCTCGCCACAGGCCATGAACCCCCTCCCCAATCGCCCGATCATGAATAGCGGCTCGGTACCGCTTTCTCTTCCCAACGTGCCCCCGTTCGAGCAGATGGCGTACAACGGCCGGCCTCGTAAAGTCATGCCTGAGGTCGGAAAGGAGTACCCAGTCATGAACGGCATGAGCATGATGTCTGGTCCATCATCCGCCCCTGCTGCCCAAGGAGGCCAGATGCAGCCGCTTGAGCGGAACAATCCCCTGGGTAATGCAATGATGCCTCCAGCTCAGCAGCAACAGCAGCAACAGCCCCCTACCGGCCCTGGTGGGCCAATGTCCCAGCAGCAGCCACAGTCTCAGCCTCCCCAAAGCCAAGAGAACAGGGATGGAGACGAGCCCCGTCCGCTTACTGCGATCTTTCGGCCCGACGACGACTGGAAGGAGAAGCTGAGGCTTTCTCATGAAGCGGCCCAGCAGGCACAGTTGGAAAGGTCGGGTCCATCGGGGATGTCACCTATGGGCATTGTGTCGTGGCAGAGGGACACGCGCGAGGAAGAGGAGGAGGCTAAGGAGGAGGAGGAAGAGGCGGAGGAGGAGTCGAGCGTGCTTGGTGAGGGTGAGGGCACTAAGGTGTGGAAGACGAGGAGAACCTTGAGGAAGTCAGTGCAATGAACTCAAGTGCCCACTTCGCTGAGCTCGCTAACGTGTTCTGAAGCCATCTCGATGCCGTCCGGGCAGTCGCGTTCCATCCCAGCGAACTGTGCCTTGCCACGGGAGGCGACGATTGCACGATAAAACTGTGGCGAATGGATGTTAGCGGTCTCACGTCATCTGGGTGTGTGTTATTTCCTTGCAAGTTCATATGTCCCTTGAGCTCACGTCTCTGCCGTTCTCGTGGTTTGCAGCGCTCGGGCTATAACTGAAGTCGAGCCACAATTGACGCTGCGGGGGCATTCTGCGGCCATTACTCGGTTAATCATATCGCCGTCGAAGCAGCTCATTTATTCGGCGTCGCTGGACTCCTCGATCCGTGTATGGGTCCTCCCTCCACCATCACATACAACATACGCTCCTTTCGACAAGTCGAGGATCCGGTCAGAGCTGATCGGACATACCGATGCGGTGTGGGACCTCGCGCTGGTGAGAGACGAGAGCACGCTCATCAGCTGTGGCGCCGAAGGGGCAGTCAAAGTTTGGGATGTCAGCGGCCCCGCCGGAGGCTCTCTGAAGCTGTCGTGGACGTACGCGGGACTGGAGAGCGAGAGTGATGAAATTCCGAGAGATGACGATCTCCCAGGGGCGACTGCGGTCGAGGCGATCAGGGTGGATCTAAAAAAGGTTGCAGTTGCATACCAGAACGCAGCCATCAAAATCTTCGACATCGAAACTGGGAAGGAAGTCAGTCAATTGCAGAGCGAGGCGGCGCAAGGTTGGTGATTTACTCAGGCGGTCAGGGGATGTCATGTTAATACGATCCGGGGCTAGATGGCTCCCCGGCGAAGCAGGTGAATAGCATGGTGTCGCATCCGACGATGCCAATGCTCGTCACGGCTCACGAGGACAAGCATATTCGGATCTTTGACATCACCACCGGTTCGTCCATGCATTTGTATTTGAGGGGATCATGTCTGAGTGTTACGCAGGGCAATGCACACACTCGATGCTCGCGCATCTGGACGCGGTGACTTCGCTGTCTATTGACTCGTCCGGGTTTTCGCTGGTATCTGGAAGCCACGACTGCTCGGTCCGGTTCTGGGACCTGCTGGGCTCTAGGTCGTGCGTGCAGGAGATTACGGTGCACCGGGAGAAGGCCCACGAGGGCGTGCTGGATGTGCAATTCCACCCCACGCTGCCGTTCATGGCAAGCGCGGGAGCAGACGGGGTGGTGAAACTGTACGCGTCGTCATGATGGCGGCGGGGGAATCGTTCATTTCGCTCTATATTTCCGGGACTGCCCTTAATGATATGCTGTCGATGTTTTGTCTGTAGATGCACTATACCAAGCTTTGCATGAGCGGAAAGTGTTATGGGCACGTGAGGGGATGGCCTAAAGTGGCAGAGATGAAACTGGGGCGCGCTGTGGCGGGCAATGTTATGTTGCAGCGGCTGCTCGCCGTTATTATAGTTGGCTCGCACATTGGCCGCATTGATTCGGAGATCCTCTCAGGCTTTCGGCTCGTTTGACGTCAGGAATACAGCCATTTATGCCGGCGTTTGATCCTGTGCGCGATGCTGTTCTGAACTCGCCCATCTCGCCCTCGCAGGCCCTGCCCTTCTCGCGCCCGGGCACCGCTGACCCCGCCGCCCACATGCAACACGACCGCTCCCCGACGTCGGAGGGCAGTCGCCCGTCGAGCGGCGTCGCGCCCGGAAGGAGCCCGTCGCTGGGCAGGCGGGCGACGGACCTGTCGATGCTGCTCAACGACGGGCCCGCGCCGGAGTCGCCTGCGCCACAGACTCCACTGTTCACGCCCACGACCGAGCGGCGGGGCTCGAGCCTGAGCCAGATACTCCTCCCTGGCGCGCCCAGCCCGGCCCACGAACCAGACAGCAAGCTCTCCCCGCTCGCGCCTCTTGCCCGCAGGACCGACTCCGCACGGTCCTCGTCCGAACAGGCCAGCGAACCGCCGGGATCGTCCTATTTCTCCTTCCGTCCGTCCCCGTCCAGCTCCCAGTCCAATCTCTCCGTCTCGCCGTCTGCACATCCCGCGCCGGCCCCGACAGTCCCAAATCGCTCGCCCCCGCGGCCCTCGTCGTCCTCGTCCATGACCGCCCGCTACGACCCCGTCCACGCTGCGTCCAACCGCCCCCACCACGACCCCGCGCCGACGCAGTCGCAGTCGCGGATGCCCCCGCCCCCGCCCCCGGCAGCACCGAGCCGCACAGTGTCGCCCAAGGTCTCCCCGCTCATGAGGCACTCGAGACCGCCATCCCCGAAGCGACCGCCAGCCCCCAAGACGCTCCCGTACGCCCCCAAGCACAGGATCACGCCCCCGACATCTGTCCTCGAACCCCTCACGAAGCAAGACATCGAGTTCTTCAACAATCTACGGGGGTCGCATAGACTGGTCAAGAAGCGCAAGAGGATCGAGGTTGACTTTGAAGAGCACGAGGACGAGGAGAGTAGACGGAAACGGAGCAAGGACGTCGGTCTCATCGCAGGGCATTGTATGTGTATCTCCACTTGCGTCTACGTTATATTCACTCGTGGTACAGATAACGCGCGTCCGGACGTCGGACCCAAACAGCGTCTGCAGTCGCCTATCATTGGCCTGAAGGCGTTCAACAACTGGATCAAAGCGGTCCTGATCGGAAAGTTTGCGCATCGAGCGCTGGATGAATCGCCATGGGCAGGTGGTAAGCCGCTCTCATTCGACAATATAACGATTCTCATGTATCCTGTGTAGGGAGACACGGCCGTGGCAGAGGGGGCAAGGTACTGGACCTAGGGTGCGGGAAGGGCGGCGACCTGACCAAGTGGGCGAAAGCGCATGTGGCGGAATACGTCGGCATAGGTAAACATACGCGATATCGACCCTCATCTTCAATCTGACATGCGGGTCCTCGCAGACATCGCCGCCGTATCCATCGACCAGGCGCGCTCCCGCCACGCAGGGATGCACAACGCCTCCCGCTTCCCCGCCTTCTTCGCCGCGCTCGACTGCTACGCGCACCCGATCTCGGACGTCCTGCCCCCGCACATCCTCGCGCCGCCGCCCGGGCGCCCCAGCGAGCGGCCGAACGACGGGCCGGAGGTGTTCGACGTCGTGTCGATGCAGTTCTGCATGCACTACGCGTTCGAGTCGGAGGAGAAGGCGCGGACGATGCTGGATAACGTGAGCCGGTATCTGAGGAGGGGCGGCGTGTTCATCGGGACGATACCGAACGCGGAATGGATGTTGTGCGTAGGCGTCTCTAATCACGGCGCTCGGATACGTGGCTCAACGGTCTCTGTGCAGAAAGCGCTTGTTATCCCTTCCTCCCGATGCGCCCCCGCGATTTGGTAACTCGGTCTATACCATCGAGTTCGACGACCGTCGACCAAAGGAGGAACGTCCGCTTTTTGGTGATCGGTACTCGTTCTTCCTGACCGACGCAGTCGAGAACGTCCCAGAGTACGTGGTTGTCTGGGAGCACTTTCTCAGGTCCGTGCGATTCACTGCGTTCCCAAGACTACCCTCGCTAATTTACATTACGGTAGACTCGCCGGGGAATACGGTCTCCGACCCGTGTACAAGAGGGAGTTCCACCAAGTCTTCCAGGAGCACAAGGAGCACCCTGAATTCGGGCCCCTCATGGTGCGGATGAAAGTAATGGACAGCAACGGGGAGAGCCACATGGACGAAGATCAGTGGGAAGCTGCTAGTGAGGAACCTTGTATTCCTATCATCGTCGCGCTAACTTGTGGTCTTGTACAGACATCTACATCGCGTTCGCATTTGAGAAGAGATAGGGTTCGATCTGGGTCCTCAGTCGTCGTTGTGTGTGTAACTTATTCTGTTTTGCTCGGCAATGCTGTCTTTTGCTCTCGATCCCCCTCTTTATTCGGGCTTTAGCTCGGCGATACTGTGATCTTCCGAAAAGACTGGTATGATACGGTAAGTCTGCATGGCATTGAACTCGATCAGACCTACTGCAAAGAACAGAAGCAGAAATCGTTCCGATATCAACGTGTCGGCATCCATATCGTTGGGCTAATTGCCTCTCTTCTGAGGTAGGTGGGTTCGTCATTGGGCGCATACAACATATGGCCTCGGTCCGAATGGACTATTAAGATCTCTGCGGCCCGCAATTTGACCCAGGAAGTAACTCTATCCAGCAAACCTCTTGGCCGGCATCAACCTGGGCATCGTCCGTGCCCTCGCGCGGCACGCCCTCCCCGACGTCCCTTGGGGTGGGTGAGGTAAAAATGCGCGATATGGTATCTCAGGTAGCGTGCGGAGAGTCCTATCCAGCGCCGCAAAAGCGTTGCTGAAATGAAGTGGCGGTCGTTGCCTGGCGTTGTCCTCATCGCCGGTGGCAGCGGCAGCGCACGTTGTGGGTCCCGTCAAATTCGCTGAAATTCTAGATATATCACATCACATTTGGAATCACGCACGAATATACGCACTGGCATGTGGCAAATGAGATTTATGATAGAATAAAATATAGATGCCAGTAAACGCTGACCTACCTGTGGTATACCCTACATCTATCCAGGCGCTCCTCGCCCATCTATCCTATCGTCAACAAAGGGTCTGCGAAGAGGGAACCGACCCCTCCGTAGGGAAGAGATGGGCGGGAATACATCGATGAACAGATTTAAAATGCCGCAGTAACGAGGGAGTGAGTATAGAACGGATGTATAAAGTAGTAAAATGCATCTCTACCTCAATGCATCCATCCTGGAAACCAGAATAACGGAGCATCATGGGCGGTATTGCCTGCATTGCTCACCTCATGGTCAGGGATATAAATCACTGAAGTATTCCAGATTCACAAAGAACCTACCCTGCACGGAAGCAAGGCTACCAAGTATCGTCCCCGACCCAAAACTTCGGGAACTGGAAGATCGAGTAATATGCTTTAGCTAGGAGACCCCTTTCCTCATCAACAGCAGTTACGGCGTACGAACGGTCGAGGTCTATCACCCGCCAGCTATGTGCATGTGCATGACGAGGGCACACTACGGACGGCTTGCGGCGCGCGATGTGGTTTGTGCCAACGTCGCCGTGCCACACTCCTGCCCATGCAAGATCTTGTGATAAATTGTATGCTTCCATCCTGGAAAACCTGGTGAGATCGCGGGGCTAGAGAGCGAACTATCGCGCAATATACCTCTGGCCCTTGTAGTAGGTGTACATGGTGGGCGAGTCCATGGCTTTTCTCAGCCTTTCTATCATCATCCTTCCGATGTGTTGTACGCCATTCTTGTCCCATTTCCAGTCATTCCACTGTGAAGTTTCAGTACTCTTGTGCTCGTCAGCTTGGTAGAGATCAGGGTCCTCCGGTTTATGGGAAGGCTTGTCATGGACATCGTTGATCTCTGCTGACCCAGGCATCTTCTCGTGGAACGCTCAACTATTGTCTCGCCAGGGAAGGGCCTGAGAGCGCAAGCATTGAGCTGTAAAGAAGCCAAAGTTCCGGGGTACGACAACGTCCTGAGGACCAGCCGCATCAAGCTGCTCATGGAATTAGGCCTCTCGGGTAATAACCCGTAATCGGTTGGGCTCAGCGAGCTTGATGCACAGTCGTGAACGCGCCCAGTGACGGCTGTAACTGCTCAGCGTTGAGCACACCAGCTTCATAAACATGGCCACTTCGCACTGCCCCAATAAGCTTGCGAAGCTTAAGCTCAAGCTGTAAACCTTCAATGGGCGGGGTCGGGGCTTCATACTATTGCCCCACAAGAACGACTTGCTGTAGGAGCGCCACAGAAGTGTTGGAAAGGACAGGGTGCGGGTCAGCGGGATGGTAATGCGCTGCCCATCCGAGTTTTCCGCTAATCCACGTATTTTAATTGAAGAGAATAGATCCATAGGCTACATTCATATAGAGTTAGTAAAGCACGAATTCCAGGCAAAAATTCCAGACGGAAGGTGACTACTTGCCAAGCGACCAGTACTAGTCCTTACTGTCACGGTCATGATCAGACTAGTACTCTGGCAGACTCATGAACGACAAACGTCAGTTCTCGTAAGAACAAATGGAGGACCCATCCTGTATGTCGAACGAAGTAACTTCCAGTGATAGTATTACCGTCGCTTCGCCCAACGTTTGATAGTGGCCGTTTAGGAGGTGCACGTAAGTACATGCGCGTGACGTCACGCGCAATGGGTGGACGCGTCGCGATCTGATTGGGTGCTTGATCAAGTTATACTATATGTACTTGAAGCTAGGCATACGACAGCAGGGGCTCGTGTCATATGCATGCGTGCTTTGCATTATTCAGTATCCTTTCAAGCTGATTAGATCTGCGATCATGGGGAAAAGAGTCCAGGACATTTTCAAGTCCATGCTGGCCTAAACTCTTCCAACTACAACGGTAATCGGGGAATATGCACACATTGTGATACACAATACGGATCGACGATATACATAGTTCAAATGAAGGATAGATGAGCGCCGCCTGCCCAAATGAATGGAATGGCAGGGAGACGATGCGACTAACAAAGCAATGACTAAGGTAAGCAAAAAGGGATTCGCCACACGAATACACAGAATCCACGATGAAGGCGGGAGAGACTGACGCATACAACAGAATCACTCTTGCCCGAAACCGACGGTTTCCCTGAGCAGCGTGAATTAGTTGGGATCATACAGAACCAGTGCGGGAAAAACTCACTCTACGGCAAGAGTCAGCTTCTGCTCTAAAGTATTGTAGTCCTTGTATGGCGGCAGATCAATCCTGTTGAAGCAGGTGTGACTCTTGGGTAATTGTGAGGGGTCACCAGCTTTCTCGATCGTGAATCTGCGCGGACCGTCGGAACCTTGCAGGTCCTTGAAGCCATTGACAGGAATACGAGACGTGCCGGTAGCGAACTGGAGGAGACGGGACTTCCGCTCGGGCGGCCAGCTGCGGACACACTTCCAGAACCATTGAATGACTTCGTCGTTCATTTCGTAGCCACGATAATCGGTGTACTTCGTCCAATCATCACTAGATGTGTAAGGTTAGCTGGCGACGACCCGGACAAGATACACCTTAGAACTTACACGTCGATTTCTGACATACCGCCGATCAAGAGTTCCAGCTCACGCTCGTCGAAAACAGTGATCAAATCCATGGGGATGAGCTCGCTGAATCCAGACATGAACGCCTCGAATTGGTCTTTGACCCGCTTGCAGATACGGTATTCCACGATGAGATCAACGTATTCCTTCTTGTTCTCCTCTGTGACAGGAATGTCCGCTCCACCGGGTTTGAGCTCGACGGTGATCATCTCTCCAAAGCGATCTTCGACAGTTGTGAAGGTCTCATCAATGACATCGGTAATGTCGTTCTCCCTGTAACAGGGACGTAACAGGGTCAATCAGAGGTCAAGCCCATGGCTCAGGGAATTACGCACAACATCCATGTGAGGCCGCGGTGCAAGTCAGCATCCACACTCTCAAGGTCTGCAAGCGTAACCTTCTTCCTCAAAATCATCTTGTAGAAGCTCACTATGAAGTAAGCGTCCAAGAAGCGCCGGTGGAAGATTGAGAGACCCAAGCATCGACCAATGAACTTGAAGTAATTCAAGTGTTCTGGGTTGACGCCGGAAGCAGGATTGATCTGCAATGTATAGTTGTCGTGCGCGGAGTATTCAAACAGACAGTAGAAGGGGTTGAACATCTCGTGTGATAACAGGAAGAAGAATTCTCTGCGAAAGAGTCAGTTTCTGTCCACACGGACGGACGAAGACTACTCGTACCTCGAAAGACCACCATAATCCAAACCGTCTTCGCCGTCGAACTTGATCATCAGGCGTTTCTTGAGGTCATTCGGCGTCTGCCTCATGATCTCTGCATAACTGTCCTCGAAGATATGGTTACGCCGGACTTTGATCTGGCAATTACCAGGCTGCGCGCGCATTGACGGCTGGCTACGGAAGTATATGAGCTTCCTGCGGAAGTCGCGCTTGTACTGCGGCACGTTGGCATCAAGGGTGGATGGCAACCGAGGATCGTCCCAGGTGGTCGTCTTGGTGTTATGGTCAACAAAGTAGACTCGAGCGGTCGAGGTCAGGCGCATCTCCCAACCAGAGGGTAATGGGCCAAGTTGAGCGATCGTCTGAGGCTGGAGAGCAGTTCCCTGGCCGTTAGGACCGGAGACACGGATGACCGTCTGCCGTCTGGGATCTACCCAGGTGGTCGTGCGAGTGTTGTGGTCAACGTAGTATGGCCGACCCTCAGGTGTATATCGCTCTTCCCATCCAGCAGGCAGAGGGCCAACACCCGCGCTCGTCGTGTTGTTGCTGGCAGCAAGAGCAGCTGCAGCAGTGTTCGCCGCAGGAGCTTGACCAGCAGCAGACTGTCCGCGACTGATAGTACTTCCTGCTCCAGCGTTCGCCTCCAATAGATCATCCGCTAGGATACGGCGATGGTGCTGATCGCGGGCAGCATTAGTCTCTCCGGCCTGGTTCGCCGTGTTGACCGCCTGATTCGTGGATGGCCTGTTCCAGGTAGTGGTACGAGTATTGTGATCGACGTAGTAAGTGCGACCAAGCGGGTCGACCCGTCGTTCCCAACCGTAGGGCAAAGGACCATACTGATCCTCGTGAGGGTTGAGTTCTCTGGTAGTTCGAGAGGGTGAAGTCGTCCCTGGCATTGTCGCTGCAGTATTGCTCTGAGTGGCTGGCTGAGTAGCACCAGTAGCTGCCGCAGCTTCGCCCGAACTCACCGGCCGTGACCGAGATTGTTCGGCGTCTGCGGCAGTGTTGGACGGAGCGGTACTGGGAGTGGGCATAGAGATTCTCGCTGCATTGTTGTCTGCGGTTGTAGCGTGAGAACTAGGCGGGCGAGATAATCCTGCACCGGTTGCTGGAAGGTTGGTGCTACTGGGTGAGGGGGAAAGGGCAGAGCCAGCAATGTTGAGGTTGGACAAACTGTTTGTGAGGGCGTTGGTATTCTGAGCGGGACCAGGGTTACTTATGGGCTGATTGACGTTTGTTGATAAATAGATGATAAGTTTGCCATGCACGACGAGGTTGTCGTTTGACTTTTTGAGGTCCAGCGTGAGCATCTCTATACATTGATGGTCAAAAATAGAAGAGGCAAGACAAAGGCAAGCATGACGCACCATGACCGCCCAGATCAAGGTCGAGCACATCACTGACACGAATATTCACTACTCCAAGGAAACCCTGATCCCTCCGCTTGAACTTCCTCTGGTCAAAGATTTGTACGGCAATCACGGAGGAGTCCTTGACGGTTCTGTATGACCCACCAAAGTCAATGATGCTCACGAAATCGAGCAAGAGCGACATACACATCAAAGCTCTCATTCCAGTAGGGATTCAGGGTCTTCTTGATGACACTGGTAGTTCTAGTCTGCTCAGCATCGACCGTGATCACGGCGAACGGGTCGGGAAGCCTGAACACGTCGCGCTTGGAAAGACCATCGGCAGCGACGACTGCAGCTGCTGTTAGTACACCATTTGCGTCCGCGACAAGAGGAGTACTGACCAGTAATTCTTATCTTCTTTCCTCTTCATAACGCGGGTTAATAAGCAGTCTTGGTGGCCATGGAAATGATACTCACTGGGCATCAGGAGCCGCCGACATCTGCGTAAAGGAACAGGATCGACGACAATAGTTGTTTCACGTCTGAGCTGTAGGCTATCGAGTTTGGAGCTGCAGGCAAACAAGCGGGTTCGTGAGTAAGTCGCAGCGGTGGCCGAGCGCCGACATATTCTATTTCGGGCATCGCGTGACGCACCGCCGATATCCGAGACTCCCGGTGCCTGGCCCGGTGGCGGTTCGAACTTTGAAATGACCGCCTGCATTTCGAGGAGTTTCGAGAGTCCAACATACAAGGTATACCTGGACTGGAATATTTGTAGATAGAAGGCAATAGCACTCAAATACGGGCTAAGTTTAGTTCGACCAGACCAAGACGGTCGTCACCAGTCCCGAGTCATCCATTGACAGCACTCGGAAGCACTTGGAATGGTACTGATGAAATTGCTGGCCGTGTATGGCATTATCGCACACAAGAAAACTGGTATGAATGGCGGAGGTATACACATGAATCAGTTCAAACAAGCCTAATAACACGAGGTAAGAACAGGTCCGATCACAGGTAGAAAGCGACAGGGCCATTGAAACAAGTCCAGAAGAAGCCACGGAGGGGCGGTAGACAAGCGAAGAACAAGCCAAGCGCCCCAGGTGACGAAAACTGTAGATGATATAGGGAGAACATATGGTCGATGGGAAAGATGATAGACTTTGAACATGCTATATGTCGGGGAAACCGAATGTATATGATAACAGATACTTGATGGAGATGCAGAACGCGATCGATGACGCAGTGCAGCCGGCAAAGAGATTGCGGGGAGAGCAGAGGTGGATCGGGGAACGTGCAAGGGCATAGACGCGGTCATCGAAAGCGTGATAGATGTAAGACCGACAGGACGATATAAAGCGGAGGGCATAAGGACAGTGACGAGCAAGGAGCGGCAATCCATAATTGGTGTGGAGAATCTTGTCGGTTTCATGAACTACACATGTATTGATGTAAGTTCGTTAACTTGATACGTTCATGTCGGGACGGGGGTTATTCTTGAAAGCGCGATGGGGTCGTAATCCGAAGTCGAAGGAGTTATCGCTTGGTGCAAGGCAGAATGCCCAACAAGGGTAATACGATGTGGATGGCGCAGTGGTAGCAGCGTAGGAATGTCTAGTAGCCGAAGCGGCTACCCCCAAAAGTTTCAGCCCGAGCGAGCGGGGCGCGCGCGAGTTTCTTGCCCTTCATCACAATATTCTTGGTCGGTGGCGGGCATGGACTGTCGCCGATGTCAGCGTCCGTGTCTTCAGCATTGTCCGTCGTATCGCCGTCCTCCGCCAAGGTGGCTAAGCCACCGCCAGTACGACGGCCGCGAGCAGCGTTGGCAGCTCCAAACAGAGATCCCGTGCTCGGAGCGGTGTGCCTTTTAGGCTGGGTCTGCTGGGAATACGAGGGGACCTTGAAGCCATCGCCAAACGCGTACGACTTCGTGCGACCGAATTTTGTCTTCCGGAACTGATCAATATCCTCCCTGCGAGAGGCAGCATAATTCGGGTCGTCCATGCGGACGTAGCCACAAGGTTGGCAACGTGCACCGGACTCCTTGTAGTACTGCGAGTAGCCACCCTCAAGAACGTACACCTCCGGGAAATGGATCCTCGGATAAACGTGATGGTTCAATGCTCTATCCTTGGAACGAAGATGCTTGGCGCTAGAAAGGCAAGTACTGATCAATGAATGACCTAACTGCCAGCACCGAAAACACTCACAAAGTAGGTGCTCTCTTTACACTGAATTCGCAATGGAAGATAAGGACCGTCTTCTTGCACGGGTCACCACTGACGCTCGGCTTGGGCTTGTTCATACACGGACCGAGCAAAAGCTCCTCAACTGCTGCGGTCGTGTTTAGGTTGATAGCACCGGGAATGTGGCCCCCGTTATACTCGTAGTCGAAACGGCAGTCGATGACAAGAAATTCCGACACCTTGTCATTGTAGGCGCCGTCGAGGAGAGCATCCAACTACGGCGAAGACAGGTTAAGATCCCGTCCTCGCAAAGAAAAGTGCAGATGGCGTTTCGACGAAAGGGGCGATTCGGAAATGGCTTGGAAGAAAATTCAGGACTCACAGTTTGGCAGTTTATACGCATCAGACCATCTTCACGGACGCGGTGGCATGGCAAGATCTTACCGTGAGCTTCATTATCACCAAAGCCGGGCATACCGGCGCTCAAGAACCTAGCGGAGGGGCTTTCCTGCAAGTGACTGGGCGACGCCGAGGGGACACCCTTAAGTGTCTTCAGATCCTCCCCACCATCGCGGCGCCTGAGGGTCTTCTGGCGCTGCGTGTACGCATGGGCAGGTGAATCATTGTCGCCGCCATCGAACGACTCGTCCGAGAAAGACTCGTTGCCGATAGTAGGGGGGAGCATGGCGGAGAAGGCACGGCGGACAGGGGGAGGGGGCGCGGACGCCTGTTGGGCGGCGAAGTGGCTGTCGACCGAAGTGAGCGCGGGGTACGCTGATTGGATGCCCTGTTCGGAGTGAGTAACCAAAGACGAAATGGTGGGCCGGCGGGGTTTCACGCCGAGCGCCGCGAGAGAAGGCTTGGGCTTCCCGAGGGGGGCGCTAGCGATTCTCTCAAACTTACGGTCCGAGGGTGACGAATGGAGGGGTGCCGGGGACGAGGACGCGAGATCATCCAAATTCACGCTGCGCTCGGGTGACAGGGAGCGACGCCGGCTGCGCGTCGACAAGGCCGGCGACTCCAGGGAACGCCTCGGCGAAGTAGTGTTGAAGAAGAGCGCGTTGAACTGCGTTACTGTCGGCTCGGAAGACAGCGGGGCCTCTGCCACTTCATCTAAGGGGTCGGAGAAACTCGAATTGCACGAATCAATATCCATCGCCTCTTCAGACTCGGGGGACGACGGTCCGAGCGGCTGTTTGAGGGAGTTTCATGTCAGCCAACCCATCGCCATCAAAGGACGGTCCCAGACGGGACGGTTCATATCAAAATAAATGTCACAACTCACGCTTGCGGGGTTGGAGTCCTGGGGTCCGGACCCTTGGAAGAGCCACTCGCTTGGCAAAGCCGGTCGCTGCATGCGCTTCGCAGAGCCGGTGCTGCCAGACTTGGAAACGGGTGGCACGCTGAGAAGTTGAGAACCGCTGTTACTCCTGTCACGGCCGAACAGCCTGCGATCATTGTCAAAAGCGAGCGAGCGGATGAGGGGCTTTGCGATGAGGTCCTTGGGCGAGGAGGGGCGGGCGGGTGCTGGGGAAATATCCATGGGGATGGGGGACTGGTCCATGGGGGCCAGGGATCGCTGGTGTTCTATAGGGGAATTAATGGACATGGTGGAAGCGAAGGACATATCCAAGTCGGACGAGAGGAACTCGTCGAGGTCGTCCCGGGGTCGTTGCGAACGTTGGCTGAACTTGCGCGAAGGGAGAGGGGACGCTGCGAGATACTGTGTGGCCGGGGCAGATGTGGTGAAGAACGCCATTTCTTCTTCAAGGGGTCGAATTTCGGATGATTGCTGGAGTTGTTGTCGTAACCGTCTTTGATCTGCAAAGTATTTCGCAAAGAAAGCCATGAGGGGCGAGGGGCGAGGGGCGTAGAGTACAGAGCGGAGTGTTGTACAGGGAGGTCGCACAGAGTGGATAGTGTACACGACGCGGTAGGGATACAGTGTGGTTCGAGAGAGAGGCGCGACAAGATCACGAGACCGCGAACGTCAGACAAATAAATACCGCAGAGTCAAAACAAGTGCAACAGACCTAGCTGACCGAAGAAGTGGTTCGTGTGGCAAAGCTAACGCCTTGGGAAGCAGTCGGCTAAACGAACAATGGACTGATTAGCAGGTGCACTTCCGGACTAGACGACCATATCTCGGATCGATCGCAATCCGAGGCCCGAAAGTTGGAAATGCCATTGTTTCCCAAATACCGAAGTCCAACCACAGGGCCCCCTTCCGCGTCTCATCCGAAGGCACCAAACAAACAGGACGCGACGAACCTTTCGGGCGTAAAGAGAGCGTATCGTCGGAGGAGGCCGCGCCTGAATAAAACAGAAGATAGAGCAGGTGTTAATACCTGAATAGAAAAGCAACTACGAGGAGAGCCCAGTAGAAGACAAAACCAGCAGGCGCGCCTGCCCCGGATTTTGAACAGGGGGCTCGGACAAACTGGGTTGTGTGTCTTTGTGGGTCCCACCACCGCGACGCGCTTCTTGCCGCTGATCTCGCGACCCTGTTCGCTCTACAAGACGGAACATACTTACTCGGATGCTTGTTTCTCTTGGTAGCGGTTGTCGCTGGATTCCTAGAGTGTGCGTACACGCCCCTGTTGGCAGGGGGCTCGCGGTTGGTGGATACTTGTAAGTGGCTGAAGTTGTTTGGGTCGCGTTTGTGCAATGTTCATTTCTGCACGTGACCGTGCAATGGAGTAATGATGGCTTCCATATTTGGGTCCTTTTGTGAACGCCCGGATGCCAAGACAACGTTTGTCGGTGTCGTTTTACTCTGTTCTGCACGCGCTCGCAACACGTTCAGCCTGAAACTCGGACGAATTCGGTGACACTGAGCCTCCTGGGCTGTGTTTGTGGCTCAAACATAAATACAGCCAGCCACTCGCTCACTGTCAATGTATACGGTGGACGCGAGGTTCAGTCTACAGTGCCTTGCATAAGAAACTGAACATCGCGTTTCCGCGCGCGTTGTTTGTCCGCGCCAAATATACCCTTTTCGGGTATCGGCAAATGTGCGGCAAAGACCCATCGAGAGGGAGGGTTAGCTGGGCATACAGCTAGGGCAAGACTATAATGATTTACAGCCCTTAGTGTAGTTGTAGAATATACATTTCTATCATTCTCTGAAGCCTTTCGAGCCCTCTCGGGGCATCTGCGAGTCCCTGCCCAACAAATGGTCCCGCGAGAGGCCTTCCAGACCTACCCGAAAAGGGTAT